TTAAGGAAATATTAAAGTAAACTCTCTGTAGACATCTCCCAACCAATGCTTTCAATAATACACATTGCTCACATTCCCTGAAAGCTTTCAAACAACTTGGAAGTTTCTATGCTGGCAAACATTCCACAGAAGTCACCTTTTATGATCCATAGCAATTTAAGCCTCAATAAATAAATACATTTGTAAAGAGAAAAAACAGAGTTGAACAACGTAAGCCATACAAATGTTTTCCTTTTTGCCAGAAATCTTCTGCCAGTCTAATTAACTAGAGATTCAACTTGAAGTTAAATTTCCAGGATGTACAATGTAACTTAAGAACCTGCTCATTAACAGATTTTGGGGGTTCCCCCCCAATGAAAGACTACCAGATACAGCCAGTTAGGTGAGACACACTCATTAGGAGGAAATCTACATAAACACACACACATGCTAGCCTATGATATAAAGTGCTAGTCTTGGGAATTACACATATTTTACACTCATGTGGATATATATACATAAGTGTTTATTAGCCTTTAAGTCCTTGTGTAGTGGAAGCAATGGGAGTACACAATGGGAGTAAGTGACACAATGACATTTTAGGCCTCTTCTGTGTTTTAGATTTTTATAAAATGACCACATAAGTGCAATACATTCATTAACACAAATGCAACTATATACATAAAGAATTAGAACTGAAATGAACACCACGCACAGTACTCTCTGCATCCACACTGGGGTGTGTTATGTACTAAACCACTCTCTCCTCAGGCACTTGGAGGCTCAGCCAGCTTCACAGCCAGGGTCACCTGGGGAACACTCCAAGAGCCGAGGCTGTGTTTTCCCTCGCAGATGCCGCTGGCACAGCTACAATGCCAACACACAGCACTCAAGTGGGTCACGCTGACTCCTCACTGTTGTGAAATGCAGCGACTGGATGACGAAACCCACGGAGCCCGCTGGGCGAGCTGGCAATTTTATCGGCTGTGAGGTTTTTTAGGTTTAAGGTCAGTGCGACCCCACAGGTGTGCACCGGGTCAGCCGAGGCCAAAGGCAGCATCCACAAAGCAATTCCAAGCACGGAATCACAGGGCTGTCAGGCTGGAAGGGACCACAGTGGTCACTGGGTCCAACCTCCCAGCTCAGGGTCATCCCAGGACCAAGAGGCATCCACATGGCTCTAGAGCATCGCCACTGAGGGAGACTCCACACCCTCTCTGGGCAACCTGTTCCACTGCGCTGTAACCGGGGTTATTCTGACAACACCTTCTCCAAGGAGCAAAATTAATTATACATAAATAAACAAATAAGCAACTCATAGGGCAAAAAAGGAAAACTCAGCCCACTATGCTGCCACTTTCTAATACTTCAGGCGTGCCGGTAGTGGAATAACACCAACACACACACATACACACACACACACACACACACACACAGACATGGAACCACGCGTCTTCCCTCACGCAAAGGAAAAGGGAAAGGGGTCGCTGCCCCGTTTCGGCCGCCGAGGGGCGGGAGCCGCCTCACCCCACACGCACCGTGAGAGGCCCGGCCCGGCCCGGCCGCCCCAGTGCCCGCGCGGGACGGGGCCGGTGCCCGAGGCGCCGAGAGGCACCGACAGCCGCACCGGGCTCCGTCCCGAGCACCGACACCCATCCCGGGCACCGTCCGATGCCAGGGCGAGGTCAGCCCCGCTCCCGCCGCCCCGAGCCCCCGGCACCTTCCAGAAGCTGCCGCTGGTGCCTGGCGCTCTCCGCCGTCGCCGCCGCCTGGCAAGGCCCGCGCTCCGCCACCCTTCGCTGCGCCATGGCTCTGCGGCGCCCCGGGGCCCGGCGAGTCAGGGCCGGGGCAGGCCTCGGCGGCACCGGGAGCCGCGGGGAGCAGGAGGCGGGACCGACAGCACCGGGAGCCGCGGGCAGGAGGAGGAGAAGGAGGAGGCGGGACCGGCCGCTCCTCCTCTCCTCACCCCACCGGGTCGCGGCCGCGCTCCCGCCCCCGCCGCCGCACGGCGCATGCGCTTTTCTCGGGGCATTACGGCTTTGCTGTGGTGTGCGGGAGCACGTGTTGGGCTCCACGTCCTTGAAATGCCGTGGCGCGTTAGTGGCGGTAATTACGGTAACGCGGCATTTGGGCGTACCCGTGTGGGTATTTACGGTAACGGGGATGCGCTCGCTAGTGGTAAATACGGTGCAGGCGGCGGGAGATTTCTCCCGGGTGCGGAGAAATCACATAAATCCCAGGAATTTGGTTGGGGAAGGCCTCTGAGATCATTGAGTCCGACCTATGACCGAACACCGCCGTGTCGACTAGACCATGGCACTTAGTGCCACGTCCAGTGGTTCCTTGAACACCTGCAGGGACAGTGACTCCACCACGTTCGTGGGCAGTCATTCCAGTGTCCAATCACCTCTTCTGTGAAGAAATTCCTCCTGATATCCAACCTGAACCTGCCCTGGCACACGAGGAGAAGTTCTATAGGCGGTGTTCTCTTGTCCTGTCGCTGCTTTCCTGGGAGAAGAACCCGACCCTGCCCGGCCACACCCTCCTTTCCGGCATTTGCAGAGCCATGGGTCCCGCCTGAGACTCCTTTTTCCAGGCTCCCAGCTCCCTCAGCCGCTCCCCACAGGACTTGAGCTCCTGACCCTTCCCCAGCTTCGTTTCCCTTCCCTGGACACACTGCAGCGTCGATCGTGCCACAGGGCAGCGGGATAAAGCTGCTTTATCCCGTCTGCGAGCCCCTTTTCCCTCGGTAATGGCTTTACACCAGCGAAGGGAGCGGCATCTCCCCTCAGGGAGCGGGAGGCGGGAGCCCCTCGGTGCCTCTGGCGCTGGAGCAGTGCCGGGCTTCCAGGAAAGGGGGAACCTTGTTGCGTTTGTTCCTCTCGTTCGAAAAGAAAGCCTATTTGCCGGGAAGAAGGAAAAGTCCTCTATCAGCCCCGCAATTTTCCTCACGTCCGTTCCTGTCAGTAAGAACGCTTGAAATCCCGCAGAAGAGCCAGAGGGGCACGTCCCAGCGTTGCCAGATTCCGTGGCCTTGAAGCCGAATGTGACCTCGAAGCACCTTTTCCTCTGCGACCTCCTGGCAGCAGCAGATCCCGGAGCCTTCCAAGCGCCCGGGCAGCACAGAGTGTTACAGGGAGAGTTCTTCAGGGAGAGCACTGAACCCTGCGGACAGCACATTGCACAACCTTCGGGTTGGCTGATGGAGCCACCGTGGCTCCCCCTCGTCTCTTTTCCAGCTGTGTCTGCTTATAAATGTCCAACCTTTCCTCAGGGTCTTGTGAAAAGGAAGCTCTCCGGGGAGAGCTGGACACTGAGATTTAACTTCAGCCTCGTTTGTCTGATTCCTCCACCTTTACACCATGACTAAAGAGCTGTTAAATTGCTGATACAGGACCCAGCAGATCAGTTGTTTCACAGCAATGGTATTTACAGGTCGAGTTTCCCAAGATCACAGATGTTCCCAAAGCCGTGAGGTAGATGCAGACCAGCACACAGCAGAGCTCTCCAAAGCACAGCGTTATTGCTATGTGTACAAAACTCGCTGGTGTTACAGGAAGTTGATGATTCATTTAAGATCTAAATAGTCTAATATGCTATTACACAAGTACAGTCCCTGCCAAATCTAGTGGCAGGAAATAATCCAAGCTATAAATTGTGGTCAGATTCCACATAAAGCTTCAAATCATGACCAAATTCCATGGGAAGCTATAATTTACTCAGAATTTATTTCTTTTAGAATTAAATTATTTAAAGTTATTTCATTAAATCATGTCATTAGCTCTTTTAATATTTGCAATCGATAAATCAGGAATTCAATGCCCTGACAAGCCAGTTAGGTCTGTGAACTTGCTGCTCTGGGCATTGATGCCAGATGAGGGAGTCCTTTGTTTTTTCAAACCCTTTCACTAGAAAATTGTACATACTAGCAAGATGGGAGTTGCTGACACTGTAGAAAATGGCACTTTTCCCCCTATTGTAAATGCACGTCATGTTTGTCATCTCTTTTTGGTTATTACTTCTGAAACTCCAGGTAAAATTATTCAAACACTGGGACTTCTTTCCTCTCTAACTTCTGACAAAGCATCAAATAGATACTAAACTGAAGAATGTTGGAAGCAAAATCAGAAACCAGATTATTATGCAGAGGAATCTTTACCAAGTCATCCTGAAACAGAAGAGGAAAGAGGCAGATTGAAAAACATAAATAAAATAAGTACCACAATTTAAAACTGTAGATGCTAAATGCTGCAAGGGCCACGCCTCATTTTGGTGAGGTGGATTGTTCATTCCGTGGGGTATCAATCCCAGTTTGGTGTGGTTGTTGTTCAGTAGGCACTCAGAGCCATGGAGCTGGGCAGAGCCTGCTCCAGGGGATGTCTGATTTCTAATTAACCTGCTCTGTATTGTGTAGCCCCTGTGTGTAACCCAGCTGCAGGGGAACTGAAACACAGGCCAAGCAACTTCTGATTCTTGCTGAACTCTCTGCAGTTCCCCTGTCCAAGACACCACTGTGAAATGCCCAACAAGCAATTTCAACCATATAGATTTGCTCTGTGTTTCCCCTTCCATTTAGTAGAAAGCACACGGCCTGCAGATGATTCCCAGGATGCTGATTCTGCAGGAAGCTCACAGTGTTAGTATATGTCTCATTAAAAATAGAGAAGATAACTCTAATCCCCTCACTTTTAGGGAGCCCCAGCTCTCTGAATTGCTGCCAGAGTGAAATTTAAGGATTCATTAGCTAGCTCACATTGCAGTTGATATGTACTGCACAAATTATATTTGCTAGACTGAACTAGCAGCAGACTTTTAAACTGTTCTTCACTGTTCTTGGTCCCCTTGCTGGGGGGTGCTGCTGGTGTGAATGTATTGTCTATTTCACTAAACTTTGAAATTGTCAGCAGTGTTTAGTATCTGCTGATAATTTGAATAGTCCCCTACAAAGATGCCCACACCTAACAAATGTCAGCAGAACCTCTGCACTCACTCAGGAAGAAAAAAAGGACATGTCTGGGGAATGTTCTTTAGGGCTCATTCTGCAAGTGAAATGATTCAGGAACTCTATTTAGAAGATTAACTTAGATTTATTTACTGGAAAGAAGGCAAAGAATGAAAAATACTGCCATAGGCTACATCCTGTATGTGTTCAGAGGATAAAGAGTTTTGGTAGCTGGAACTCAGTGAGTATCAAGGAAACTTTTGACTCATGGTTGAGATCAGGACTGCCAGGAACAGCTTCACTCCACAGCACGCTGGGAACCATAGCTAGGGACTGAAAACAGATTTACTCTCATTGTGTATAAAGCATCCCCTGTATATAATTTATAACTTAACAGCTCAAAACCTGCCCTGTCTCTGGAGCATCCCCAGCTAGCAGGGAACACACGCTGCAGAATGCTTTGTCCAGCAGAGAAATGAGAGGAGGACTCCAGCCTCCAGCTGGAGTTTGCTCAGAGATTTTATCAGTGGGAGCAGCACTCTCTCTCTGTACTTAGAGGCTAGAGACTGAATGGGCCAAAAGCTTTATATTAAATGGATTTTGGAATATACACCTTAAACTCAGAGTATGAGTTCTTTCAAAATATCTGTGAACCAAAAAGAAAAAAGTTTTTCTGACCTGGTGGAAAGTAACGAAATAGAAATAGATTGACATCTGTCAGGGCAGCAGCTAAGTGGTCAGCTCCATGAAGTCACTTCCTTCTGGGGGTGGCTGGATGAAATGCTTTATTTCTGTCAGACTGAAAGAGTTGTCTTCCCTCAGCACAGAAATTTGTGTTTGCCTCTTTTCTAAATCACTCCTAGGTGGACTGATAGAGCCCATGTCACACAGCTGAGGCACTGACACTGCTGATGCTTTGTGGACTGTCATGCTAATTGTCAGCAAGAGAAGGAGGATGAGAGACTGAGAGTGATCCTGCTCCTCAGAGCTTCTAGCTGGAAATGATAACAACCAGAAACATTAATCAACAAGAAAATCTTATGTATAATTTCGTGAGAAGTACAGATTCAGAACCCTTTCCCCCCCTATTACTGTCTTATTTTTGACCACCACAAAGCAAACTGCATTGTTTTGGCATTTTTATTTTGTATAAATATGGCAAGAAATTAAACCTCAAACATTTATTGTCATTCTATCCAAATTCCCATTTAAACCAAATAAACCTGTGGGCTTGGAGGGGGGGGCTGGTGTGTTTTACTGAGCTCATACTTTGGTCACTTACAGTGAGGGGTCTGGGGATGTAACTGAGAATAACCAGCTGCACAGGAGACAACTCGGGGTAGAATGCAAATGTATTGATCAAAATTAATAAAAAATGTCACCAACAAGTGAGATAAATAGAAATGAGCACTTATTTGTAGCTGTTTGTGTGAATGAAGGATTAAAAGTTTCTTGGAGACCAAAGGAGAGTTAATGAAAGCTTTTATTTATAAAAGTCAGTGCTCAAGGACAGAAGCTGAAAAAATTACTAAACAGCAAGTGAGAGCAGATCTTGTATGCATTAAAATTAGTTGAATCTGAGCTCAGGGATCATAAGTATTCAGATTTGTTTCTCTTCTGGTATTTTTTTATAGAAAGTATGTTTCTTGAGTCCTATTGTCCATTTTATGTACATTTTGGATACATACTGCACATATGTACAGACAATACACTATACACAAATGTACAAAGTGCAGATTTTTAATAGTGTGCACCTGTTTTCACTATTGCTTAATTACTTAGGAACACAGTAAAACAGATAATTATGATGTTTCTATTCCAAGTAGTAAAAATAAGACCCAGATTCTCAATTTTGATGCACCTCTTGTTCCTAATTAACAGTTGATAAATCCTCTTTAACAGCCAGCTTCTTTTTTTTTTTTTTCCCTATTGCATGTGTCAGTGGAGTACATGAAACAGGGAAAGAAACTTTTCTGGTCAGTCTGCTCATATCCTCTATTTGAATGCAAAAACCAGGAATTAAAGGTTATTTTGTCTTCCTGCAAATTAAGAGTGAAACATACCCTGTAATAATCTTATGCCACCCCAAATGAGGAACATGAAAGCTCTGTCAGGTTCCTTAAATGTAGTTCCAACTTTCAGAGACCTTACTTCTAATTTTATTTTTTTTCCCAGCCTTGGAAAGCACTTTCTCTAAAAAGTCAAATCTCTTACTAAAAATACCAATAAAAGAGGGACTTTTCATCACAGTACAAGGAATCTCAGGTGTCCTCCTGGCAGTAATAACCAACTTAGTCTTTGTAACCAATTTACAGCATCTGAGTTCTGGGAATGGGTTCAAGCAGCAAATATGTCGAAGAACTCAGACAATGTCAACTCTTTAAGATAGGTAGGAAGGGAAGCAAAAATATTTGCAAAGCAATCAAATATTCCTGGCACTTTATTCCAGCTGAGAGTCTCCTTCAAAGCTCTTGGGGGTACCTGTGGAGCACAGCAGAGCCCACACAGAGCACAACAGAACAGAGCATGGTCAGGGGAGGCCAAAAGGGAGGGAGCAGGAGAGGAGAGTGGGATGTGGAGCTGCAGGGAGAGTCCTTGCTTGACCCAAAGGCAGCTGCACAAGGCTTCAGCCACGCAGCTCTGCTCTGCAGCTGAGGTATTTAGAAGCTGGTGTTTATTGCTTGTGATAACGATCACAGTTGTAAATTTCTGTGCAGGGAAGGCACAGGCCCTTATCCTGACATACACCCATTAGTCATGATTCATATTTAATGCTAGGGTGGGATTAAATGTAATGATCAGATTTATACCCTGTCTGAAGCTGAGTTTATACTAACATAGCTGAAAATTCAAATATTCTTGCTAAGAGGAGTATGTTCCTTCAAGGACTCCTAATCTACAGCAGCGATGTAGCTGGACATATCTATCTGGAGGGCAAAAGTTTCCAAATATAGGTTATTCCATGCTGATAAAAACACCACCTTTAATCTGAACAAAGACCCATTTTAATTTTTCTTTAGATGCCATTAGAGATTCTGCTCTTACAAATGTGGAATTGAAGTTTCAGCTCAGTTAAACCAAAGATTGTTGGTCTGGGGAATCAGCTTCAGGCCACCTCCCAGTGTTGAACACATGCTGGGGTGTGTAGCCTTGACCATGTCTGATCTGCTGGAGCAATGACAGAAATTAATGCTGCAGAGTGCAATCAAGTGGGTTTTAAGCTGCTTTTTCTACTGTCCTCAAAAGGCCCAAGTGGAATCTCCTGCTGGAACTCATCAGGACCTGAATGATCTCCTCTTGCTGCTAGGTTCTTAAAAATATCATTGCAACTGTCTATTGACATTTCCTTTCTGCATTTTGTTTGTTGACTGTCAGTTGGCTGCACTGTGCTAAAGAAAGCTTCTTTTTATTTCAATTTGCCCTGATTTAAGGTTCTAACTCTGTCCCCTAATTTTAAGAAATAAGCTAGATGAGGAAACATCAGGGACATGGTTTAATCAACCTTCCTCCCACACTGACAGTTTGAAGTGCTGCTGTTTTTCGTGCTGCTTCTGAATCTCTCCTTTTCACCAATGAACCCCAAATTATAGCAGTTGGCCAATCCAAGCTGTTCCCTGCTTGTGCTCACAAGCACAGTTGCTTTTGTTGCTGAAGAGGATCCTTGCTTTTGATAGAAAAATTCTTCTATCTTAAAGGAGTCAGAAAAGAAAAAATTTGGACCTTTGGAAGTGCAGACCAGCAAATATCTGGGAAAAAAGTGATATGATAGACACTTGATTTGGGAAAAAAATGCAGAACGAGTCTGATAGGAAAAGAAAGGTGGGAAAGTGTGTTTAGGTAATATGGGAGTGTGAAACACTTTCTTTGTAGAAGAAAGCAGAATAAAAGAAAAGTAGGAAAATTCAGCTTTACTTTAAAAAAAATCAAAACTTCCAGAGAAAAAGTTTAGAACTTCTAAATATTTCCCATATTGTAAGGATTTCTTGCAACTTCAGATAAATTGCATGAATTGTATTTGAAACTAGAAGGGAAGAAGTTTTTTTTCCTGTAACACTGCATTTCACAATTAACAATTTAAGAATGCATGGTCTAATCATAATATGTACAAATGTCACGCTGTATTTTCATCGAGGCTGCTTTTTCTGTGAGGTACAAAATGTCTGCAGTGAGAGTGCTCAGTGTTGTCCTGATCTGACCTCCAAGGTCTAAGTGCTTGCAGAAAACAGCCATAAAGAGTGGGCAATAACCAGTTCACAAGGAACAAACCCTTGCTGTATGCAGCCACACCCACAGTTAGTTTTTAAGAAATAGATTCACGTCATCATTAAACCAGTAGTCTGCAATGGAAAAAAATTAAAATTCAGAGCAATATCAGAAGGGTGAAAATGTGATTTAATTGAAACATTTTAGAAAAGCTGCCAACATTCACCGAAACTATTTGCTGTATGTGTATTCCTAAGGGAAATTATCAAATTAATTGAAAAAGCTATAATATGACTGATAGCACTTACTATCATACTAAATGAACATCACAAAATCAGTTGTTAATCAGGATAAGAGATTAAATGGGGATGGTCTGATAAGAATTGACTCTTTTCACCTAAGGCAGTTCTGTGAGGGAAACCATTTCAATTTTGAACATTATCCACCCAGTCCTAGACAAGTTTCCTGTCAGATACCTGGGCTGAATGAAGAAATCCAGATCTACAAATATCAATACAGAGATTTGCATGTTTTCTACTGCACGAAATAGCAGTTCCCTTTTTCCTATGGATAAACTACAGGATCAGCTTTTTGGCCTGTTCCCTGCAACAAAATTGGCTAAAACCAGTGACTGCAGAAAAGAAGTGTCAGGTGCTTCAGTAAGACATTATGAACTAATATGATGTAATCATTGCTGAATGAGCAAGAATAACATGGAGAAAATAAAAGGACACTTATCAGGAAGACTGATAAGTGGGGTTATAATAGAAACCCTTACTGCAGCTGAACCAGCATCTTTGATTTTTGTGTGGAATTACTCGTTGTACTGGCAATACAATAGCATCCAAATGCTTTAATAAACTCTAACCTTGATTTAGTTATAGCAATTCATGATTTTACCTTGTCAACCCGACAGAAACATGAATGCAAATCCATTTCACATTCTGAAGTGAGGAATCCCTTGAGCTCAGGAAAGGCCAGGAGTGGGACAGAGGGATGGATGCTGCCAAGCAGGGGTCAAAGATTATGAGGAGCGCCCAGAGAAGCTGACACAGCTCCCAGCTCTCCTCAGAACATGATGTTATCCTGCATGCATCACTCATGTGCCTGCCAAAGGTGAAATGAGGGGCAGGCATCTTCCACCTTGGCACTTCACAAAACACCTGGAAAAGACACAGAGGCTTGTTCAGACAAAGACATGGGCACTGGCAATACGTTTCTCGTGTTTCCTGCCCTGCCTTGCTGCTGCAGGTACTGGAATTTCAATCCAGCTGTTGGCTGCCCGTGGCCTGGAAGGCACAGGAGTGGGGATCTGTGAGCAGCTGCTCCTGCTGTTCCACCTGTTGCTCTACATAAACAATTAGTGGTGCACCCACAGTCACCACAAACACAGACCTCTGCACAGCTGGAGTATTAGCAATTTCATCACTCCTTTTCATATCTGTGTTTCTTTAGCAGTTTACACAAAGGTCAGCATAAGTCCTATGTTTGCACGTTCCAGCATTATGACTGCTTTTGTCACATCAGAAAACACTGGTATTTAAAACAATAAAACCAAATAGAAAACCCTCTTGGACAGTAATATGTATAGCTTTGCAAAGAATAAAAACTATGAGTGTCCCAATAAAAGTGCTAATTGGATAACCTCTACTTGTTTACAAACAAGTAAAAGAAAATTAAGATAATTTTGTTTTATAAAAATGTATTTTTAATACACTCAAATTCTGTTATTTATCTTTGTTTTATCTAGGATATCTCCATGTTTGTCAATCCTAATTTTGTTATTTTTGACTCATTTAACATAAGCAGCTATCTAAGACTTATGATTTATAGAAATATTTCTAATAGCAAAGTAGTTTCATGAAAAAGTAAGTTTTATGAAATGTTATTTATTTTAAAAATGTATCAAAAGCTATGATTCACTTAATGAATCAGGACTTAAACAGGAAAGCATATTTATTTTAGTCCTTTTACATAAACTTGCTGGCTTACTTGCTGCTCACCAACTCTGTATCTCATCTCAGTTTTTCTCCCAGAGAGCTGTGAGCACTTCCTTGTGTGCCTCTGGGTCTTTCTGTGATGTCTGTCCTTACTGAGCTTCCTCTTGAGCAGACAGAGAATTCACCCTGCCTCAGTCAGTCTCCTCCCTTTGCAGCCAGACCCAAGAAACACACTTGGCTCTGCAGCTCCAGTTCTTCACCTCTGCTGCTAACACAGCTATGATCACCTCAGCTGTATATTCTGCAGAGCCACCAAAGTGGTTTTACACCTTTCCTGCATAAATTACTCCTTTTCTATCTCCCTGTTCCCCCTGTGCTATGCAGAAATCCAGAAACTTTACTCTGAGTACTTTGCTTTGTCTCCTCAAGTTTAGAAAGGACAGAGGGAAAGACAGATGGGAAAAGATGAAAAAGTCAGAAAAAGGAATAATGTACCATGCCAGCACAACCAAAATGTGCTTTCATTTTTATAATAAATCCCAAGTGTACAGTTAAGGCTGTGGCCATCACCAGAAGTCAATCATTTTAAGTGACCTGAAATGCCTCACAGGCTCCTGAGGAGCCAGGCTGGCACACTTCCCAAACACAGGTGTGTCCTGGAGGCACTGCCTGCAGTTGTGTGACGGGATGAAGTCACATGCTGAGCACTGTGCTGCTAGATTACTGAAATTCTTAATGTGTGTTTGTAGCTCCTTGCATATGAAAAGCTCTCCCTAGGTGCTGGGAATTTATTCTGAGTGAATTTTTAATAGAATAAAATCCTGTTCTACTGTACTCATTATTGAATCAATCTAAATGGAAAGAGGATAGGATTATAAAGACTAAAATTATTCTAAACAGTACTGTCTTATTAAATTGAATGAAATATTATAGCTTGATAAATTACATATAGCTTGCATAAGCCTCGCACACACATTTAATTATACAATTAAAGTTATAGCTTAAATATTCTTTTTTACTCTTCAGAAGTTCTGGAAATTTTTGCCTGTTCCACAGCTTGATTATTTTCACAATTCTTTCTGAACAATTTCAGTTTATTGTTGCATCTTGGCTGTAAAAACTGCATTAGAAAGCTTGTGTTTGAAAAATCAATATCTGCTTGAACCCTAATTCATAGATATACACCCCTTATACTTAAATTTTCTTTCCATTTGCTTCCTCAAAATGTAAAGTCAATGTTACATTGGATTCACAGCTGTCCATTTGAGCAATCATAAAAAAATAAATAAGTTTGCAGTCCTATTTAAGGAACAGTAAAGAAAGGACATACTTGTTTCCTTGCAAAAACAAAATAAACCAAGTCCCATCATGCATTTAAAGAGATATTCTTGGAGAACACCATGATCACAGGCATTATTCTGAGGTCACACTGGAATCCTGTGATCCTCAGCACAGAGTTTTCATTGAGTTTTCATTTCAAAACAGTATAACCAATTCCACTGATGCCTTTGTAACTTCTGTGCCTGTGCAACTGTATCAAAAGTGTGAAAAAAAGCATGAAGTGTGAGTGTCATCTTAATGCCACAGATACCAGTTGCTGTCTGCTGCTTATCTCTCCAGGGTGTCACAAATCCACCATCCTGCAGCTCTCTAAGTGGCATTTTCCCTCAGGGCTGTGAAATATAAACACACAGGGTGAAAAACAGAGCAAGAGGGAGGAGGAGGAGGAGGAACTGCCGTAGGTTACAGACACTCCTGCTCCTCTGTCTGTCACACAGGGCCTGAAGCAGGCTGTGGGCTGGATTAGCTGCACTTCCACACAGGGCAAACCCAGCCTTCGGGAGCAGACAGATCCAACCTGACAGCAAACAGCAAAACCCAAAATACTGTGCACTTCATCATCACATTATCTAGTCCAGCATCCTGTTCAAGGTTTATGCACATGTTTTTTATTAAAGCCCTAAGCTTGTTGGTTTGACTGAAGCACAGCTTGTGTTTTCACTAAAACATCTTCCAGAACTGCACCCAGGCTCACTTGGAGAAAAGAAAGTACCAATTAGTGCCACTGGGAATTTTCTTCAGTGACTCTCTAGTTTCTTTCACCTGTTAGACATTTGTTCCTCTTACAACTTTATTCACTAAAGAGATGTTCAGTACCCACGACTGTCTTCCTGATCTTTCTCTTTTTCCTCAACTTGCTGTCCAGAGTTAACTGATAAAAATAAGAATTGATGAGGGACTCCTGCATGTTTGAGAGATGTTTAACAAGATGTCCAGTTTTTCTGATCTCAGAAGAATCACACATCAGAGATTTTTGTATTTCCTGGTTTTGGTAGTTTGTTGGGGTGTTTTTATTTTTTTTTAGCAAATTATTGATCTAAAGCTCTAAGAAAGCTCTATCTCTTTGACATTTCCTCAGGACCTTAATAACCCTGGCTGAATTACAGCAACTGTTTCTTTGCTGCTCCATCTCAGCCTTGCTACTCCTGCTGTTCCACTTGCAGACACTTCCACCAGCTAATGGCTGAATCTTGTTTCCAGCATCTGTCCCCTGGGAAACCTGTTTGGATACAGGGTTTAGCATCTGCTCCAGCCTTGCCATCTGGCTGGGGGGTGGGGATGGCTCCTGGGGTTTTTGGTGGGGTGAAGCAAGGAGAGTAGTGCCTTCCTCATGAAAAAAAAAAAATGCTGAAGAAATTTCAGCAAAGTTCTCCTTAAGGGTAAAGCCAACTCCCAGCTGACTAAAGGAGATTAAAGGGAGCTGTGAAACCATGAGCTGGGCATGCAATGGCATCCTGCTCCTTTGGCTGGAGCCAGCCCCAGATCAGGGACTCTGCAAGGAACCTCCCTTCCTCTGCCTGCTAAATCTCTGTTTCACCTCAGCACAATTGTAGTGACAAACAGCAACCAAGACCCCTCACATCTTTTCTTTTAAACCTAACTGGACATTTCAAGTAGGTCTCAGACAGATGAGGAGAATAGACTCTTCATCTCAAACAACTTTTGGGGGTTTTTCATGCATTCCAATTTGTAAATGCTAAAAAACCATAAATGCTGGTGTTTTTCTCTGGCAATGAACACCCATCTCTCCCCACCAGAGGGAGGGACAAACCACTTCCCACTCCTCCTCTTCAGACAGCTGTTTTCAACTCAAAAACTGTGGTTTTGCCACAACATCCTGCTGGGAGCTCATGCCAACCTGCATGCTCATTGTATCCCTGATCCTTCCAATCTTTCATTTTCTGTTTTTTTTATGTGTAACTTCACATTTGGCTGTGTTAAAGTGCATTTCTGTTTCTTTTTCAAGTTACACTCCTGTCCCATTCACACAGGATTGCTTTGCTAATCTTACATCATTCTCACAATGGTCTGCAGTGATTTTTGTATTTATTTCAAAACTGCCTAAAGTACCAAATAGAGTCTGCTAGTGGTATCAGTAGAAAATTGGCCCTTTAAATAATCACTCTTCACTTACTGCCTTTTAACTGAGAATTGCAATTTAGCCAGTTCTCAGTCCCTTCAGTGTGTGCTCAGGATCATAGCCTACTATCATATTTTAAAGCAAAAAAAGGTATTTATTTCATACTCCAGCCAAACCAGAGAACTTCTCAAACAATCACATTTGTTTGATAATTTTACACCAAAATATGTTGACTAGCATGTTTCATTTTGTAGTTTCATATTTTAATCCCATTTCAGCTTTTAAAAAAAGATTAATAGAAATAGTTCTTTCCAAACTTTGCACATCAGCACAATATTTCTGTGCATACCTTTTTCTTCCTGTTGCCATCTTTGATTTATCAAAAGCAGTTTCACAATAACTTTCCGTGTTGGTGATTCATCCACTCATTCCTGTCCAAACTCCCTTTGGATCTGTAGGACTGGTTAAGTATCTTCATGTGCAAGTATTTTTTTTTCTAAATCCTAGGTTGATGTTTGGAATGCTGTTGATGCAGGAATATGCTCTGCATAGCTGGAGTTAATTTGGTTGCTGTCAAATCTGTTCCAGCACAGAACAGCTGATAGCAGCATTTATCAGTTACTGTCTTTGGGTTTTGGTTTGGTTTTTTCTTTTTTTGGAACATGTAGATGGCATAAAAAATGTATGCACAATTCTTTAGCAACATCTGGTAAATGCACCCAAAAGTGGTGATCTTTGCTAGCTGTGCTGTCTTTATATCTGATTTCTGGCTTTTCAGTGACAGTAGAGAGAATGGTACCCCAGAAAGGCACACAGGCCAAGCAGTGCTCCACAGCCAGCTCCAAGGAGCACATTACTTTATTAAAGCTGACAAACATTGTCTTTGTTTTTGCTCCAGCTTTCCAGGGAAAGTACACATGACTGCAAACCCCAAGACAGACAGGCTGGGAGAGCATGTTTATCTTCAGGAGTAATTGAGACCGATTTGCATCCAATATTTGAGGCCTGTGCAATACCACGTTGCCCTTTCTGAGATAATTTGAGAGGCTCTGCTCTCCTACAGCAGCCTGAGGTAGCCTGTGAGCATTCCTACACAACAGAGAACAGCTCTGGGCAGCTAATCCCTGCTGCAGCACGTACACTTCTTTTTGTTCTCTTCTGAGACCAAGAATTTGATGTGGCTTATCTGGCTAAAGGACATACTTCTTTCCAATGTTAACTCTTGTGATTTGAAATTTGACTCCAAAATTAAATTTTTCTATCAACTCATCTTGTTGAATCTTGCAAGATATTGATTCACATCTCCTTTGTTTGCTAAACAGGTTTGGCCAAAGTTCTCACCAATTGCTGTGCTGTGATGGGTGGGCTTAAGGTCTCTTTTGTCCTGCTAATACCGCTCAAAGAAAATATCTGATAGAAGTGGGTAAATTTATTTAACCAAAACTCCACTGTTAAGGATGCCACAGCTCACCAGTCCCTTGGAATTTGAAGTCATTTGCCACCTTTTAGGCTGCTCCACTCAAACTGCTGGTGTGTCAGTTTTTGTTCAGCTTTACTATTTCATCTCTCTCTAACTACACTACCCACAGCAAATGTGACCCACCGACAAATTGTTCAGATGTGTGAGAAATCCTATTTTAACCTCAGAGATGGTTCCCCCTAGATTTGGCTTCCTGTGGACATGAAATGTCCATCTTGACTGAATCCTGCATTTATTTTTTTCTGTGAGTCATTTATGCAATTAATCCTGCTGTGAAGTTAGCTGTTGTTATTACTTCTGGGCAAGCAAAGTGCAAGTGCAAATGTCCTGGACAATGCCAACATTCCTGGACATACAAGGTTTTCTTTTTCTGACTACTCAGGGTGGGCAATTGCTTCCACATTCTTTTGCACAACTTTTTTTTGTCCTCCTCACTTTTGTATCCGAACAGGAACAGCTCTGGCACAGCTTCCAGAGGCACAGCAGCTTTGCTGATGATGGCTCCCACCCCATCCTTGTCTTTGCAGCATTTCACATCTGTACCTCTGACACAGAGCATTATGCACAACCAGCACCTCACGAGCCCTCTGCCCTTTGAAGCACTTACTTTTATTTTTAGAGAAGACACATTCTGTTTCATAAGTTGTTGGATCAGCTTAGCACCCTGGCTGGGGGCATGATTGCTTTGCTCCTTTGCTACAAAGAGTTTTGATCTTGTTATCTGTGCTGTGACAGGGAAGCAGGGAAAAGACTTTGTTGCAGCATTTTGTAATGGTATTGGACCTACAGTATTTCACTTTTTTTTTTTTTTTTTAACATTTTGTGCAACATCTAGAATTGGAGTATGACTGCAGATCTGAGCAACTCATAAAAGAACAGCATATGACATCATGTCCCAAAATTATTCCACATTGCTGCTTGGGTCATCTGGGCCCATATGTCTCCTGTGCTTACACAGAAAAGCAGACATTCATTGCTGCTTCACAGTTTAGTTTCATAAATTAGTTGCTCATTTTCACACTTGTAATAAGAAAAAGCTACATAGTGTAAATAATAATTTTTAGCATTATGTTAAAAAAAAAACAAACAACAAACAGCAGCATGAGAAACTGAGAAACTCAGGTTTTAGTCCACTGATGATCATAGAAAAATCACTAAATTGGGAAAATTATATACTAAAGCAAGTCTGTAGACTTGCAAAGACAGTCTAGATAAGCCTAGATTTCCTGAAATGGTCTAACTTAACTGTAAAGAGATAGTCCACTTTCTAAATTGTATCACTTTTAAATTTTCTTATTTTCTGCATTTGCATTTCTGCTTTTCTCTTTGATATGTGCCTACATTTCAGAGTCATTTCAGGATGAGGTGTTTGTGAAAATTTTTTCTTGATGATTTTATCACACTGTTCAATAAATTCCTCTCATAAAAATAACTCCCAAAATTTCAAGTACATCGCTGCATGCCATCCCCCGAATGAAGGCATGACAGTGAATGACTGTATAGTGCCAATTAAGTTCTACAACTCACTAACTTAAATATAGCATTGCTCATTTCATCGTGACTACTCATGGAAGTGAAATTACTTCAGTGCTCAAATGCTTGTAGGGTGAAGTGACTTACAGAAGTGACTTACAGAGGACCAAGTTAAGCAGTTCAGTCATGACTCTGTGACTGAGCCAAGGCCTCCAGAATCACTGAATCATGGAATTGTCATGGTTGGAGGAGACCTTCAGGATCAGCCCGTCCAACCACCAGCCCAGCACTATCCCTGTAACCCCTAACCCAGTAACCCACATCACCCAGCACCACTTTCAGATGCCTTTTGAACCTGGGCAAGAAACTATTCCATTGACTGCCCACCCTGTCGGTGAAATTTTTTTCTAACATCTAATCTGAATTTCCCCTGTCTCATGTTTCTTGGGATCCTCTGCCGGCAGAGCAGCACAGACGGGCCTGCCCTGGTTGGGCAGGGAGTCAGGCCCCGCCTGAGGCTCCATTTCTCCAGGCTAAACACCGCCAGCTCCCTCAGCCGCTCCTCACAAGACACATTTCCTAGACCTTTCACGAGCGGCAGCTCCGCTTATATTGATTTTTGACACATCTTCAGGATTTTTGTTCTCCTCTTTTCCCCCACCACCCTAAAGCCAGCACGGCAGCACCCCATGCCCATGACAAAGCAAACCCATGTCCCCACGCACCCCTCCTTCCTCGTTGAGCCACACGAGCCTCTCCGAGAACGGGACGCGGATGCGGGAGGGATTTTCGCTAAAACAACGGATCCCTTACAACGAGGAGTTCGCTCGGTTCGGTTCGGAGCGGCTGGTGCGGGACCATGGCTCCTGTGACGGAGCGGTTCGAGCCGGGCCGCGGCTCCTGAGGGGGCTGGTGCGAGCCGAGACCGCCTGTCCCGCGTCTCCTCGGTCCCGGTGCCCAGCCATGCCTCGGCACCGGTGCGGCCGCCGGACTGCATTTCCCGGGGTGCCCCGCGGCGGGGTAGGGCTGGCCATGCGGCGGAAGGGGCGTCGCTCCCGTCGGCGGCGGAAGGGGCGTCGCTCCCGTCGGCGGCGGGGGCAGCTCTATCCGGGCTCTTGGCGCTCTCTCTTCCTTTCGCGCCGGCGGCCGCTGGAGGCGGCGGGTCCATGTGCGCTCGGCGCGGCCCCGGCCCCTGCCCTCCGCGCTGCTCCCGCCATGGACCCCAGCGGCATCATCGAGGCCCTGCGGGGCACCATGGACCCGGCGCTGCGCGAAGCCGCCGAGAGACAGCTCAACGAGGTGAGGGCGCCGCCGGGCCTGGGCCGGGGCCGCGGCGCTGGGGAGCGGGGACGAGGCCGGCCCGTGGGAGGGGGAGCGGGGCGGGGGCGGAGAGGGTCCCACCGGCCCCTGGGCCCGCTCGCCCGCCGCCGCGGCCCCTTCCCGCCGGGCGCGTCCCGCCGGCCGCAGGCCGGGCCCGGCGTGCATTGTCCCCGCACATGGCAGCGGGGCCGGGCGGGGCTGCTCGGGCGGGGGGCAGCGGCAGAAAACGGCCGAGGCCCCCCGGCCTCTCTCGGCGGGAACAAATTGCCTCCATTGTCTCCGTGCTCAGCCGGGAAAAGGGTGATCGCGGAGGGGGGTTTAAAACCGCCCTTGTGCAGGCCCTCGGTGGCTCCGCTGGACACAGCCCTGCCCGGGACCGCTGAAGCGACATCAGCCTTTGGGTGTTAAAAGCACTAACTGGGCAGCGGGGAAGGAGGCAGCGAGAGCCCCATCGCTTCGCAAGCAGTGCCGCCTGTAAGAGTGGCCTGGACTGAGTTCAGAAGCAAATCTGATGGCCTGGGCTGAGCTGAGAATCAGATCTGGCAGGCTGGCGGTGTTTGGTGTTCCAGATGCCGTGGGCCCCGGGTTCAGCAGGGCTGCCGGGGTAGGTGTGCTCCTGGGTGGATGCGGACACGTGTCCCAGGGACGGGGGCAGACAGGGTTCCCAGCCCAGGTGTGTCATCCTTGCACTGCGCGCACCTGCCAGACTCGCATGTAACATCCCAGATGCTCCCAGTTCCAGCGACCTCGGATTTGGAAGAAGATTATATTTTTGTTCTATTTAACCTCACCTGGTAGATGAAAACTTTATTGACATGAGACAGCCACGGAGCTTGTAGACATTTGGAGAACAGAAGTGTTTTAGTGTTTAAAAAGAGGATGTCTTGGTGGAGGAGGTGAAGGATAAGCCTGCATGGCAGCTCTTGTGGTGCCTTTAGTTGGCTTTTTCCACAAACATGTTCCCTGTTGCTCTTAAGCAGACTTTAGGCCTGACAATACTCATGTAATGCAACAGATGTTCAGCAGAGCTTAGATAAAGGTGGGCCAAATGTTCTGCTGGCAGTGGAGAAAATTAAAAAAACTAAAGGTAGAGCTTCTCAGAAAATTAAAAAGTGATTCTTGCATGTTATTAAATAAGTGGCTGGCAAATAAATATTAGGTACCTTTGAAATAGATAGCTCTATAAAACTATTCAATGACTAATTGAGACTTGTATGAAGTAATTGCTTGTCTTTTCATGTACTCTGTTAAAGAGTATGTTAGTGTTTGTTATTTAAATCAAAAATGCAAAAAATATGATGGCCTATAAAGACAGTAATATCTATGAAATCTTAAGCTGGCCCCAAAATGCATTTTTTTTTTTATATTCAATGGATGTCAATATTTATATATAGTAACTTGCTTGAAATCTATTCTAGTTCTTTTCTGCAGGTATTGAGTTGCTGAAGGTGCAGGAAATTACCATTCACTGCCGGCTGGGGTCTTCAGCAAATGGCAAACTCTTGCAGGAAGGATTGTGCTCGCTGGCCACTGGCTTTTGTTCTCACTTTGGAATCAAAACCCCATGGTCCATCGTGTACTACACAAGTGCTAAATTGGCATAAAATCTGAATAGTTGTGCCCCTTTAAAAGGACCAGATATTACTGAACCAGTGTGTAAGAATTCTTAGTTGTGGGAAATTGAGCATCACTAATCTCTCACAGATATTTTGTGATAAAAATATGGGCTAAACCAGAAGTCTGCAAGCACTTACACACACATTCAGCTTTATTCACATGTGTGGTCTTGGTTTTACTTAGGTTTATTGAAGTCAGCTATGCATTTTCTTGCAGGATGCTGGTCTGAATTTGTTGACTGTTAGAGCGATTCTGTTACCAGTTAATAGCTAACTACAGGTATGGGGGTCTCTTTCTCTGTAAAAGTGAGATCACAGCAGCAGTATACACTGTTCTTGCACATGGCCAGGCTGCACAGGTGTTTTTATAGCTTAATAGTTGTCCTTGGTTGGCCTTTCAGTTTACTTTAATTTTTCAGAAGTGCCTGTGAACTGATGAGACTGGCTTTCAGCAGAATGGTCATTTTACCCTAGCAGAAAAGACTGTGCATCATCAGTCAGTAATTGATATTCCTGATTAGTGCAAGAGATATCAAATTAGGTGAGAGTTAACCAAGTATTTGTATCTGTCTTCACCATATACTATCAGTCAACAAAATTCTCCTGACTGGAGAAGGGGACTGGAGAGTATGATTCTTGATTTGTTCAGGCTCTTGTTATTTTTCCTTTGACCTTGGCTAAGTCATGAATTATTCTATGCTTTATTTCTCCTTTCACTAAGTTTTATCAGGTTATGTTGCCTGTACATAAAAGGCTGTGAGAACTTTGAGAGTTGAGATAATGATAAAAAGCAAGTATTTCGGTCTCCTTGTCCTTACTTTTCTCACTGTGAAAAGAAGTTTCAGGGAATGAGATCACTGACTCTTGTGTCTCAGCATTTTCAGCTGATGGGGTACCCTGGGGTGTTCACCCATCTCTGTCTCTGTCTCCTGTGTTTTACCAGGACTTAGAACCAGACTCTTCAATTAAGCTACTGGAGAGCAGCAGGAAGACATTGCTGCCTTTTGAAATAGTCTTTGTGCTTCATGTGTAAAGAGTTTCTCAGAAATTGTGATGAAAATAGACATTTTTAACTATGCAACTATGGAATGGCACTCTGAAAGCAATACAGAGTGTTGTTTCATCTTCTAATATCAACATATTTATAAAGGTGCAGTTGCTAGATAATACTTTCCTTGCAGGTTTTTTCTTTTTAATTCCAGGGAATTTATAACTTCACTGTGAGATGTCTTGTAAGTCTCTGAGATTCACCTCAGTGTGTGAGCAAGTAAGACATCTCTTTAGATGTCATTAAAATAAATTTAGAATTTTTGTGTCTGATAATGTTTGGGGGGAAAAAAAGTGCAGCCCCCTATAACTCATAATTTTTTTTAAGTCAGCTCAACAGAGTTTGTTTAGGAAGAGATCCTGATGCTCTACTGGGAAGTGACTTTCAGAAGTTACATTTAAGGTTTTTTGTGTCCTAATGTGAGTGACAGGGAAAGGATAAAGAGGGATTCCTGTTGGCTGGCCACCATCACCATTGATTTCACAGTGCAGTAGGGCCTGGTTCGGTGCCTTTCTCTGCCTCCTTAATAGCTACAAATGTCACAAGGATGGAATGGTTACATTAAATGATTGGATTCTTAGCTGCTGAGGGTTTTGGAGTGGAAGGTTGTCAAAGGGGAGGAGGCAAGCTTCTTCTTACATGGAGTCTTTCAGACAGGACTTTTCAAATGCTGAATGCTATGGATACTTTGGGCGAGGTTTTTATAGTGTTACCTCCAGCTTGAAATTTTTTTAACCTTTTCTAACATGGTCTGCATGTGTAACATCTACAGCTCTGTATTGTAGTGTAAGGAAAAGAACAGAGCATGAGTTTCTTGGCTTTGAATATCAGATCATGGGGTCTCTTTTGAAGTTGTTGGTGTGACATTTTACCCGAAGTACTTCTTTACTTTCACTTCCCTCCTGTTCCATCGGTACATTCTGGTGCTGCTAGATGAGGGCTGCTTTGGGTGTTCAAAGCTGCATTTGCCAGGGCTGGTCCAACACCAGGAATCCCCTTGGGGGCAGTAAGGAACCGAGGGAGCCTTGGCTCCACTGGGAAGAGGTTTCCTTCTGGGTGCGAGTTGCCCAGCACGAGGTAAAATCCGGGCAGAAAGGGCCACTTGTCACTTTCTCATGACTTAGCAAATAGTTCCTGTGTGTGCCTAGCCTGCCTCTGCTAGGAGCACATTGCTTTTTCCTCAGCCAGGAGAGCAAATAGTCCTGCAAACTTGCAGACAGCCGTGAAAGGAGCAGGCAGGGATGTTTGCAGGAACTGCTAAGTGTGTGTCTATCTTTTGTTAAACTAGGTTTGCATATACATTGTAGCTGCGTAAGAGGGGGCAAAACTGGCTTGCAAAAAACCCGAGGTCAGAACGACTTCCACACCTGCTGAGTTCTTAAAAAAGAATTAAAAGAGTGCTACAGGGCAGTTTGCTGATTCAGCGTGGCCTTACAGCTCCTGACCTTACCTTTCTCTAAGAAAACAGTTTCATCTCAGTGTAATAGTTACATGCACCCTGTCCGCTATGGCCCAGATCAAAAATTGCGTGTAGATTTTTTTCCCCAAAACTTGAATGGAGGAGAAGCATTGAATTTTTCTTTTTATCTACTTTATTTTTAAAATGTTAGTCTTTATTCACATTTGTGCTACTTTGAATAGCTATATAAATAACCTGGGGTTCCAGTTCAGCAGCATTTAGTAAGTGTTGCTCATCTGTTCTGCTTTTTTGGGCAGCAGTAAAGGAGGTGCCTATTGTAGTGTGTTTGTTATGGTATGTTAGCTTCCTGATGTCTGAAAAGAATGCATGGAGATCTTTTTACCCAAGATGAAACTTGGTTTTAAGATGTAGAGGCATGCAGGCTTTGTGTGAGAGATTATTATTCCAGCATTAAAGATTAGTTTAAGTTACTGCAGTGAGTATCATTACTGGAGGAAAAGTGCTTTTCCACGTTGTAATTAACTGTTCATAGTTCACATGCCATGAACTGATCTCTTCAGTGTTAACTTTGAACTTCTTTCCTCTTTTGGACTCTGCAGCTCTGGTGTGTGATACTTTTCTCAAAAGTCTCTTTTAGCACATGTCTAACAAAGCAAGCCTGCTAGGAAAAGCTGCAGTGTGCAAAAAGATTGTGTGTTCTGGGGCAGTGATTGGTATTAACAGACAGTGGTGCAAGGTTTGTGGTCTGATAGAACACATTCCTCAGCTAGCCAGGCTGCATAGCAAAGATTGCTCTTGGGAAAAGTCCCCGAATTCTTTGGCTCTTAGACAGCAAAGTCATACCAGTGACATGGCATGTTGGACCTTTTGTAAGGGGGAAGGATTTGAGACGAGTTTTGGTTTTGCTTTTCTTTAAATGCTGAGTTAAGTGCTAGAAAACGGACTTCTGTGACAGAACTATTTTTGAAATAATACTGTAGTTCTCTAAATGTAATGTTTACTTCTAAATGGTACATGTTAACAAGGAGCAAGAGAATAAAAGTAAAAAATTTATCAATGTCAGAGCTTTAAAGTCTTAAATTTTCTGTTCTTCATGCAGTTTAGCGTATGTGATAGTGACCATTGTGAAATCCTGATTTTAGTTCAAAACTGAACCTAAAATAGGTGTGGTTTTTAGTCTGGTTGTTATTTTAGCAGTGCAGTCAGTGAAGAGGAGCATGTTGTCCTAAGAGGCAGCCCTCTTGGGGCAGTAAAGTTATTAAAGATGGAAATAGCTGAAAGAGATGTGGATTCAGTATTTTTTAGTGCTGTGGATACAAAAAGGCACCTATGGTGGTGTCTTGTTTTAGGTTCAGTTGTTTTTCTCCAAGTAAAGCACCGGGTGCTCTTTTTAAGAGTGAAGCAGAGCAATGAGAGGTGATTGTAGTACCTGGTGTTTTATCTGAGCATTCAGTACACCCTTGTCTTCATGGAACTGTCCCTGCTCATCCCTGCAGCTCAGTTTCTCTGCAATCACCTTCCTTTCAGTGCCTTGGGAAGGAGTTTGGGAGTCCTTTACATTCCAGAGAGAATGCAAGGAGGTGTGAATGTAGCTCTGTGTGACTGTAGGTCTTAACGGAGGGGATTAAGAGCAGGCTTTGATTGGCAAGTACAAGGTATTTTACTTGTATTAAAAGCACAGATTATATCTTGGCTGAATCTGCTTTGAACCACTAAAGGTGATAAAGCAGCTCATCCTCCTGCTTGGTCGGAGTCTGGTGCTTCAGATGCTAATAAGGATGATACTTGTAAGATTTTTAGAAAACCAAACAGATAATGGTGTAGATGTTTCAGTTTTGTCCCCTAAAGTTTGCTGTAGTTCAAAGAACCCAATGAGAATATATTAATCCCACATACTAATAGAATTAATATTTCTAGGGAGCTTCTGTAGCCTGCTATAGGCACAGGCTCAGTCCTATCTTTGTAAATGAAGAAAACATTCTTTGGTGTTTTATTAAATTTCAGTGTGTGGCAGTTTTGTACACTGCTGCCTATTTTTTGTTTCTTTTATGACATAAGATTTTTGAAATTTAATTTCTTTTGGTTTTCCCATTAGTTCTTTAGTAGCTCTTAAGCATTATTTCCATATTTGTTGCTGAAATGGATGGGTTTTACTCCAATAGTGGTCATTTATCATGGAAAAGGGAAAGTAATCCTTCATTTTTTAAATTATAGGATTAAATGCTTCTGCCTTTGCAAACATTGCAAATTTTCACTATAAAAAAGGTATCTGTTAAGCTTATAGCCCTTGTGGAAAGACATCAGTATGCACTTTTAAGTCCATTTTATGCAGACTAATATGACCTTATTGCAGGTGAGTTAAAGGTTATTGAAACTGAAAGCTTTCTTCAGGTTCAGGACACGTTAAAGACAGGAGCACTTCCGCTGCCATGAATGTTGAGCGTATAATTGAGTGCTGTGCTGAATTAGGGTCTGATGTCATTGGCAATGTGCTGCAGGACTCTGTGTGTCTATTAATGTTCCTTAAGGAAAGGAGCAACTTAACGGGCCTGGAGCTGTGGGGAAATCAAACCCAACTAGTAAATTTTATTTTAAATTTACTTATTCAGCCATTACTTGGCAGTTGAAGACAATTGCCTTTTTTTAATTTTTTTTTCCATTTGAAAGTGTTTTTGCTTCTTGAGGACTTGGGGAATATCAGAGGGACATGGGTCAGCAGGACGTGTGCTCATATTGCAGTGTCAGTTACTCTCAGTTCATCAAACCACACTCTGTAAATAAACATTTCAGTGGGACCAGGTGCTTCTGAGTGCTCTGGAGCCTGTAGAGTTTTAGTGCACAGGATGAATGTGTACAGCAGTGTTTTAACATTTTGGGCAGATTCTTAAGTGAAGTTTGTCCTTCATTTAAAATCTGTTTTAAAGAACAGGATGTAGACAACAAGCTGCACTAACCAAACCTGAGTACCAATGTCATGTCCCAGGCTGTCCCTTTCACACTTGTTTATACTGGAACCTATTGGAGATACTTGCTCAGGAAAATGAAAATTAAAGAGAACATTCTGGTACTGTAGGAGTGAGCTGAGCAGCGTGACACACTTAGGAGGAATCTTGTCATCTTTTCATACTGTCAGAAGAGTTTTTGGTCATACTAAAGGAATGGAAGGAGATGAAGTTGCTGTAGTATCTGAGGCAGACATTTTGTTTTCATAAATAGTGTGTGTAATTTCAATGGTTTTGAAAGTAACAAGTGGGTAAGAGGTGCTTTCCTAAGAGTTCAGCAGGTTAAAATATATGGATCTATGCAGTTGTCTTTGATGGGGAACTGCAGAGAACATAGGAAACAACATTGACATGTAAGTGAAGATAAAGCAGAAAAGCAAAGCTGTTTGGAAGTTGGATGAGGCAGATCAGGACTTGTCCAACAGAATGTCTCTAAGGATGAGGTCCCACTGCCTTTGTGGATAAGTGTCCCAGGCCTTGGCCTCCCTTCTGACATTTTCTTCCATGCATAAAAGAGGGATTTCCCACTGTAACTCATGTCCATGGACTCTTGACCTCAAGGAAAATTATGTTGGGTTTCAGTTAAGAAAAGCAGAGGTAGTTTTTAAGGATTGCAACTCACTTTTCCCAGCAAAATTAATTTATTGTCTGGAGTTCTTGATGCTTGGGAAAGATGGGTAAAGGGTGTTATAGTAATGTTAAGGTTTGTTTCCTCATTGAAAATACAATCCAGTCCCTAAGGTGTTAGTGACAGTTCTCATTATGGTAAGAAAAAGCATTTTTTGTTTTCTTTCTAAGTGAAACTCCTGCATGTTCTTGGGAAGTTGTTACTGTGCAGATGTGTCTCCATTTGGATCTCCCTGCTGTTTGCTGTGGTGTGGCTCTCTGGACAGCTGCTGCAGTAGTGCATCAATGGTCCCTTGAAACTGATTTTTCAGAAGGATGAAGTAGGGCTTGGACTTAGTTTTAAAACATAGTTCCCATCTGTTTCTTAGCTTATTATCTCATGAACTCATACCTTGCTAGAGGTCACTGTAAACTTGCTGTGCTTTGGTTTTTTGGGCTGTTCAGGGGCTCTTGCTTCGAGCGTTTGTGCTGAATGGGGAACATGTTTGGTGATTGTGGAAGGCTGATTCCTGTTCAGTGATTTCTTCAGCTGTTACCTTAAGCAATAGGGTTTTTCCTCACCCTTGCTGTCTTCAAAATACAGTGAACACAAAACTTTGGAATGCTTTGGCTGATTAGCTGACTCCTGTGCAACTGGCTGAATTGCTGGTATTCTATTGATTGCATTACATCATTATAAAGATATTGTAAAATGTAATGGAAGTATTCTAAAACTTAACTTTTTTTTTTTTCTCTCCATAGGCTCATAAGTCAGTGAACTTTGTTTCAACTCTGCTTCAGATCACTATGTCCGAGCAACTGGATTTACCAGTGAGACAGGCAGGCAAGTTTTCAAATATTTTTGTTATTGTATCTACTCAAATGGTGCATACACACAAGTACACATGCAGGTACTGTTAAAGAATTCTAATGGTTTTAATGTCAAGCACTCAGAAGTTGGGAGTTGCTCACATTACAGTCATCATAAGCTTTTATCTGGTACTATTCACTGAATAAGGAAGACAGAAAGAAAAGGTGTGTCTGGCTCTTGGAGGATTCTTCCCCTTTATCCCTAGTGAACATTCCTGGGGGAAGCAGAATGGTTTATGATGCTGTTGCACTTGGTCCAAGGAGGTCATTTAAACTTGTACTGGGAGCACTAATGTTTCTAAACATACTAAGTGGAAGAAAACAGATGATGTCTTTTGGAACTCTGCTTATTTGCACATGAGCCATCATTAAAATCGGATGTTGATTATTGACAGCTCCAAACATCACCTTAAAGTTGCTCTAAGTACTTGATAGAGGTTTTTAGTACAATACTTCAGTGAGTTTTCTGACTGGTCAGGAGGGTGTGATCTGGACTGCTTATTTGGACTTTCTGTGTAGTAAACTACTCTAAGCTGTAGCCTAAACTTAGCTTGCATTTTTATCTTACTGCTTGTGGGTACCATTCAAATGATGACTCGAAAAGCTTACTGCTCTACAAGTGTCACATGCAGAAAGAAGTTTGAAGAAAACGTCTGAAGTTTCACCCTCCTCCACCAAACCAATTAAACGCAAAGCATCCTGTGGAGAGTGGGGATGGCTCATTCAGGGCCCAGCTTACAAACAGGGTGTGTTTGCCAAGCAATTATGGATAAATCTTTCCAAGGGCTAGCAGAAGTCTCATTACTTCAGTCTTGTAATAATCTGCTGAGTGTTTCTTGACCTCTGCAGACACTTTCAGAAACCCTCTGGTTTCTGAATCTTCAAAAGGTGCATATGGTATTTAGGAAGAGAAGTAGCTTTATGGACTTTTATGTAGAATTAGATTAACAGTAACTTTGTTACCAGTTCACCATTTTAGATTTCCTGTTGCATGTTGAAGGAACTTTTCCAAGTGCTGCGTTTTATATTCTGCCACACAAGCAGTTTGGATTTCGTTGTTAAATGGTAAATGCAGGGTTTGTTCCAAGAGCCTGATTGCTAGAAATTGCTGTAGCCCATAACCTGGGTATAAAGGAGCTCTGTTTCTCTTGCATTCATTCCTGTATCACTAACTTAGATTTTTTTTTTAGCTTACAAGGGCTGTTTTAGGTTGTCATTAGTATTGATCAGCTTATCTTTTTCAGTTTTAATGGAAATATTGAGAAAATCATTATAATGGATTTTTCAGAAGTGTGTTGCTAAATAGTTCCACAGCTACTTACCTGAATCACAACTAAAAGCAATACCTGTAGTACTTTTATATTAAGTGGGTGAAAGAGTATCAGTTTAGTAAATTATTGGGTTAATAACTTGCATGGTTTATGTATTTTGATTCTCCTACTTAGGAAGGGACAATGATTTTGTAATTTTGGTCAGTTTTGTTCTAAAAAATATTTGCTTGCAAGATGTGTGTTTGTTTTGTGCTTGGAATGGCTGCCAGCTGATTTGGCACTCTTGTTTCACAGGGGTTATCTACTTGAAAAATATGATAACCCAGTATTGGCCGGACCGTGAAAGTGCTCCTGGGGAGATCCCACCTTACTCCATCCCAGAAGAGGACAGACACTGCATCCGTGAGAACATTGTAGAAGCCATCATCCACTCTCCTGAGCTGATCAGGTGCACACTTTCAGCCTCTGTGTCAATTGCCTGTGGATTCTGACTCTTGGGTTTCTGTCTTTTTATATTTTTCCCCCAGCCAAGATCACCCACGTGCGAAGCATCATTGTCACACACTGTGTATCCTAAACATAGAATTAATCTAGATGGAAAAACAATTTTCAGCTTGTGTAACATGTAGAAATTTGTAGAATATTAAGCAGAAACTAAACCTAAACCTTGTAAACAAAAAGGAAGTCTAAGTATGGACACTATTTGCTGCTTCAACACTACAAGAATGTTATTAAAATACTAGTAGTACCTTTTTTGATTGTTGTGCCTTTGATTTCCAGAGTGCAGCTTACTACTTGCATTCACCACATTATCAAGTACGATTATCCAAGTCGCTGGACTGCAGTTGTGGAGAAAATTGGATTTTATCTTCAGTCTGACAATAGTGCTTGTTGGCTTGGAATTCTTCTCTGTCTTTATCAACTTGTGAAAAACTATGAGTAAGTTCTTTCTCCATATAAACCAGCAAAATCAATACATTGGTGTTTATTTTTTGTACTCTATGTATGTTGTAATCATGTAGAATTGTTTATGGGACTGCACAAAGGTGATGGAAATGTCATCTTAGAAAGTATTCTTGGCTACTTGCTGTGCAAATGCTGGCTTATGTATCTTCTCAACTAAAAATGACAAAAACTGCCTTCATTAAAAGTTTGAATTCAGAAAAAAAGGGTGTTTTAAAACCTTAGTGTGGTAGTTATTTTTACAGATTGATAGCAGTAAGAAAGTCTGCTCAAAATCATGACTTTTGCAGGAATTTATTATTTAAATCAGGTTTAAACTTTTAAACAATTGGTACTCTAGTACTTGGTGATAGTAACCATAGAAAGGTTTCAAAGTGTGAAATCTGGAATGTTGGGAGCTCAGAATTAGTTAACTGACTTTGGTATGATCACTTGGGTGATCAGAGAAAAGGACAATCCTGGAGTTGGGGAATTGTAGCAGGAACTGATGGAATCCACAACTTACTCTTTCAAAGCATTGGAATGCATAACATTTCTGTTTCAGGTTCTTGGTTTAAAATGTTGCATGGAAAAATTTCCCTCTAATTTAATGATTTTTACGTCAGTCAGTGTTAAACAGTGAATGCCAGTTTCTCAAAAATACTTTTACAGGAATGCCATAAAAATCTTTGTAATCCCAAGTGGGAGTTTTCTTGGTGGCTGGAAATCGTAAGTTCTGCTAGGAAAGGAAAACAAAAAATTTCTCACTTGATTTTCAGCTTAAAGATCTTTAACCAAATATCCCAGCAGATCTGGGAGCTGTAAATGAAGAAGTGAATTCTGATGATAGAAATAAATGCATGTTTAGGGATCTGAGTGCAGTCTCACTGTGTGATAAGTGTGTCTGTAGTCTCAGCTGATCAAACACTTCAGCTGAGGCCAGGAGCTGCTCCTGCTTGCTCAGCTTTCTGGTGGAGTCAGCAAGGGTGAGTTTCATGTCACCAATCATGTAGGAATGTGCACATTTCAGTGTTTCAGTCAGTTTAGTGGGACGCAAATCTGTGTGATGTTACTACTTTGATCAAATTTTTACTGCCTGAGATGTAGGAATATTTAAGTTTTGTTTTGTTTTTTTTTTTTCCTTAACATAGGACATAAATATCTTGGAGTTTTTCACTTTTTTTCCCTTTCAATTCAACCAGCAAGATCAAATGGCTGCTTTTTGCATAGTAATTTTTTTCTAGTGTTTTTCATTTTTCTTGTGAAAATTAGAAACAGGATTTTTCTGAGCAACATTTTATTTTAATGTTTGGGTTTCTGGTTCAGAAAATGCATGAAGACTGTATTATTTAACAGGATTTTGGAGCTCAGTATTTTGTAGTAATTCTTACAGAACATGCCATCTGGCAGCAGACTGAGTAGTTATTTTTTGGTTATATTTTGAAAATTTCCACTGTTTAGGAAGCTGAGTATTGATATTTAATATTAGTGAAAAGTCCACAAAAATGTGTTTGAAAAACAAACCAAACCAAAGCTCAGTCCTGTAACCCAGATATCTCCCACGGGAGTCCAAGAGTCTGACAAGTGTTGATTGCTGAATCAAGAAACAAATGTGCAATCACAAAATGATATTTTACCTAGTTATTGTCATCACCAGTATAGAAAAGATCCTGCTCTGCTGTGATAAATCTTGAATCAGTTAGGAGTTTCTTGTGTATAAATGAAAATCTGGGGCAGAGATTTCAAAATGTGGCTTTGTTTCCTTTCAGGAATGTAGAAGTGTTGGAGAAAGGAAGTGGAGCCTTGTTTTCAGCATGGGCAAGCTGGGGGGCTGTCCCTAGCATAGAAGGTCTGAGGTTTTCCTTCAAGGGTGGTTGCCTGCTCAGAGTCTGCCCCACAGCCTAGAATCCCACCCTCTCTATCAGATTATTGCCTTTGGGCAAATTAAATGGTGAGATGTGAGAGCCATCAGTGCCAGGCTGTGAGAGGCTCCTCAGTTTGCTTTATCCAGTGTCAGTGAAGCAATGTAGCTTCTGCAAATATTTTGAGAAACTGTGCACTCTGATTAATGTATTTCTTATCTGTTACACCATCTGGCTATGGCTTTGTTTCCGATTCTGTCACAGGAACTGGCTGGGGGTTCTTTTTAAGTGACAGGTTGTTATGAGCTGTCATATAACCTACTTGTGCCTACACTGGGGCAAGGTGAGCTGTTTCAATTCAAAGCCACCTGAAACAACTACAAAACTGGTTTTGTTCTTCTCTAAAGGTACAAGAAACCAGAGGAGCGGAGTCCCTTGATAGCTGCAATGCAACATTTTCTGCCAGTCCTGAAGGACAGCTTCATTCAGCTCCTGAATGATCCTTCAGACCAGTCTGTCCTCATCCAGAAACAGATCTTCAAAATATTTTATGCCCTTGTCCAGGTAAAAAAACATTGTATATACTTGAACAATAATTTAAAGCATTAGGCTTTTCCTTAAAATAGTGAATGACAGAAATATTGCAGTATTAGATTACATCTGAATCATTTCTCTACTACTCAGCTCCATGAATCACAAGTTTCTGATTGTCTTGTGCTTTTACTTTTGAGCAGTGCTATTCTTGTTGGCATTAGATAAAAGTTACACTTGCCATCCTCTAAGGTAGGGTGTTTGCTGAAAACCAGTTAGAAAATGAGTTTTCTAAGGACAGATTGTGGAGGCCAGCCTACAGAGAATTACCAGTGTAAATATAGCAGTTTGGAATGGAACTGCTGTTAAATGCTTCAGAAAGTAGAGTAACATCCATTTAAGTGGCATTTTAGCATTGCATAAGGACAATGAATTAGAGCAAAGACCTCTAGCACCTTTGAGGATATTTAGGATATAGGTTAGATGGTGTTGAGTTCTTTAGTCTGGTTTTTCAGGTAAATTTCTATCTTTTGTGGTGTAGGGAAAGATTTGAAAGCTAAAATTTAAACTGTAAAAGTAACATAAATTTATTATAAAGCAGTTAAAAAATAATTTCTTTTTTTGTTTGTTTGTTTTTGTTGTCTTTTTTTTTTTTTTTAACCAGTACACATTACCTTTGGAGTTGATAAATCAGCAAAACCTGGCTGAGTGGATAGAAATCCTGAAGACTGTTGTTGATAGGGATGTACCAGCTGTAAGTGGCTTTTGGCTATATATGTCTTTAAGTTTAAGTATTTTTCATTCACTAGTGTTATTTCTGCATTCTTTTTTCTCTACAGATGCCACGAAAATAATAAATAAAAAAGATTAGGCTCTATGGGGACTTTCAAACAGACTAAACAAATTTTAAAAATATGTAGCTTGTATGCAAGTTCTATTTTTAAATTATAGTGAAACTTATTTTGGCTTCTTGTTTCAAAAATTTATTGATCATTTAGGCATATTTCATGGGATTTATTTTTAGATATGCTCTGCTTCATACTTCTATTAAGCTAGAACTTTAAAGCTGGCAGGTTAAAAGCAAGATATACTGTGTAGTTGTTCTAATTACATATAATTTGAACTCTTTGTGAATAATTGGTAAATAATGTCTTTTTTTTTTTTTTCCCTGAAGGAAACCCTTCAGGTTGATGAAGATGATAGACCTGAGTTGCCTTGGTGGAAATGCAAGAAGTGGGCTTTGCATATCTTAGCTAGGCTCTTTGAGAGGTATTTTCTCTTCCATTATTATTTTTAAAAAATCTCTAAGCAAACATTCAAGTCAGTAATATTGCTGCAGCCTTTAGTTTACATACTTGCTTCTAATTCTAGGTATGGAAGCCCTGGGAATGTTTCCAAGGAGTACAATGAGTTTGCTGAAGTTTTTTTGAAGGCCTTCGCTGTTGGTGTTCAGCAAGTAAGAAACACTGAGTGTGGGGGGAGTGCTAGGATAAGTTTAGAGTTAGTACTGATTGCTTATTTCATTATTTGCTGAAAAGGCTTCTTGCTCCTATTCACAAGTTTTTTTTCAAGCACATTGGTGTGGAAAGCAGTGGTGTCTGTGGGCTAAAAAAAATTTGCCACATATCACAATCCACTTTGCACTTACAAGCCCTCAGATGAGCTTCAGACAAATGCTACCAATTTTTTTCCTTTCTGAAAGAGATGCATATATGGTGGTGTAGTTGACCTTCAGAACTATCTTTTATCTCTGATACAGGTTATTTTTACTTAAAGTCTGTAAATGCTAAATTTTCAGCCTTCTGCAAAAGCCTGATCAAGCAGAGGCTCTCTTATAGACAGGTAATTCTGATGTTCCCTTTCCACTCATCTCCCTGTTTTGGGGGTGCCACCTGTGCTGTGTTTTACAATCTGCTGTATGCAAATAATATTTGGATTAATTAAAAACTTCACCTATGTGTTTATAAAATTATCTCCTATTTGTTTCATAAATACCTTTATTTTAAGGTGATTAAAATATAAATATATATAAAGTATAGAATAGACTCTTGATTTATGAAAATCTCACAGTGCAGAATGTTTTCTTCAAAGCCTTTGAGTCAGACAGACAGTTCTTGGTTCAGTTTCAGTTCTCTTAATTTCTAATGAAATTATAATGAATTACAGGACTTTTAAAGAGGAAATGTAGAGAAAGTGTCTCATAAATCCATGCATTTTGAAGGTTGGCCAAAGTATGGAAAGCATTTTTCACATGGAGTGTGAGGCAATATATCCCAACCTTCTGCTCAGGGAAGTGGTGTCAGCTGTGCTTCCTGAGGTGCTCACCTGTCACCTCTAGGTGACATTAGACAGATAATTATTGCATGTTTTTTAAGGCCTTACTGGTTGCTTTGCACTTCCAAGAGAAAATCAAGTTCTGACAAAGGGCTATGGCCAGTCATCTTTGAAAAGATAATTTTAACAGTTTGACAAAATGCTCGTTTTTCTTTACATTCTCTTTGAATCAATTTTGATCCTTATTGTTATTGCAGCTAGAAAGCTCCTAAGAATTCAGGTATTTGAAGAAAACTGCTAAAAAAAATCAATATTTGGCAGGCTTAGTTTGTTCCTAAACAATAATGTAACTTGTTTAGGAAGACAGACTATGTTAAGGTCCTGCCCTCCATTTTTCTGCAGGAGATAGCTCTTGGGCCTCTGCTCAGGACATGGAATCTGCCAAACAAATGTTGTGGAAGATTGTTGAGCAGGATATATTTCTTCACAGAAATTGTAAATCTTTGAATTACTGAACAATATAAATTTGGATAATGTTTCATGGAGTTCTCTTTACTCTCCCAATTGTTTGCACCCTTTTAATAAAGGAGTAATAGATAAATATAAGGCATAAGACTACAGGTGGTTCAAGTATAAACTTGAAATGTATTGCTAATATTATTGTCATAATTACTTCTCATTGATTAGCCCCCTCCAAAAAGAAAAAAAAAATCCTGTACATTCAGCATTCACTTTAGCTAAACTTTCTTAGTTTGTCCAAACCAGCCTGAGCTGCCTGACTGGAATACCCTGAATTTATCCCTTCTGTTAGCAGCTGTTTTGCTCAAGACACTTCTCAGGAGCCAGAACTAAGCCCTGGATGGACACTGCTGCCTTGTAGTTCCTTGGCACTGTTACAGAATTTTACTTTATTTGTCCCAGAGTGTCCATGCTATTTTCCTCACTGCAGTTCTTAAAAATGTTCTTAATTTTTTAATATCTTTACCTACTACATCTGAATAATGAAAATACATGCATCTTCTTGGATAGTCCTAAAAAGCCCTGCAAGTTTGATCTTTTGCTCTCTTCTTTTCTATCCTACCTCAATGCCTAATGCCACAAACCCTTGTACTCGGGTGTTGGTACCAACTAATTTCTCTGTAAATCCTGAAGGTTTTTAAACACGAGCAGTTCAAACTTTGGGAAGTGATAAAGCATCTAGAGCATAAAACTGTTTGTAAAGCTGTGAATATTTTGATGAACGAGTGCATCCTCCTTAAACTGAAGTACAAAGCAATTCCTTTGGGAAAAACACTTCAGTCTTTGTGTAATCAATGGTATCAACAGCATTCATTTTCAAAATAATGAATCTTGTTTTCCCTAGATTTTTATTTTGGTAGTATTACAGATTGATCAATATCTTTCTAGCTCCTTTGGGTTGGGATTTTTAAAAAAATGCTTCTTTTGTGTGAAGACTGAAATGAAATCCTGGCAATGGAATTTGCCATTTCTCTCCAGTTAGTCACGCTGCTTCTGAAGGTGCAGTGTTTCTACTGACCTGGATTGAGCTACAGGGAATTCCCTTTGCATTACCTGTGCAAACCTCTCCTGTGAGCTGGAATTTAATTACTAGTCATGGTCCCATGTCTTTTTCATGACCTTACTTGTGGAGAGCCATGGACTTGAACACAGGTGGATCCCTGTGAAGGAGTTCTGGATGCCACTGCAGAAGAGTTTAGGCCAGAAAGCCAAACCAAGGGAGTGACTGGCTGCTGGATCACTCCACACACAGATATTGCTCACAGCTCTGTGAGGCAGCAGAGGCACAGATCAGACTGTGAGTGTAGAGTGTTCTGATCCAGTGGCTGGGTGGGAATTTCTGCCCCCAAAGAGTGAAGATGGAAAAATAAACCTCAGAGGCAGAGGGCAAAGCCCCCTGGGGTGTGTTGGTGGTGAATTAGCACGTATGGTTTGTGTTATTAAAGGATGGTATTTTTAAAAGATGTGCAAGCATCCAGTATGAGCTGCAAATTGTCTTATAAAATTAACAATGACATTTGGTAGAAGGCTTAGTCAGTACCCATTTTAGCCTAATGAATAAATAGGGGTTTTGTTCAGTTTTGAGGGGTTCTTATGTAGGCTTGTGAGGGAGGGTAGAACTGTGGTGAAAATGGGCTGTGCTCAGTATAAGACACTGATGAGATCTGATTTCTCTAGGTGTTGCTGAAGGTGCTGTATCAATACAAGGAAAAGCAGTACATGGCTCCTAGAGTTCTGCAGCAAACACTAAATTACATCAATCAAGGAGTGTCTCATGCAGTCACCTGGAGGAATCTGAAACCTCATATTCAAGTAAGCCATTTTTGGGGTTTAATACTTAGATGACTCAGGAGTACATTAGTCAGTCTACTGTAGAGTGTTTCCAGCCTTGCTACAATTCACATTTTAGGCACTTCTCTTATAAATTGCTGGTGGAAAGAGTTTAAGCCAGTTTAATGAAGGTTACCTTGAAACATGAGCAAAGCCACTAATTTATTGCTGTCTCTCCTTTGTGCTTTAATTTATTGAAGATTACAGTCTAACACAGCCTATTTGGAGATGGTGTTAGCTGCTGAATTTATGGCATTAAATCATTTCCACATTCCATTATCCAAAGCCAGTCTAGTATCGTGTGTTGTATTGTAACTCTGCCTAAACACAAAAGATGTGCTTCTTTGTAAAGTGCCACATAAATCCACTCTAAATCCAAATAGTTTTAGAATGTTACCAATAGGATGGAGAAAATCTATAAAATACAGGACAGAATACAGAGATTGATTTAGTAGTGCTAACCTGCTTTCAATCTCTTTCTATCCCAGGGAATTATCCAAGATGTTATTTTCCCATTGATGTGCTATACAGATGCTGATGAAGAGCTTTGGCAAGAAGATCCATATGAATATATCCGCATGAAATTTGGTGAGCCTTTGAAATCTACTCATGTTAAAAATTATTTCATGCAAAGGATGGGATTTTATGGGGTGTTTTTGTGAAAACAGGTGGATTTAATCTTAAAAAGAAAAAAGAGAGAAACACCGTATATTAACCAAATAGAAGTTGGACATATTGGTGGAAAGTAGAGAGGATACAACAGTCAGCAGTGGCACAGGAGTTTGTGCATTTGTGAAAGTATTTCATTTACAGTTACAAAGTTTTTGCAAGTCAAACAGTCCTGGTCTTGCTAGCAACAACTGCATAAATTTAATGTCATTTAAAGGTTATGCCATAAACAGCTAATATTTCAGGCCCTGGATTTCTTACGGAATTTCACCCATGGCACAGTTCAGAGCAGATTTACCCCAGTAGTAAATGACACATTATGGAGTAAGCCTGGCATTCCAGACTTGTCCCATTTCATCTCCTGTGCTCTGCTACTTTATGTTGGGGTTTACTCTTAGTCTGTGCAGTCCTCTGAGGCTGGGAACAAACAAAAATACTTCAGACTCCCTGAACAATTTCTTCCCTTCACTAGGAATGTTTATGTTTAGAACAAGGAATCTTGAGGGGTTTGGGAGTTGTTATCCCTCAGGTCAGAGCATACCTGTAAACACTACAGGTATTGCACAAGGCTCTGATAATCCTCTTCTGCAGAGAAATGAGAAACAGCATTTTTTAACCCAATTAATTCTGTGTGCTGGCCTGTAGAGCAAATAACATCCATGTCAAAACTTGACTGTTTTGTCTGCTTCTACTGTTGAAAAAGATTTATCTTAAAAATAAGAGACATAGAACTTCAAATTAGACATGTAGAGGCAGTCATCATGAAAAACATGAAACATATGTATCCAACCACCTGCTACTCTTTAGTCTTGGAATATCTCTAGCAAGAAAGCATGATTAACCACACCTGAAGGCTGCTCTTTTTTTTCATATTAAATGCATTAGGATCATGAACTGTAGTAAAGGACTGGTATTTAAAGCTGTTACAATGTTATTTAACAGATGTATTTGAAGACTTCATTTCTCCAACAACTGCTGCTCAGACATTATTGTTTACATCGTGTAGTAAAAGGAAAGAGGTAAGTTGTTCAAGGATTATACTGAAATACCACCAGCTAAATTCAGTTTATTTGCTGAAAGGGCTATTAATAAAATTTTTACTTTTCTGCTCTCATATTTGAAATTCCAAATTTATTTTCCACTGGTCTATTTATGGTTTTCTGTATTTGCAAATTCCCCTAGGACCCATTCTTGACAGAATATTGTGTGTTTATAACAAAGACCTAAAACATTGCCCACATTCCAGACTTGGAGCAGGCTATTTATTACATATTGTAGCATTTCAGAGCACAGAGAATGGTACCTGGGGTGATTGACTGGAATCCTTTGACTGACCTTACATGTAATCTAGGTCCTGCAGAAGACAATGGGCTTTTGTTATCAAATCCTTACGGAGCCAAATGCTGATCCTCGCAAGAAGGATGGTGCTTTACATATGATTGGTTCTTTGGCTGAAATTCTCCTAAAAGTAAGCAGAACAAATCCAGTGGTTCTTTTCATCCTTTTTTTTTGCCCCTCCTATGCTGTCTCTAACATATAGTGCCTTAGAAGAAATGCAAATAGCTCTGTGTTCACAAGTTTCTGAATTGCTGCCAGTTTTTTTTAAACTGTTCAACTTAATTGTTTTGGGTTTAATGTCAGCTTAATTACTTAATTACCAAAGTTTTATAGGTCATGTTCAAGTTCAGTTATTAAGTTCCTTTAAGTTCTGTGCTTCTGGTGAGAATTACTACACCATTTCTGTGCTTCACTTAATTACATTCCCTTTTTTGTGGAAGAAAGGAAAAAAGTGCATCCAGTGAGAGGCTGTTTATTTAATGGACTGGTTTTTGTATCTAGAAGAGAGGAAATAAAATGAAATTAGAGATGTTGCTCAGTTAAAATGGTAGGAAAATAGATGCATGGCATAGACTTGTTTTTGGACCACAGATCTAAGCAGTTTCCCTGACCACTTTTACTTTTGGTGCCAATGTGCTGCCAACAGAAAGGTGTCTTTTGGGGTCAAAAAATGGCTGGGGAGAAAGGTGTCACTATTATGACTGAAAATTTTAAAAATCCATGTAGGATCCAAGTTTAATTACTAATATAGGAGATCATGATTGCATAATTGACTTTAAAAAAGGGATAAGTGAAAAGTCTGAGGGTTTGTTACACTGTTCACACTTTATCATGTGGGACTTTTTTTACTGGGATAGAAATACGTTTTTATATGAAGTTTTAAACTGATGTGCTTCCCTTCATATTTTGACAGAAAAAGATCTATAAGGATCAGATGGAATATATGTTGCAGAATCATGTGTTCCCTCTCTTCAGCAGTGAGCTGGGTTACATGAGAGCTCGGGTAAGAAAGTGTGGTATTTACTGTGAGATCACTTGTTCCAACTGAAGAATTCAGAAATCTGCAACTTCTTCCCTCTCAGAGATGTTCTCCTTTCTGCACCTTTTCCAGGGATGGGTACTAGTTTCTCCATGTGATTACAGATAGCCCCTGTGTAGTTTTGGAATGGCTGCAGCGCTGTGTGCACAGTTTCCCATCTGTGTCTGGTGGTAGGGTCTGTGTGTGTTTTGCACATCGACTGTACTGCTCACACAAAACCTGTGGCCAAAGATGAACCTGAGATCATAGTACTGGTTTAGTGATGTCTGCAAGACAGCCTCCCACTGACCAGCCTCCACACTCTCAGACATCTTCATCACTGACAAGTCTTAGAGTATCTTTATTCATCAGGAGTTGCACCTCAGATTCAATGATTTGTGTTGGTTATGGGTATACAAACAGTTGGTAATCCTCTTTGTGGCTTTTGCAAAGACAAATTTTTTCCATGTCTTTTTTTTTTTTTCAGGCTTGCTGGGTTCTTCATTATTTCTGTGAAGTCAAATTTAAAAGTGACCAGAATCTCCAGACAGCCTTAGAACTCACGAGAAGGTGTCTGATAGATGATAGGGAAATGCCTGTGAAAGTGGAAGCTGCAATAGCTCTTCAAGTTCTCATCAGTAATCAAGAGAAAGGTAGGAGCCTTTTCTTACAGCTACAGCAAGCTTTAATGGAATAGCTGTTAACTTTGTGATGTTCAGGCAGACTTGTTCTCTTCTGCCCTGATGTTAATTTCCCTCTTGCACTTGTAACTTAGAATCATTTACTCTAATTTTTAGCTAGAAAAGTTAAGTTTTTAAAATAAATTGCATTTTAACATTATAAGACATTATGATTATTAAGACGTGGTAAACAAGAACTTCATGGTACAGTAAATCCAGTTTTATAGCACCTAATAATTGAATCAGAAATACAGTGGCAATATCTGTCTTGGCATATATTTATTCATGTTAAAATTTAAAGAAAAAAACCAACTATCCTGGTCCAGGCAGGTTTTACTTGGCTTAGTATTCCTGAAGCTGGCATAAAAGCCACAAAGCAAACATAAACTATATATTTAATACTTAAGGTAATTTGACAAAGGTGTATATGTACCCATTCCCATTCAATTAACATTTGCATTGATCAGTAATCTTGCATTTTATTAATTCATACCACAGTGCTCTGGTTCTCATACTTAAATTTCAATCCTCTTGTTATATATTATTAAAATTTGTTCTGAATGGTAGTATTGCTATAATGATTTATTCTACTCATGGTTTTGGTGTGTTAATGCTGAAGCAGTAAATAAAGTTATTTGAGATGTAGGTTCTTAAACTGATCTGTGGTTTTCTAAGAATTTAATTCAAACATTCCACCTGTTTTACAGCTAAAGAATATATTACTCCCTTCATTAGACCTGTAATGCAAGCTTTGCTTCATATTATAAGAGAGACTGAAAATGATGATCTTACTAATGTGATTCAGAAGATGATCTGTGAATATAGTGAAGAAGTTACCCCAATTGCAGTAGAAATGACACAGCACTTGGTGAGACTTTACAGTGGCTTGGGGAGATCTTTAATATGGGCAAGATTGATATTTAAAATTGATAGTTAAGTATGACCATCAATTAATAGCTATTGTTACTCCAGTCTAAGTGCATTGATACAAGTAATTTTCTTCTACATTTAGACAGTGTTTCATCAGAAGTGGCTTCATAACTTACACTGAGTAGAAATTTCTCTAAGAACAATTCTAGAAATGTTTGTGAAATCTTTGCATATTTTCTTCTGATAGTGGTAATAATGAAATTGGTAGCACATTTTAGGTAGTCTCTAAAATGTCACTTAGGATGTCTGTTTTAAAATATTAAATTAAAGAGTAAATTTTAAATTAAAAGTTTGGTGTGAAAATAGAGTTGAATCTGCTGGAGAAATTCAGAGCCTGAATGGCCATATCTAGCAAATTGTATTAGTGGTTGCAAAAGCAGAGGTCAGCTCAGTGCTTCCCTATTAAAGGCCTTGGAGTTAAAATGGAATTGTTAGTGTGTCCTCTCTGGGAATGCCTGCCAAGTGTTCCAGTCTAGTTCAGCTACTGAGGAAACCTTGTGTCAGAAGAACTTACCAAGGGAAAATGTATTCTTTTGCATGGGACATAATGTCATTTACATATTTTTATTCAGGAGTAGATAAAGGGTAAAGACAGCTCCAGTGGTTTAACATCCAAATTTTATTATCTTGAGAAGAAATTCTGGAGCAGAGCAGTCACCTTCTATTATTTGTACACATTTTCTCAGCAGAAGTCCTTCTGAAATTGTGTAGAGTGCCAGACTTTCAAATTTAATGACATATTTATGGGTTGTTCTGCTATTACGTGCAGGCAATGACATTTAACCAGGTGATCCAGACTGGTCCAGATGAAGAGGGCAGTGATGACAAAGCAGTGACAGCAATGGGAATCTTGAATACTATCGATACACTTCTCAGTGTAGTTGAAGATCACAAGGAAGTAAGTAAAAATTACTTTACAGCTGATATGTATGGTGTAAGAACACTGTAAGTCCTTTATAGTCCTAGCATTGTTACATGAAAAGCTGTCCTTTTGGCCAAAAAGATATTAAAACAGAAAATAGTGAAGTACTTACCATGTAGCCAGGTTGTAACAGAGTGGGTCACTTTTCTAATGCAACACATGCAGTAATAGAGCATAAATGTTGCCACAGTATTTGCCATAAGAATCCAGCTTCTTGTTCAACCAGTAGAAGCAATGTGTCTGTAGCAGGTGGAGCTCTGTCAGCTCAGCTGGGAACACACATCAGATTTGATGAGGTCTGCCCTTCAAACAAAACACATAAAGCTTCACATAGCTGCAAACATTGACTCTGCTGACTGGGTTTGCTCTCTGGGACAGAATCGATGTGGGTAAATACAGCTCTTGTGGCTGTGCTCGGATATGGGGATTTTACCTGCCTCATCTGCCCTGGAGAATTTCCCTCTGGGATTAAAACTTCTGTCATTTGGTTTTGGTATACTGAATGGAATCACTTCTGTCCAGAGTACAGCCAGTTCAAAAGCTGCTACTTCTGATTAAAATCTTTCTTGACAAAGTCAGCTACAGGCTTTTAATAAATACATTATAGTTTTTTAATGACTAAAAAGTTCAGTAATAAGCTGTACAGCTCTGAAGGCTTTACAAAAGAAGCAGCATCAAATTCCCAAGGGAATTCCCAAGAATTCAGTGCTGCCACACCAAGAACCAGCTCAGTTGCTAGAGCTGCTTGTACTTGTTTTTGTCATCAAATCCTTGCCTTCTAAATTAACAGTCTGTGTAATGATATGCTAGTCCTGAGTAGCTCAGTTTGAAAATGTTGACCAGTAAACATTTGTATTTAGAGACATCTCCCAGAGGATGACCAGTGTTCCAAGAGATAAGGTATTTAGCAGGTTAGGTTCAAATCCTATGTTCTGCATAGCTAAAACCAGAAACTCAGCCTTTACTTGTCTCTGTGCAAGGTGAGTGCCCTCAACAGGTTAATGACTGTGTTGTTAGCTATTCCATGGACTAATATATACTAATTGGGAACACTGACTGAATCTGTGGGACCAGCATTTACACTGGTGCTCTCCATACCATGAACATCCTAAGCTAGGTTTGGGAAGTGGTTTGGTATTTAGGATTTTTTTTGGAGGTTTTTTTTTTGTTTAATTTCTTTTCTGAGATAGGAAATACCTCCTGTGATTTCAATTGTTTACTCCTTATATATATATATATATATATATAATTTGCTTACAGTGTTTTAATGGGACTGAGCTGGTGCAGAGGGTTAGTCAGGCTTTCCTTTTTAAAGGATTTTCTATAATGAGATTCTTCCAGTACTCAAAAACCACCTTGTATTGAAAGCTATCTTGCAAATCCTTAGCTGAGTGCTGAGCACAGCTGAGCTGTGCTGTTACACATTTAGTGCTCTAAAATGTGAGGCATTTCTAATAGTTCTTAAAAACTATATTGTATATATAGAAGCTGCTTTGACAAATTTTAAAATGTGTTTCATTTCAACTCCAAAGTATTGAAAATAATCATTACCTGTTCTTTTTGATTTTATTTCATTTTTCAGATTACCCAGCAGCTGGAAGGGATCTGTTTGCAAGTAATTGGAACAGTTTTGCAGCAGCATGTATTAGGTATCTGTACTTCTGCTGGCTTACTTTTAGAAGTGCATGGCATTGGCATGCTATTTACCTAGATTCTGTTTGTTTTAGAGTTCTACGAGGAGATCTTTTCCTTGGCTCATAGTCTGACCTGCCAACAGGTTTCTGCACAAATGTGGCAGCTGCTTCCTCTTGTGTTTGAAGTCTTCACGCAGGATGGTTTTGATTATTTTACTGGTAAGTAATATAAATAAATCAGGGAGCCAGAGGGTTTCATGGATGCCATTTCAGCCATACAATGAATTGCATCATGACTGAAATCTTAGGAAAACACTCAAGTGAGGTTACACTTGAAATATTTTTATTTTGCTGTTGCTGCTACCAGACTTGTTTTGCTAAGGCACCTATGATTTGCAGGCTTACCTTGGCAAGCATTAAGCAAGAACTGTCATTATTAATACACAGATTTCAACCTGATTTTAATAGCACACAGATGATACCTAACTGTGATCATCCTTTTTAATACAGATATGATGCCTCTCTTGCATAATTATGTGACTGTTGATACAGATACACTTCTGTCAGACACAAAATATCTTGAAATGATCTACAGTATGTGCAAGAAGGTGAGTAGATTCCTGTGTGGTAACAAAACCTGCCATCTCTGAAGAAATAACCATGTTAAACTGGGTAGTTTTTCCCACAGCAGCTTTTGACTTCTGCTCTTTAAAGCATTTTGCTATCTAACATCCTCTAAGATTCCTGAAATTACTAAGTTATTGCAGAGAAATTTAAAGAGGTTGCATCAAAATTTCAGATACATGCTTTTGGCAGAAGGGAAAAAGAAATCCTACACAAGGAAAGCAGAATAAACAAAGCAGGTTTGGTACAATACACTTAGTGCATATGGGCATGCAAGACAGATTGCAAAAGGTAGGTGGATTCTTCCATCTGGGATTTGTAGCCTCACCATGGCCAGGATACATGTGCTGCATGTGTGCTGAAGGTCTGACACCTATTAGCTGAAGAAGTGTGTAGGGATAAAAGGTAAAGGGACAGGAATAGGAAGTTGTTTTCCCAAGTTCGTGCCCCATCAGTGGTGAAAGCTGGGAGTAGAATACAGTTGGTCTGACTCAGTCAGACACTTTTGGGCAGGGTTTCTGTATTTTAATTTGTATTACTGGGCTTTCTTTGTGCAGTCAAATTCTAGAATATACAGCTTTCCAGAGTGTTAGCACCATATGAGGATAGGAATACTTTTTTATAAGATCAGTGTTAATGCTTTACCATCTCTAATAGTAATATGTGGGGATTTCAGATTTCCACTCCTGGATATGGGGTGTGATGTCTATGTAAGAGCTTTGGTGACCTGTCAGCTGTTGCCCATGGTATTTCCTGAGTAATTCTTTTGAAGATGTTTAAACATTACAGTGAATAACTATTTTAGTATTTTATAAATACTAGTGAATAACTCTTGCCAGCCTTTGTTTGAAAACAAGTTGCAACCAGGCCAATTAGGATGTTTGTAATTTCTTGGAATCTTACATATAAAATTAGCCTGTCATGACTACTTAGTGATTGGTGTTAGCTGAGCACAGTGAATTTTTAACACAGATTTTAGGTGTTGCATGGTCTTCCACTGGATAGCCCATTTTTGTAAATAAAACTTCTACAAAATTCAGTACGTTGATGGATCAGTAAAGTTTTTCTTTCATTTATGGAAATAATCCTTGGCAAAATGGCAGCTGATTCTTTTACTGTAACTGTGGTAGGCTCGGCATCCATAGAGTTCTTGAATATTTGTACATTTGGTTGGTTTTGCCCAATTCCAGCAGTTTCCAGTCCCTGGTTGTCACAGTGAGCCATTGCTGTAGATCTGGCTGCTTCACTGATGGCTGTTAATGCTGGCATTGTTAGAGGGGGTAAATTCATACCAGCTTTTCAAAGCAAAGGAGTGTATAGAGAATACTCCTTGAGGGGATACACCACCAGTAATGGCTGTGTTTCAGGTCCTTACAGGAGTTGCTGGAGAGGATGCAGAATGTCATGCAGCAAAGCTGTTAGAAGTAATTATTCTTCAGTGTAAAGGGCGTGGCATTGATCAGGTTGGTAATGACTTTGATTGCTAAAACTAATACTTTTAAAATATTTATTGTGTAGTGTGAATTGATTATGTATTAAGATGAGTTTTGTCATGAGCACTTCATGTGGTGCAACTGATAATCCTGTCAGTGTTACTGACAGCACTGCAGAGAGCTCCTGCATGCTTTGTCTCAGAATTTAGGACACTGCAAAACTGGCATTTTTATGAGTCTGGAAGAGTGCCACCTGAGGAATCTTGGTTCTAAAAAGTCAATTAATTGCATTCTAAGTTAATTCTAGTGAATATTTAATGAAAATTATTCTGTCAACCTCATAGCTTTGAAATAATGAAGAATGGAAATGAAGTTCCTAGAATCCAAATCAATATAATAGAGGGACCAGGGACTTCTTTATGTACATATGGCAGTTGGAATTTGAGAGATTAATAAGTTGATTTCTCTGGACTTTCTATATTTTCCAATTTTAATACACAATATTATAGAACCAGAAGTTACATTTGCTGTGCAGGATGTCACAAAATCCATGTGATTAAATATTTTCCCATTTTCATTTCATCTTTGTATCTGGCTTCTGCTGGCAGTTAAAAATGACTCAATTTTATGCCATCTGTGCTTATGTGCCACACTGTTGAAGTACAGAACGACAAGTTTTATTTTTGATCACTGAGTGTGAATGTTCTCACTGTCCAGTGCATACCCTCGTTTGTGGAAGCTGCCTTGGAGAGACTGACCAGAGAAGTGAAAACCAGTGAGCTGCGAACCATGTGCCTCCAGGTTGCCATAGCTGCTTTGTATTACAATCCTCATTTACTATTAAACACATTGGAAAATCTTCGTTTCCCCAATAACGTGGAGCCTGTCACCAATCACTTCATAACTCAGTGGCTTAATGATGTGGACTGTTTCCTGGGGTAAGTGTTTGTACTTCTGGAGATGATTCTCTGTGATAGACCTATCTATGAGCTGCTTGGAAATCATGACAAAACTTGCAACTCTGCTACTCTTCTGTTTTGTAGACTCCATGACAGAAAGATGTGTGTCCTTGGCTTGTGTGCTCTTATTAATCTGGAGCAAATACCACAGGTTTTAAATCAAGTTGCTGGGCAGATCCTGCCAGCTTTTATCCTTTTATTTAATGGATTGAAAAGAGCATATGCCTGTCATGCAGAGCATGAAAATGACAGTGATGATGATGATGAAGCTGAAGAAGATGAGGAAACAGGTATGGAGATGGAACCTTTGATGTTATTTTGTATGTTTCATTTTTTTCTGATGGAGATAATGAATTCCTTTGTGAAATTATTCTGAGTATCCTAATTCCAAAAATGAAGCACTGCAGTAGAACACTGGACATCTCTTGACAACTTTTAAGTAAATCTGTATAGTATATGTAGTGCAAAGTATATATTACTTTCCACTCTCTTAAAAACTGACTTCTTCCAGGGCAGAGTTAGAAGAGCTCCCCCCTTTCCAGCCTGCACAGTATTGTTACCACTTCCACTGCCTGTTTTACCTAATTAGCCACTTTGTAAAGAATTGTTCTTGACATTTTCAAGATAAACTTTTGTTTGTTTATAATTAATTCAGATGAACTGGGGAGTGATGAAGATGACATTGATGAAGATGGTCAAGAATATCTTGAAATTCTAGCAAAACAGGCAGGTGAAGATGGAGATGATGAAGACTGGGAAGAAGATGATGCTGAAGAGACTGCTTTGGAAGGTTATTCCACAATTATTGATGATGAAGATAACCCTGTTGATGAATATCAAATATTTAAAACAATTTTTCAGAGTAAGTAACTGTATTTTTTTTCCTGGCCAACAAGTAACGTTTCAGCTTTAGTGTACACTGTTGTTAACTAGAACCTGTTCAAAACTTCCAAACAGGCTTTCCAGTATGGGCTTGAACCATTTCTTTCTTTGGAAAGGAGATGCCATTGTTAAACTTCTCTAGCAGAGGGAGTTGCTTGAATGAATTTATAGTGGTAGGGAAGAGGTCAGAAGCTGTCCTAGTGTTTAAGTGTCTTGAATTATGTAACCTAACAGAATATTACTCTGATTAAAATGGCAGTGAGTGAGTAAGGTTTGAGTTCTAGAACATTTTGATCAGCACTTTCCTTTTGCTTATGTTTTGTCTCTGCTGCAGCAATTCAGAACCGTAACCCTGTGTGGTACCAGGCTTTGACACAGGGCCTGAGCGAGGAGCAGAGGAAGCAGCTGCAGGACATCGCCACCCTGGCGGACCAGCGGCGGGCAGCACACGGTACTCACACCTTCCTACAGCCCTGCCTCCTGGGCCCTGCCCTGCCCTGCTGGGGGGCTCAAGGAGCATGCAAACACAGTGAGGATGATGGTGGTGATGATGTGCTCAAGGAGCACAGCACTGAACAGGCCTTTCATTCAAGCCTGACAATGGCTCCATCAGAACAGGGTTGTTAGAAAGCTCTAGAATTGCCAGCCTCCATGCACAAACTGGGTGGCAATACCACAGGTGAGAGGAGTGCTAGAAACACCTGGGGAGGTAGTCAAGGAAAGAAAAGCATATTTGTCCTCATTTCTTAGATTTGAAGATAATTTATTTGATTACCTGAAGATAGTTGAACTCCAGGTATGTTAACAAACACATCAAGTGGCTGATGAATGATTTCCCGAGATGTCACGTAGTCCAGCTGGGATAGACAAGGATTCTGTGGGTAGGAGAATACTAAATTATGGAAGTAGTACCATCTATAAAGCCACATCATTAAGCCTATTAAATATTACATATAGTACAGATTTTTGAGTCATTATTCAGTTTATATTTTTTGTCTTTTTTCCTAGGTTTTCACTTTGGAGCTTAAGCCAATATATATAACACTCTTAAGTCAAGACTGCATGTTGAGGGATCAGTCCAGCCTCATATCCTGTGTCTTAGTGAGCAGCAGTTGCTACAGATGTTTCAAAACAGAAATTTATAAATTTTTCAATAAAAATATTGGTAGGAAGAATATACCAGCCTCATATCATCTGTCTTAGTTAGCAGTTGCTACAGATGTTTCAAAACAGAAATTCATAGATTTTTTCAGTGAAAATATTGGTAGCAAGAATACAAGTCTAATAAGTGCTTTTTATGAGAGAACAGCCTAAATCACCTCACAAAGCTTGTTTGGGTCCAGAATGATCCAGTTTTAATGATTATAAAATACAGTTTCACTGTCACTCCTATCAAGCAGTAGACATTTGTTGACGTAATTTTATACTACTGCATTTTATGGAGACAAAAGAGTTTGAGGTGTGTGTTTGTTTGTGGTTTTTGTACTGTTTTTTCAGAGAAGTTGTAAAGTTTAACTTAAGCAACCAGATCCCTCTGGGAAATTCTTGCCTACTATCACAGAACACTGATACTACATTTAGGCTACTTACCACACATGGGGACATCCTGTTAAAAGGATTTGAAATACAGTTCTCCCTTATATTAATATAGCTTAGAAGAATTTCCATATGCTGAGAGATTTGTCTTCTGTGGAGCTGTGAGGGATTCTCCTCCCATGCTCCATTAGCCATGGCAACATCTTTGTGGCTTGTTTTGAAAGAAACAGAGCCAAAATGCACATTTGCCAGATAATATGAGCTGACCTGCATTCCCAGAGAGATTGCAACTGTTTCGATTTAGGAAAAAGCTGAGACCAATATAAGACATTAATAAGTTGTTGTTATCTTGGCCTGGGAATAATACAAGCCACCTTTTGCATTATCTAGATTGTAGTAAAGGTAGAACCTAAATTACCAACCTGATTTTCAGTTGTCCGTGTATTAGAGCTTGTAAAAAGCGGTTTACAGTAATCCCTGTCCTACAGCAGTGTTTGAAGGATGGTAAAACCAGACACCTTAACAATCACTGGTAGTTACAGTGATGGATATGTGCACGTCAGATGTCTAAAGATCTAAGTTCTGGTTGAAAATGAAAAGTGATCAACTTGGTAGTTTTCTCTCAGAATTATGTTTTGTGGTCTAGTAACCTACAGTCCAAATTACCTGCTTGGGTAGCAGCATGTGGAAAAAGGCTTTTTCTGGTGCTTCAGTGGTGGTTTCTGCTTATATTGTTGAAGTGAGATAGGAACACCAAAAATTTACCCAATATCTGTGTACTGCTTTTTTGCACATGTTCTCTGTTACTGATTAGACTGCAAAGTCTGTTGATGTTAAGCAGAAAGAATTGTGTGCCTGTTACCAAGTTTAAAAGTGCAGTATTCTTTCTGTTTCTAAAGTACAGTCATGTCCAGAAGCTAAAGTGTGGGCTTTTTAAAGTACAAATTCATGAAAGCATGGTGGTAACAATACAGAGAAGTTAAAATAAGTAAATAGTCAGCCCATCTGTTCTGTGGGGCCTGGCACATGTCCACTTGTGGGTGCTGATTCCTTGGTTGGGTAACCCCAGGTTAAACATGTATCTCTGAGAGACTCAAAGTGGTCAGTCATAGAATCTTGGTCTGTCTTCCCCCCTACACACACTAAAACTTCTTCCTTCTGTTTTTTTGTTTTGTTTTAGAATCCAAAATGATCGAAAAGCATGGAGGATACAAATTCAATGCTCCAGTTGTGCCAACTTCATTTAATTTTGGAGGCCCTGCCCCAGGAATGAATTGAATTATCACTTTTCCTGCTACTGTGTGATTGTAGTGAAGAGCTTGTGTTCCTCCCAATAGTGGTTCCAGAACTGGTTCATGTTATCTACAACTCACTCTAAACTAATTTATAAATAGATTGGACAAAGCCCCAGAAGTGGGACCTGATCATTCAACCTGATACTGGAAAGCAAACCAGAGGTTTTTTTGAAGATAGGAAGAATCTGAATTTAAAGCTTCAAATGACACACGTTGGAGATCGGAAATCAAGAGGGGATGTCGTGAAGGCAGCTTTTCTTTTTCTGAGGAAAAAAAACTAGACATGGGCTGCAGGACTATTTAAAATGTCTCATTTACAGTACAAGCTAGAAGGCAGACTTAATTTTTACACCTGTGGCAGTATGAGTATTTGCCCAGTTTCTTTCCCTTTTATCCCTACCACTGGGTGTCTATTCTTTTAATGTAAATAAGATAAGGTAATCAGATAGCCTTACTTAATCTTCATCATTTCCATTTATCAAGATTGTTCATATGTAGAATATTGGACACTTAATGTAGCACTACATAACTGATAAATCTGTAAATGAATTAGCACTTTCATATTGAAACAAGCCTGCTAGCCTATGTACAAAAATAGCAAAATGTTTGCTGTTTATAAAAATAAAAAAAAAAGGGATGTATTGGGGAAAATAATTTCAAGTTATTAATTTAAAATGAACTAGCAGTTTTGTACCTGGTGACTTTGTGGTGCAGTCACCTCTGGTTGTGACTTGAATTCGGATATGTAAAAAGGGGTTAGTGATATTTCATTGCTGCTAAAGAAAAAATAGCAACACCCTCCGTGTCCTTTGTTTTTTTTAAAGATCTCACTGTACAAGCTAGAAAATTGAACAAATATGTACTGTAAGCACAAAGAAAAGTTATCCTCTCTAAGGCAGGTAAATGAGACGTGAAGTTCTTAAGGTCAATGGAAGTGTATGGGTGAAACACCTACATATGCAATCTATTAAAAACCAGTGTCATTGGCTGATCTGGGCTATGGTATATAAATGCAATTTTTTCCCCAGGTGTGCAGAATATTGTTTTTCCAGATCATGGTAGGGCAGGTGCACTACTCCTGCATTTCATTCCCCCTCTTTTTGCACTTGCAGCATTAGTGTGTGCTGTTGTCTGCCTGATCCAGACAGTGTATTTGAAGTTTTGCCAATCTTTCAGTTTTGAAGCCACAATTTTCTTCCTTCAACGTTGCTATAGTAACTAGTATTTTAGCTAGAGAGGCAAAATACAGTTCCCTCTGGGACCACTATCAAAACCACTGTATGAAGAAGCCAGCAGGGAGAGGCTGTGAACGGGTTGGCTTAAATGCCCCCTTTTTCTTTTCTAAAAGCAAATCCATTGGCGTTTGATCTTGCCTTGAGATCATTGGTGTCAGGTCTTTTAAATCAAATGTTTGGGTTGGTTTTTTTTTTTTTTCTTTAGGCTGTTTTTATATAAAAATGTCACCTGCTGTTACAATTGATATTAAACAAGCTACCTTAATTTAATGTAAGCCTCCAAAATTTAAATACAGGTTAAAAATAAACTGAGTTTTTATCTGTAAAAATGAAATGCACATATATATATATTATGATACTCAAAATGCAGTCTTCAGAAAATTGGTCTGTGTGGTGTGGTTTTTTGCATCAGCAGAGTAGCAGGATTTGGTGGTGCTTTGGGGTTTCCCTGCTGAGCTGCCCAGCCCCAGGCTCTGCTTGGCTCCAGCAAACACTTCCCTGCACCTGGGGGACAAGGTGGGACATGGAGCCCTGGCCCAGTACCAAAGGGACACTTGGAAAGCAAAGCCCCTGAGGTGGAAAAGCCTGACTACAGAAGCCTTGGATGGGATGGGAATATCCATCCTCGTGGTGGTGTGAGACTTGGGATGGTTGCTGTGCAGCTTTAGGGGCTGCACAGAGCAGAACTCACTGGGGGTTTGTGACTGTAACTCACGGGCACATCCAGGTGTGCTCGGGCCCCCAGGGAAGCTCTAGACAGGGTTTTATTTTTGTAGAAGAAGCTGACAGATGTGCTTCCAGCATGCCTTCTCCTTGCATTGCTTGGGAACACCCAGTTTGACAAATCATTTCTGAACATCTGCTGCTTGGGCATCTGCTTACCTTCACATGCATCCTAAAAATGCATGAGAAGCTTTGAGGACAGATGAGCCATTTTGGGCCTCGTGGCAGAAGATGTGACAGCAGCAGTGAGAAGGCTTCATGTATAAAGCAGATGACAAAAAAACAGGGAAATCACCAATTTTAGTGCTGTTGTCAGTTCTGGAACAATTCTATTTTACAAGTCAAGGGAAGAATTTTACCTTGGTGTGAGGAATAGTCTTACTTCAAGGGTGCTTTTATGTGTCACTAGACTGGCTAGCAAGGAGCATCTTTTTTAAGAATGGATCTAGAACTTTGCTTTCCTTTGCTCCAAGAAATGTATTTATATAAATTGCAAAGCAATTTTGCATTGTTGTTGGTGGTGATAGCGCATTTTGTGATGCAATATATCAATTTCAGTGATACACTTATGTCAAATTAAAAACTGATCTTCCTTCTAGAACTTGCACTTATCCATTCCATTTTCAAGGATAATGCAACTCTAAAGGAAGAGCTGGGAAATTTAAAGCCTCTGTTTTTTTCTATTATGGAAGATCTCCTTGGATTAATAAACATCTAAAGCAAATCCTTATCTTCACTTATTTCAGTGTGGTGTTTTGAATGTAGCTGTATCTTACAGTACAGTCCTGCTCGAGTTGTACAGCTGTCAGGTTTGTATTTCCCTTTCCAAAATATTCCTCCAAACAAATGTTAGGCATAACCAGAATTCTCTTCAACTGTGTTAAATATAAAAAACAGGTAGTTTTTTAAAATGCTGACAGACTGGGTTAATATTTTTTTCTCTAAATCACTGTCTTCAAAGAATTATTAGTATGTATCAGCATAGTAACACAAAGCTCTATTCCAATCTCCTATAGCCTAGGACTGTTACTGTAAGATTTGTCAAGTCTGCAGTGGAATAATTACTGACTACCTGCCAATAAACATGCAGGTGATTTTAATGATGCCTAGTAATGGATACCTGGTAAGTTTTAAGGGTTAATTATTTTTTCTGTGGAACCTTCTACATAGCCAGAATGTGCCAGGTGGAAAAGCTTTGCTTGCTGCTGATTATCAGTTACTTTTCAGTCAATATATAGTTTTATCTTAAATGGTGTGTCACTGGTTTGTGTATTTCTGCTTTTCATAGCAAACTGTTGATGGTGTAAACCTAAAGCACTTCAGAATGGGAAACAGAGATTGTAGTATTTTACGGAGATTATAATAATCTATTAAGGGGAGTTGGCAAATGAGAAACAGGATTGTATCTTGGGTATTTCACTGCTGCTCTACCTCGAAACAAACTGATGCCTGCAGCTTGTATTTGGCTTAACATTTACAATTAGGAAATAGTAAGTTAAAGAAGAAAAATTGTTGACCATTAGGCCTGTTAGGAATAAGTATTTTTTGGCTTTTTGTACAACTGCAACAATTTTGAACTGCAAGAATTTCGAACGATGATTCTGGAGCAAAGTGTAATTTTTTTTTTTACATCTCTCATGTTCAGGAAGATGCATTAAATCAATCAGAGCTGGGCTTACTGTCCCATCAATGAGAACAATTCACGTCAACTTCACAACAGGGGTTTTATGAGAAATCACCTGCGGAATTACCCGTAACACCCTTTGCTTGCCTTACACCGGGAGCTCTTGGGCTATTTATTACACGTTTCCATACCTAAAAATCTCGTAAGGATAACACTCCCAAGCACAGCTTTAAGGACAGCGTCCTTCTCCCTCAGAGCGGGGCTGGAATGGCAGCCGGAGATACCGCGGCAGGAGGCCGGGAGGGGAAGGGCAGAGCGCTCGCTGGTCCCGGCCCGGCCGTGCGGCCCCGCGGGGCCCGCGCACGGCCCAGGGGAGATCGGATGGCCCCGGTGGTGCCGGATCCGCTCCCCGGAGGCCCGGGGGCCGCTGTCGGTGCCCTCACCGTGCCCTGCCCGTCCCCGCCGCCTCAGGCGCTGCCGGCGCGCGCCGGGGGAGGGCAGGAAATGGCGCCGCTCCCCGCTGGCGCGCGGGCGCCTCGCTGCCCGCTGCACAAAATGGCGGCGGCCCCGCGCCCGGCACAGCCGCGTCGCCATGAAGCCGCGGGGCGGGGCCGCGGGCGCGCGGCCAATGGGCACCAGCGCGCGGCCCGCAGGCGGCCAATGGCGGGTGGCGGCGGCGGCGGCGCGCGCGGTGCGGCCAATGGGAGCGGCGGAGCCCGAGCTGCCGGGCCCCGCCCGCGGGGCGCGGGGCGGTGCCGGGCGGGCGGGCGGCGCCGAGCGGCCGTTTCCTGTCCTGGTGCATGGTGGTCGGACGGAGGAATTGTTGGAAAATTTCTCGGCGAGGTTCGTATATAAATGTGCTTTTACCCAGTGTGCCTTATGCTCCCTCCGCCATCTCCGGACGGGGCTGCCGCGCCGCGCCCGCCGCGGCCGCCGGCGGTGCTCGGGGAGGCGGGCAGGGGCAGTGGGGCGCGGGCTGCACCGAGCCGAGCGGCAGTGCCGCGGCGATAAAGCCGCTCCGCTCCGCGGGGCCCGCCCGGCCCCTCCCCGCCCGCCGGGCCGCGGGGGTCCCCCGGGCCGCCCCCTCGGGCCCGCTCGGCGCTGCGTCACGGGCGGGGGGCCAGGGGTGCGCGGGCCGGGGCGCTCCGGGCCCCCCGCCCGCCGTGCTTAAATCGGGGGGGCTCATCAATTTTTGCCTTTTGCCCGTTGTTTGGTTTTTTGGTTTTTTTTTTTTTTTTTTCCCTATTTTTAGATACAGGTTTTTTGTTGCTATTATTTTCCGAAGGTGGTATTTCCATGCTGTCGGCCGCCGAGCGGCATTAGCAGCCCTGGCCGGGCCCGCGCAGGCTCCGGCGGCGAATCCGCTGTGCCCGCCCGAGCCGCGGGGCTGCGGCGCGGCCTGGCCGCGCTCTCACGGGAAAGCTCCTGGCACCGCCGGCCTCCTTTAACCCTGCTGCTCTACTGCATCACCTCGCCACAATGCAAAAGCATCTTAACCTTTTTTTTTTTCTTTTTTTTTTCCTATTGCTCCCGTCATTTTTTTTTTTTCTCTAGAACTTTTAATAAAGCGGGATAAAGAGAAGCTGCTCCTCTATAATAATGGCCTGCAATAACGCAAAGATTTTTATTTTGTTTTCTGATAAGACTTTATTTGTGGTGCTTTTTCACCCAGAAAAAATAACGTGACTCCCGTGCAAGTTTAAGTTTTCTGTTAAAACAAGGCTAGGTTGAGCAGCTCTGTAAAGTTTTAAATTTTTTAAGGTTTCATTTTGAACTATTAGAGAATTGCATTTGCTATCATATGCAGAGTGATAATCAGTATTTGTAAGGAATTTTATTTCTAGTCTAGTGACATAGGAACTGCAGCCTTCCAGTCATTCAAACATTTCTTCTTGTTTTATCGAGAGTGTTCATCACATATTGTCCATCAGCTGTCTTTGCAGACTATATACCAGATATTTCTGTTGTAACTTCTAGGTACCTGAAAAATTAAATTAGATTATGCTTAACTATCAGGTTTTTAACATACAGATGATAGATGGTTAGCTTTGTGCGTTTGCCATACGGCTTTAGAATGGCAGAATACGGTGTAGCGTGTTTTCATGGCTCTTTTCTTTGTATATTGCATTAATGCCTTGAGCTTTCAAGCTGTGTTTGTGTCAAAAGCGATTTGTCTGTATCACTGCAGAAAAGGAACCTCAGGAATATGTGGTCAAATAATAGATGATTGCTTTGGTGATGGATTGCAGCTTAAATGAGATGTAAAAATAAACATTTTGAAAGAGTTTTGAGAAGTGTATTTCAACTTGATTTAATAATTTATTTAAACTATTCTCGTTGTAATTAATATTTCATTTGTACTACCCTATCTGAGGAAGAGTAATTTTGTTTTATATTAGTGTAAAAGAACTTGAGGTAGGAAGTCACACTGACTTCCCTCTGTCTTCATTCTTGTGTAGCTTTTAATGCTTTTCTCAGGAGACAGGCACAGATAGTCAAGTGATGAATAATCCCTGGTAAGAGGTGCCAAAATGAGGCTGTAAATTAGTTTTTTCTTTAGAGTATCTCCAGTTGTGTGCTGCTTCAGCTCAGTGGATGTTGTGCTGATCTGTGCCGTCCAGGAGAAGGGACTTGCCAGGAGTTTGAGCAGTGGCCAGCTCCCAGCGCTGGCTGTTTCCCTGCAGCTACCCCTGTGGGATGGGTACGGGGATAATAAGGACGAGGGCTCCTCGGCTTTAGTTTGGTCAGGATGGCTTCATTTGCCCTACGGGATGTTGGTCTTCCCTTGCTGTTGCATGTGATCTTCACCTGAAGAGTTTGGCGTTAACACATGCTCAGCGTAGGTGGAGTCCTTGAGAAGCACTATTGCGTTTGGGGGAGTCGTTAGCAGGCACCTGTGAGGCGAATTGTCTTCCAAAAGGCTTGGAATAATTTGGATAGGTTTCTCCAAACGCAGATAATCAGGGCAATTCTTCCAGTTCCAGGCCTTACAATGGCTAGAATGCAAATATTCATGAGGAGGGTGGGGCCCATCTTGGTGCTCTCGTAGTTACTCTTTTCCTGTCTGCATTGTGGCTTGTCCCTGCTTCCTTGGCCATCCCGTGACGGGTCCTGTTCCTCCTCTGCCATGTGTGTTCCCAGCACAGCACCCAGGCCAGCCTTGCCTTGCTGCTCGCTGACTTTTTCCCTGTGTTGCTGCCACATCTCTGCAGCTCACCAACCAGCAGTGCTTTTCGCTCAGCATTAACTGGGGACAGCTTGGGTTTTTATCTCCTCTATGCGAGGAGATCAGCGCACCTGGTAAGGACAGAGTGAATTGGGTAGTCAGTTCCTTGTCAGTGGCTTGTAACAAAAAAGATCCCAAAAGATGGGAGGAAAGTTTCTGCTTAGCTTATGGATCCCTGAGATACACAACGATCCGAACCGATGGATCCTCTTCTTGAACCCAGGAGTTCAGCTCTGAAGTGCAAATTCCTGTAACTTGAGGTGTGCGCGGCTCTTGTTCTGAGCCTGGAGAGAGCGATCTGTGCCTGGTGTCTCCCCATGGACACCATTGCTAGGCAGGAGGAAAAGGAAGCCTGGGGACCCATCTCGGCACTCTGGGGTATATGGGATTTTGCTTGTATCTCAGTGTAACTTCATCTTAGTTGTATTTACTGAAGGGAATATGATTTTGCTTCTCCCCCTCTGTGCCCCAGGGATCATTGATCAGTTACTCCAAACCAAATTGGACTAAATTAGCAGATGCTTCCCATGACTTAGTCTGCTAAAATGTTCTGGCCTACGTGGCTGGTTTTTAATTAATTGTATAGTGGGATTGTACTTTGCTCCACCAAGATAACACTTGTTAAATAAATGAAATTTTCAGTTTCAAAGGGAATTTACAGTTCTGGCAGGTTTTGCAATTTTCAAGGTTGACATCAGAGTTACCCTTAAAACTATGTAAGGCTTACCTCAGTCTGTATTTTACTGTCTGCAGAATGTTTCCCTCTGTACACACTTGAGCAGAAAATTGTGTTACATGCTTAATACTCTTGGACGTGATTTCTGATGACAGATTAGAATTGGAAGATGGGTCTGTATTTGCAAGTTAGTTGGTTTGCTCATATTTTAAGTGTATTCGTACATAGCTAACGTGGTGCTGCGCAGAGTTTTGTAGGATGTATTTCAATGTACTGTGTTTCAAGTTCTGTTTGTAATCTGGCTTTGGCAATCCAGCAGGCTGTCCCTTTAGCTCCTGAAATACAAGCCTGTGCTAAAGCACTGCCATTAACTGTCATGGCTAATGCTGATACATCTGTAATGCACTTACCAGATTGCTAATTAACTCATAGCCACACAAAACTACCCACTCAAAATTCCTCTCTTTGTTGGCAGTCTCAGTGGATTTGTAGGGTTTGAAAGGGCATGGCCAGGATTCATTTGTTTTGGTGATGTAAATAAGAGACTTTTGTGATTGCTTGATAGTTAAAAAGTTAGTCTGTTTGGCTTGGAAGTAAAACAACAATAGAAATAGTAGGTCTCAGTTTCTTTCAGATTTTTAGCCCTTAACTGTACATCTACTCACCAGATGTTCCCAGTTTTATTTAAAAAACCGATATAACTGGAGGTTTTATGATTTTAGGGATAAGTAGCCCCATGAAGTGTTTCAGGAGTTAACTGTATATATATTTAAGTGTAAATGGGCATCACTGCTCATTTCTAGGAGTGACTGAGATGCAGTTGTGACATGCATCGGCTGGATACCTTCTGCATATGTGTTTTAGCTATATATACACTTGATGGTAAAAACACACCAAACAAGAACCTGTAGTTTTAAAAACACACTAATTTATCTATTAGGTGTGTTAAATCCGTTTCCCTTTATACTTCCAGGGTGAAAATCAATTTGAAATTAAATGCTTTATCTCATTAACATGTGCTGTAAAATTACTTTAGGTTTGGGGTTTTTTCATCTTTGTTGATCATGTTCTAAGTTTTTTCAGAAAATCAGCTCACCTGCCATTCAGCTTTTTTTCTGAGCGTGCATGTTATGATTAGTTACCCAAACCGTTTTTTACTATTAAAACACAAGTAATTTATTACCAGTCAGTCTGCAATAAAGAAATGGGTTTGAGGTTCTTTAGAAAGGAAGGTGTGTCTGAGCACTGATAGTACAAGTTTGGTCAGGAGAGAAGAAATGAACAAGAAACACCACCTGCATCGAGAGAAACTTGATGGGCAGTTTGGGTAGGTGAGTTCTGCAGTTGCATTTGCAGTAGGTCTGCAAGGCATTCCATGCACACAGCCCAGCATTCCTCATGATACACGGGTGTTTCAGGCCTGCTGGAATCTGGTGTTTGGGACAGATTATATGGGTGGCTCTTCCTCAAGCCAAACTGCTGCTGCTGTGTACTGCTACAGCTAATAATAATAATAATAACAACCGAGTCATTAGCATGTTGCTCATTGACCAGCTGCATTAATATGGTTTTTTGTACTTAATTAATATACAAGGTTGGGAACCCTGGTGTCTGTACCTCTGCAAACAGTGCTGCATGGGTCTCAATTGCTTGTCAGCTTCCATGCAGGATTTTTGGAATTGGCTCTGTTGGAAACTCCCAGATCTGTTTCAAACCTCTGGCTCAGGAAGCCATGCTGCTGGAATGGTGCACCCAGGGCAGATGTGGTCGTGGAATTGGGTGTTTGCTGTGAGCTGCTTGTGCCAGAGCTGCAGGAGTTCAGCTTCTGTCAGCACTGCTGACAGCTCAGTGCTGATGGAACTACTCTGGCCTCCTTTCATTAACCAGTAATTTCTTCTCTAATATATTCAAGAAATGTGTGAAGGTTGAAGTCATATTTGGGATCAGCCTGAGTGTTCTCACATGTGTAGGACTTGTTGGTGGGTGACTTTCTAAATCTTCCTGTGTTTAAATGCCATACCTTCAAAAATAATAGCAACCTTCACATTCCCACAGAGTGAAAACACACACACATAATCTCATTAGTTAGAGTAAGGATTTGTAAATATTCTTTATTTGCACTGGTTAATCCAATTTTTTCTTAAATTTGTATAAAATGCAAGCACTGAGATCAGACAATACTTTTAACGGTCACAATTTGTAGATAGCATTTGCTCTATAAACTGTACAGAAATGACTTTTGGGGGGGAAAAAGACTGCTGGAACATGAAGTAATTTTGTCATGCTAAATGTAGTTCCCACAGCTCACACTTAAGTCAGACTGATGTGTGGTTAAGGTAATGATAAATTTGGTCCTGCATTTATTTTTCATTTCTGAAGAAATACCAAACACTGTGGCAGTGAATTAGTCTTGAACTGCTTATTATTAGGATATATCTCTTGTGGAACAGAAACACTGAAATACTGTAAAAAGAATAAAAAGGAGCCTTGAGTTTGACTGCTTCAGGGTGTGTATGTTGTGCTTGTGCAGTTGACAGTGCTCTCACTCTTGGTCGGGTTTTTCTGCAGGACCAGACTTAGGGACTATTATTTATTATTCACAACACTTCTTTACCATGTAGGAAATTGATTGTGTGATTTGCTATGAAATTATCTGAATCCAGCTGATATTACCAGATTCTGGAGGAGAGGTTTATATTCTGTATTTCAGCCTTCTTTTCATTTTATACTGTGGAAATTGCTGTTTAATTATGTTTTGCCTTTATAAGAGACTGGAGAAAATACAGTAAAAGAAATTGAGATGATGTGAGAAAGCACATAGCAATTAAGAAGTTGTTACCCTTACTGAAAGTCAATCTGATTGACAACAGCATAAACCCCAATTTTTCAGTGCAGTAAATCCTGGAAAAGGTAAGGGCTGTTGATGAAGAAGGAAATCCATGTCTCCTGAAGTGTTTGATCAAAGCACCCACAGGATCTAGATTAAATTTCTGACCCTGTTAGAGATTTCTGCTTAATACTGGAAAATATTACCATGCAGCTACATAGGGGAGCAGAGGTAAGGTTGTTAAAAGAGTCTTAGTTCTCCTGTGTCTATTTCTGAGCTTAAAGATGACAAATGACTTTATGTAATTAGTGGGGGAAGAAATGCTAAAAGTCTTCTTGGGTTGCCTGGAAGAACTTTGTGTGGAACAGTCAGTTTTCCAGTCTGTCAGACTTATTTTTTGCACTGAGACTCATATGAATTATCAATTGAAATGTATTTAACCAGATTGAAAACTGAAAAATAGTACCTATAATTAACATACATTGCTCAGACTAGTTTTGTGAAATTACTGATATTTGCAATCATATCAGTTGAGAAGGACCCTAAGGTAGGCAGTATTAATTCAGAAAAATCTTCATACTGTTACACTGCGAACATACTTGAATTGATTTTTGGGATCCAGCTGTGTCAAACATGGGAATACAGTTTCTAAAATTCTTAAATAAAAGTTTCACTATTGTGAGGCTATGTATTATTTGCCATATTACCCTTCTTGATTGGTTTTTATTTGCTGTTTTTATATTTTATAAAGTTACAATGGTTTTGTACATTATTTAGAAGTGTATTAAAATAAAAGTGATGTTTCCTTTCAACTGAAATAAATGCATATTATTTCAAACTTCTCAGTGCTGTCTGCATGAGGGGAGTGAACAAGCATAAGGTTGCTTTTTTCCTGTCATTCTTTCCCAGTTTGTTTGTACATTTTAAGTTTGTATTTAGTAACAGTAAATTTTCCTCCATGCCTGCTATTACAAACTTTATTCTATTTCCCATTGATCATCCTCTTCCCATTAAGCATCATCTTTGTCTCTCTAAGGAGCTTCTGCTACTGTCTCTGCAGGATTTTTCCTTTGTCTAGCAATACAGTGGTACAGTTATTCTTTAAATTGCGAATTTCTGCTTTTTTCCAGCCACACTGGGCTCTCCTCTCAGCTTCTGGAGTTCCCAAGTGCCCCAAACCCCCTTTCTGCTGCAGAGCAGCCATGCCCTCTGCCAGCTCTCCCCTTGCTTTACAGTTGCCTGAATCCCACCTGCTGTTTTTTTGTTGCTGATTCCTATTTTTTAGTGGAGATTCCCGTTTCCAGTTGCTACATTGAGTTTACATAAAAACCTTTCTTCTAACGTTGTATCTTTTCTCCAAAACAAGTGATAGCACCCAGAAAATTCTATTTGTTTGAGTGTTGGTGGAGGAAAAATTACAGGAGGTGCTCTGTAGATAGGCAACTTCATGAAAAAAATTTTTTGTTTTTAACCATCCTTTCCCTCCCTCACATTCCTTTGGTTTCCAAGTTGAGAATTTAATGTGTGCCTATTTTTTTTTTTTCTGTTCAGATAATTTACAGGGGGTGGTGGCTTGTTTTTGGTTTGGTTTTTTTTTTCTTTAATAAGAGCTTGCACCTCTGTGTCCTGCTGGATGCTGTTGAAGGGATGGATCAGTGCTAGAGAGGGGGTGGCTGCCTGTGGTTGGACACACTCTTCAGTTCTGAGATTTTCTGCCAAATTTTTTTGCCTCAGGCTGATTTTTTTGTGAGAAGTGTTTGAACCATCTAAAAGAATGGTAGGATTTTCTCTGCATGGATACCATAGATATGTTTTGGTGACTAATCATTTCAGGAATGCAGGATACATTCATGTCCTTGTGCAAGTCTGCCCAGATATCGTCACTGATGTGCCTTTGGAAATTGACAGTTGCAGCTTGCCTGTGATCTGTGAAGATTTGCAAGAGTTCACAAAGTCAACTCTCAAGTTTTCACTTCAGTGAGTACTTGGTGACTGAGCTTGGACTTGTCTTTTCTGCAAGACAGCTCCTGAGATGAAGCAGACTCCATGTGTGTCAATCTTTGCCGAGCTGCTATGTAGGCTCCGCCCCAGGGTTCCTGGCTTTTCCTAAAAATGGTTACTTTCAGCTGCCTTTAACTAATGAGCAATATTTGAAGTGGGTAAAGGAAATCTCTGCTAGATTTTTATTGACAGAACTCCTGGCAGACGGGAGATTTAAAGAAAAAAGCTAACTGATGCAAAGGCAGAGGAATAAAAGCAATGATGAATCAGGGAAAGAAGCTGGTAAGATTCAGATTGAAAAAATGATGGAGACAAATTTGATGGAAACTCAAGAAAGTGACTGAAGTGGAGGCAAGGAAGAGATTTAAGTTTGTTGAAAACCAACTGGTTTTGAAAAAGCAAAACAAATTATAAAATGTTAGGAGAGTAGATTTTGCAGGGTGGATGATACATGAACAGCAAGGTGATGCTGTTGTAGATGTATGCATGATTGAAATGATTACCAGAGAGCAGGTGAAGTTAGAAGGACTTTCAAAAATTTATCTGGCTCAGGCTTGATCAAAGCAAGTCTCATTTGCCCAGGTTGCTCAGGCCTGTGTCAAGGTGCTTTGAACCTTTACAAGGATGGAGAGTCCATAACTGGCTTGGCAATTTCTTCCTGTATTTGACTACCCTCAGCAAGTGATACTGTGACACCATTACCTCTGACAGATTGACCCTTTTCTCTGCAGCACAGGCAGCTCTGCATCTGTCCTTCCTGCATCTGTCCTTCCTGCATCTGTCCTGCCCTGTCTGGCTGGTCAGTGTTCTCCAGTGGGGAGGAAGAGGAGAGCCTGGAAGGGGGCAGCACATCTCAGCCAGTTTTGGCAGAGGGCTCTCCTCCCTGCACAGCAGTGTCAGAACAAAGCTGCTGTGTCCCTGCAGAGGGAGTCAATGCTGGGGCTGGTGTTTGGGGGGACCCCAATACTCCAGCCTCTTGGGAATGTAGTTCCAAGGTGGGTCTGAACATGAGCTGGTGACACAGAGAGGAAGGAAGGGGATATTCAGTGGTGTGAGGGGGTCATAGAACAGAGCAGCAGCAAGAGAAGATTTGGAGACTGGTTGCAGAAGGAGTTGGTGTGGGCATGAAAGTATTTGATATTATTCTGACAAGAAGGATGGGATCATAGCTGGGAAGAGTCATGTTCTGGAAATATGGTATCATGATAGGAGAAGGAATGGAGCTGGGGATAAGGAACTTAGTGGAAGGACAGAGGATTGAGAAAAGCATGTGTTGGACCATTGAAAGGAGCTGGAATTGGGAGGAACAGGCTGCATTGCTGCTGAGTTCTTGTGTGAGGTTATGTGATAGTCCAGATCCTGTGGAACAGAGGAAAGTTGTAGCCATTGTGTGTGCAGCAGTTCCCTTCAGCTGTTTTCAGTGTGTGTGAGTTGATAGCCACGCTACAGTAACAAACACTGTGAAACAATTTAAACAAAAACTATTGCTCCTGCAGCACTTGAATATATCTGGCATTAGATTTGTTTTCCTTCCAAAGTAGCTACTCACCCCTTAAGCCATTAGTTCTGCTTAGACTCAGAATTCTGCAGCTGTCTGCATGGACTGGCTCCCTCGCTGCTGCCCAAGGGTGGGAGCAGAGCCATGAGTCCTGAAGGAAGGGAGGTGATACTAAAGGTGCTGGGGGTCTAAGAGAGGGAGTTCTCCTCCAGTAGACCCTTGAGTTGAAAGGCCTTTGAGGTGCAATCTGCTGGAATTGTTTCACTCTAGTTCCAGTGAGCACCTGTGGTTGTGAAGCCTTTCTCCTCTGCTGGGTGCAATGGTGTAGCTGTTTTGCAGCCTGCTTCCATGAGGTGTCCTGAAAACAGTGCATGGAAAATGCTGCCAATACAGACCTCTGTTAGCAGTCAGAGCACAGCCAGCCTCTGGGTACCACTAGCATATAATACCAGAAATAGTTCATTTAACTTGCTACAAGCTAGTAGCACCTCCAGAATAGCAGCCCTTGCAGACTGGCTGGATAAAAGTCCTTTTGTTGCTAGATTTGTTGGTGGTGGTTTGTTTGGCTTTGTTTTATTTTGTTTTGTTGTGGGTTTTTTTTAAACTGCAGTTTTCTGATCTTATTTGTTGGGGTTTTTTAAACTTAACAGTTTTCTGCATAGTACATGAATGCTGGGCTGCTTTGCTTCTGTGCCTGCTTAGGCTGACTCTGTAGCTACATCATGATTGATTTTTGGTTTGTGAGCAAACTGCTTCCTAAGTGAAAGCTTACTGCCTGTTTTGAGGTGGGGAGATTATAAATGAGTGGTAGGAAAAGAAGTTACTTTTCCAAATTCACAGTCATGGACCTGGCAGAGCAAGAGGTTGAACTCAGGCTCTCCTATATCCTCATACAGTTCCTTGTCTGTTAGATTACAGTATCCAAAAAATTTTCCTATTTAATTTTCTTTAGAGACATCTATATAAATGCAATTTAGTCTGGGTGGCTTCTTCTTTTTGTGTGTATTGCATCTCTTTCAGAGGCCTCATTTTCTGTAAAAGCTTTTTTTCCTGAAAAGGATGTTGGGAAGAATTACCCATCTTCTCTTGGATTCTAAAAAAATACCCTCACACCCATTTTGAATTATATTTTGGTTTCTCTCTTAATTATGTCTTTTTGATGCCAGTTGTTCAAGGTTCAAATTCCTTATTGCAAGCCAGTATTTTAATTTCCTTAATGTTCCAGAGAGAAATTATGAGGACATTAATCTTGGAAGGCATATTTCTTACAGAATTATGTACTGATCATTAGTAATGTTTTGGGTTTTTTGGTATGATTTTCAATGTGACATATGAAAAAGGCAGGAGGTTTAAAACTTTCCCAAAGGTACCCTTGCTTTCCACTTCCTTTGTTCAGCTGTGTCTGTTCCTTTAACTGGAAATAAGAAACTGAGCCTGCAGCTCTAGGAACAAGTATTTGATGTATACATCCAAGTGTATACAAAGTATTGTGTATACACTTGGATGTACTTGGAAAATACTGCTTGTGTAATTGTCAACTACTAAATTAGTGTGGCAACTTTTTAAATACTGTAGGCATACTGGAGTATCTACATGGACTAATTTTGTGCTCCTTATTCCTTAGTTTTGAGAAAAGTACAATTTTCCCAGTGGTTTTTGAGACTGTTGATTAATTGCTTATTCAAGAGCAGATTTCTGGACTGTAGAGGTAAAAATAGGTAAATTTATTTATAAAGATAATAATAAATAAATGAAACCCCCTAGATTATTCTTCTCAGCCTTGAATTATAAACCAGCAGGTCATGGAACCACACTAGGATTAAAAGCTGTGATGTGATCTCCCATAGTAAAACATGCCTGGTAAAAATGTGAGTATGCAAAGGGATGGCTCTGTCTGGTTCTGTGAGGTACAGCAGTCACTCCCTGATCACTGGCCTTTTGTCTAATTAACAAATTTTATCATGGGATACTTCATTATTTTAAAGGACAGATTGTTTTGTTTTTGTTTAAACAGAAACCTTTCTGGAAAAATCGACGGAAATAGTTGAATTGTTCAGTTAGACTTTTGCAGTGTGTTGGTGTTTTTAAACCTCTTACTGGCACTGGAGAGATCTTTGATTTATACAGATAAAGCCCTGCTGTTGTCATGGGTGACTATGGGTGAATTGTCAGCTTTATTTCAATTCTGGGGACAAATAGGTGTCATTATCTGCACTGTCATTACCACCATTGGTCTTTGTACATTGGTTAAATCATTTATATTTAACTGAAATTTAAATGTGGTTGATGCACTTACTTATATAAAGTCCTGCCTGAAGTCCTTAATATCTAAGTTAATTCTTAAATAAAGTAAAATACTTATCTATTTCAGATAACTCTTATTCCTCCAAAGTATTTTCAATAAATCAATCATTTTTTGCATCTATTTTATGCAAAACATAACATAAAATATTTGTAGCAGCTGCATAAAAATCACATTAGACTGGGCTGATGGCTCTGTATTTCAGTGTTCTGTTTTTTGAATCCTTTCTTTCTAGGTAGACAATGTTATTAGCTCAGATCAATCGAGACTCTCAGGGAATGACGGAATTTTCTGGAGGAGGAATGGAGGCCCAGCACGTGACTCTGTGTCTAACAGAAGCTGTAGCTGTGCAAGGTGACCCTTCAGGTTAAAATAGCTCTACATTATTATGTCTTTCCTCTTTGAAACTCAGATAAAACACTAACATTCATCTTGTTTATTCTGAATTAAAAGTCCAACAGAAAACAGTTAACTGAGATTGATTAAATTCACTAATTTAATTCTAGATGGAAATTACTTTTTAATTAAGATAATAGAAGTGCAAATGTGCCAAAAATATATGAAATATACAATCTGACTTTATTCTCTGTGTAGTCTTACTGTTTTATACTTTGTTAATTCAGTTGATATCTAAGTATGCATTAAGCAAGTTGAGTTTTAAAATAGATTGACTTGAAATTGGCTTAAACTTGATATTTCCTGACAGCTTTGTTATGATTTTACATGATTACAAACTCTCTACTAGATGTGCATTTTAATCTAAATAGCTTGGTGTGTATTAATGACAAGTAGTTTGTACAAAACAAAATTCTCAATACAGTATGTGTGTCATTATTTCACTCTTGGCTCTGATGATTTAATTCATAGTTCTCCTAAAACCTCAGCTGTGTAGTTATTTATTCAGTGACATTGTATTTTTTTTTAGTTAAGGAAAATAACATTTAGCTGTCATGTTTACAAAGCAAAATCTAGAATATATGACCCTAATATGTGTCCCAGGCTTAGAAACCAGAAAGCAAGTAAGAATTACTTACTCTTCTTATTTGTCAAACCAGTGTGCTTTGAGGGGATGTCATAATTTATGGAGGTCTTTCAGCTGAGATTTCTAGGGTTCCATGCTGCTTGTAGTGAAGGTGAACTTTTTTCCCTGCTAGATGGTGACAACTTGGAAAACATGGAAGGTGTAAGTTTGCAAGCAGTTACCCTGGCTGATGGCTCCACTGCTTACATCCAGCACAATTCTAAAGGTAGGCAGAGCACTGCCAACTGATGGCTACTCAAGTGGTATTCCCCTTTCTAACCCTCTCTTTGCATTGTAAAATCATTCAAAATCTGTACAGTGTTTCTGAAGTTCCAATTCCAGTGGGAAATTATGGTAATGCTATAAAATAAATGTTTTTGTTTTGCCACTAATAAGATGCAAAAATGAAATTCAGAACATGAGTCAAACAAAAGTGAAGAGATCTTTATGGTTCAAACCCAGATATCAACATTCTGCCTAACAGATAGGACAGCAGACCTTTTCTGTTTTTTTAATCCCAGAATTTTAAAAGCTCTCTACAGTAACACTGTGCTTTCTATTTACCAAACATTATTTCTTGTTAATACTTTATTTATATGTTAATCTAGAAAGTATCAACTGTGTATTAAAACTGTGATGTGCTACACAATTAGAATTCTTAAAAATATTCTGTGTGTTTCAGATGGTAAATTAATGGATGGCCAAGTGATTCAATTAGAAGATGGTTCTGCTGCCTATGTTCAACATGTACCTATGCCTAAAAGCAGTGAGTGCAATAATACAAGAAATATGTTGTAGAATAATGTATTCCTGATAAATATTGCTCCTAAGTAATTAACAGTCATGATAAATAGCTTGATTTCTTATTTTAATGGAAATAATCATGAAGGGATCTTAGGTATTTTGTAATCCTGGCTATTCAGTGTTTGATCTTTCCATCTAAGCATTCTCTGAAGTCTTGCTGTAATTGTTCTCCTGTGCAGGGGAGAGCCTGCGTCTGGAAGATGGGCAGGCGGTTCAGCTGGAAGATGGAACCACAGCATTTATTCATCACACCTCAAAAGGTAACTGCTCTGGCAAGTGGCATTTGTCACCTCAGTGTCCCACAGAACTTCAGCAGTGTTTAACAGGATACTCTCTAAAAATTAGCATCTTAATGGGATTCACAGCGTGAATTACTTGTTGCTTTGACATCCGAAAATTGTTGAAATGACTGTTTCAGTTCTTGGGCCTCGTATAACAGTTTAAATGGACTCAAACCCAGTGTGTTTCACTGTTTATTTAGCCCAGGATCACATTAAAGTGAGTTTATCCCTTTAGGTAGTAGGGCAGAAAATGAGACAGCTGACAGTCAAGAATGCAAATGTAGTTATTCCAGATAACATATGTTTCTGAAATGAAGATGATTACACTAGTCTTGGAAACAATACCACTTCTCTAGAAAAAGTGATCAAGTATATATTTTAAGACTGCTTAAACCAGTGTGACAATTACATTTTACAAACAACAATAGTAAGATGAAAGAATGTAATATAGAATTTTTTTTGTTAAAAGTTGTCATATATTTTGTGGTTCTTTTGCACATTTGCATGATTCTCTTCTTAAAATGTGACATCTGGGAATTCTAAAATCTGAAGTAATGATATCAGTAGATCTGTTATATTATTTTCATTTTATTATAGGTGGATTTGAAATGGAAATTATATTTGCGTTCCTGATTTCCTTTATAAATAAAACTAGATCAATATAATTTTTTTGAACTTTTTGAAGTGTAGAAATAAAACTATAGGAGGTATTGTCTTGAAAACAAATTCCTGTGTTATTCATAGTATTATTTTAAGTGTTTATATTTCTTATAAACTAGTGGTTCTATTTCCCATATATTTCGTATGTGTCTATGACTTCAGGAGACACCTCCTGGAGAGCAGTAGTTTCTCATGTAACACACTGCTGCTCCTTTCAGAATCCTAACACTGTGCAATATCATTCCTCAGACAGTTATGACCAGAGTGCCCTGCAGGCTGTGCAGCTGGAGGATGGAACCACAGCCTACATCCACCACACGGTGCAGATGCCACAGTCAGACACCATTCTGGCCATCCAGGCCGATGGCACCGTGGCAGGACTGCACACAGGAGATGCTGCCATCGACCCTGACACCATCAGTGCTTTGGAGCAATATGCAGCCAAGGTACTCTGCAAGGCATTTCACTAGCCACCATGTCTTAAAAAAATGTACAGCACAACATATCTGGCAGCACAAGCCAATTGTTGTTTAAGAAATTAAATTGTAGCCGGGAGAGTCTCAGACTCCTAGAAGAGAGCTCACCAAATTGTCATGACAGTGCTTCACTGTCATGAGCAGCTCTGGTGCCTAGTGTTGCATAAAAAGGAGAAAAGATTGAACACTGAACTGGAGTAGGATTTAGAAAGCCCTTTAGACAGCCAAATTAAAATCTCCTCTATCCTATAGCATTGCAAAGGAGTCTCTTGGAAGGACACTGTTTGCAAAGAAGGACAAAGTTGAATTATTCTTGTTCAGGCACTATTGCTGGATTAGTTTTTTTCCTGAATGGGAAGAGTATGGCCTGGTGTACTGAGCAAGGGCAGCACATGGTGTGAGGTGTAGAAAAGACAATCAGACAAACTTCTTTGATCTCTATTTTCAATAGTAAAAATGCAGTAGGATGCACAAAATTCATGTTGTTCACTTTCCTGGGCTCTGCAAAGCATGATGTAAGTATGGTAATGGGTGATGCAACTTCCATGACTCTGTAGTTAAGCTATGTCCCAGCAGCTAGGTAATTGCCATCAGGGCTTGTATTGCTCTGGAAAAAGAGCAGAATATATTTTAAAGCCTGTCCTCTTAATGTCACAGAGAGTTGTCAAAATTTGGGAGGCCAGATAGGATAATTAAATAGCTTATTCACTATTCTTTTCATTATGCTTCTGTCTGTTAGAATTGAGAGATCCTAAGGCAGGCAGTCAAATTGTGTTGTGATTTAACATTTCATGAAGTAAAAGGTAATTCAGTGTTAGTTGGGCTGTAATCACAAGCTTTTATACATTCCACAGGTACTATTTCATTTAGATTACATCAATCACAACTTTGCCCTTCTTAACTGGCATCTATATTAATCATAATTTCTGATACATATCTGTTTTGAGAAGGTGAAAAAGAAACAGAAGAAATGCAAATAAATTTGCATTTTCATCCTATTTAACTCAATATGGGTTTTTTAATTCTGTCATGTGAATTTGTTTCCTGTAGTGCACTTGAGTGTTTGTTTAGGAAAAATTGTTTTCTTTAAGCTTTCATCTCAGAACCTTATTCTGAATGGTACTGCTGGACCCTTAAGGGGACAGTCAGTAGAAGTGAGTTTCCAAGCACTACATTTGGTTTATGGGGTTTTTTGGGTACAAAACCAAATAGCAGCTCAATGGTCAGAACCCTGGATCTCTCTTAAAAGAAGAAATGTAGTTTTGTGATTCTTCCATGTCCATGCACTCTTCATAGGGAGGCAAGGTACAGTTTTCATAGCTGGTATTTCAGACACCTTGAGAAAGGTACAGGAAGAAATGAAATACACATGGTAAGTATATGATAGGTTTTTATAAAATTTTAGGTAGCCCAAAAAAGAGTAGTGATTTGTCATTGGCTGCACCAGTTTCAGAACTGGGAAACATCAGGTGAAACTCACATGTGATGGGTTCAAGAAGAAGGAAGGTGCTGTTTCAGACAGCTCAAAGTTAAGCACTGCCCTGCTTGTAGGATATTGTGGACACTAATATGTCCTTGGATTCAAGGAGTCATTAGATAAATTCATGGAAGAAAAATGTATCCATGGCTATTTGGTAGAAACACGTGACTTCTGGTTCGGGAAGTTCATAAACCACAAATTGCTTGGAGGTTGGCAGAAGATTATGGGGAATGCATCACTCCATGCTTGGCCTGTTTGTTTAGTGTTCTCCAGCATCTGCTGCTGGCTGCTGGTGGAACTGAAATGGTGCAGTGGTATGGCCTTTACTTTGACTCAATGTAGGTGCCCTTGTGTTTTTATTTGAAGGCAGACTAAATCTTTCTTTAGCATAAAGGAGATTATTTTAGGAGGAGCTCAAAGATCTGCCCTGGAATCCTTCCAGAATTCTTACAATACTGCAAAAGAGAAGTTTAAAGTTGGGTGTCTTTTTTTGTTTGGTTCTTTTAAGGCTTTCTTTTTGAAATTTAAAGGGCAAAGAAAAAAAAAGGTGACTTTGGAGAGTGGTGGTTTTTCTTTGTTTCCCTGTCCTATGCAACAGGCAGAAACAGAAAGATCAGTGGGGTGCCCAAGATCAGTGTAGAATATAAGAGAGTTCATACAAGAGGCCCAAGCAGACTCCCCAGAAGCTCACTGGAAGTGGTGGAATGTGTACATTTTTCATTGTCCCTCACTTCTCCTTGAGGCTGGGAAGTACCACTTTCCAACATGCAAAGCACATGCAGACTTGAGTCCTGTAATTTTGGGCTGAGTCAGTGCCACCATCCTCCCAAAGCAAGTCAGGAGAAAAGGTCATTGCTCTCAGGGAAGTGAGAATAGGTGATGGAATGGTGAAGAGGTTACAACACATCCTTGCCTCCCAAAAGCTGCTCTCCTGTGCCATCCCAGCTGCTGGCAGAGTGCAGTAACTGGGATTTGTGCATGCCTCAACACGTGCACACACGTTCTCTTGGCATCATTCATTTCCAATAGTTGATCAAGTTCTAATTTCATGGCAGCAGTTCTTCTCTCTACCAACAGCAGGAAGTTCAGGATGAAGTAATTTAAGTCTCCTTTCTGTGCAGGTTCTCCCCTCTTCCTTTAAAAATTCTGAGGGGGAAGGTCCCACAATAGCTATTGTTTCCATCTGAAAAAAACACCCCAAAATTACCTGCTTTCTGACACTCTTTTAAATTTTTTTTGTAATGTAAATTTACCTCTGTTTGGGCACTTTCCTTATTACTGTTGTAGCTCAAAGTTCCCAAAAGTAAATTGTCTAATTTAGAGCAGGAGTGTGAAAAGCTCTCATGGCATGAGTTCTGCCAGTGTCCAAGCAAACTGCTGGGGGCTGGTGCTGTGGGCAAGGTGCTTCACGCAACCCCAGTGACCTCTGGGGCCTGCTGTGGCTCTTGGGAGGGAGGGGTCCTGCCCAGCTGCTTTAGAGAAGAATAAAATCACTTAGACTGGGCTTAGGTGCATCAGTCTCAGCCTTGAATATAATGGAGGCAGAGATTATTGTGAATGCCTGTGGTTAGTACAGAGACAATTTAGGGATGGAAAACTATGCAAAGTATACTTTAAATTTTTTATATGGTGACCAGTAACATGCTGTTCTTTGAGCTGATGCTTGTTAGAGAGTTTGGGTGTTTTTTTAAACTGGGTAATTACATTTTTATTTAAATAAAAATTTCACATTAACACCAACAGTCTTTCAAATATTTTTATGAGCTCCTTGGAAACAGCAATACCTTTCTCCTCCTGGAGACTGTCTTTAAAAACAAACCTATGTAGCAATACCCAAGTCCTTACTTAGCTGTAATTTGACTTTTTCAAATTGAGATGTAACACATTGTCTTAGGTATGTTGATTCAAAAAGCAGTTGTGCTGTTTGAACAAGTACATTCTGCTTAATGGAGTGAGAGAGATATCTTTATTATAAAATAAGTAAATGTTTGGGGTTTTTGGTTTTTGTCAGAACTCGGTATTGTTAAATCTATTGATATATTGTAATACTTTTGTCTATTAATTTAACATCCTTAGTTCTTGCAGTCTTTCCTAGCCTGTTACAAAACACCTTTGCTGTGCTCACTTGGTCTGTTGTGTAATGCAGATGCTGCAAGAGGTGATTTTTGTGTAAGTTCAGGTACTATGGGATATCCGTGTTCCAAGAGGGAGCTAGAGAGCTATGAAATAATAAACCCAGGAACTGTCTGTAACCCTCTGTTTCTGAGATGAATAAAAGTAACTGGTGTAAATGTTTATCCCATTTCAACTTTGTTTTTCAGGTGTCTATTGATGGAAATGACAGTGTTAGTAGCACAGGAATTATAGGGGAAAATGAACAAGATAAAAAAATGCAGGTATGTGCTTAATACAAAATAATTAAATATATTTATTTCTTTTGTCTCTTCTGCCCAACAAGGTGCATGACAGGGAGTCCTGTAGCCATGAACTATGAGTTGCTTCTACCCTTCAGAAGTTATAGATTTCAAACTATACAGATAGATTATAATATCTCACTCTGCACAAGATCATGTCACAAGAGTGTAAAAGATCTTCTAATACTTACTGCTGTCTAGGGGATTTTCCTGTTAAAAGGTAATTAAAAATTAGGTTGACTTTCTAAGATTTTTCAGGCTGACATGAGTATTTCTTCAATAAGAATGTAAGTATTTCAGAAATTCTTTCCAGAGAAGGAGCTGACTTTTGATAGTATTTAAAGCAGAAAAATGCTGTCTCAGTTCTTAAATTTCATCTAGGAGAGACCATTCCAGGCATAGGTCTGGAACTGTTCTCTCTTGAATGACTTATTTTGATTCCACTTGCCCTGTTAGGGTCCCTGACCTTTACAGCAGGTTTTATAAAGAATCAGTAGTTAAGAGTGTTGCTCCTAGAGGATGCTTAAAGAACAGAAAAAGATTTCAACAACTTCTTCTGGATCCATATTGTTTGTACACAGCAATGTAAAAACCTTTAAATGTTAAAAGATGAATGTAAAAGTTCAAAGGGTAATGGAAAATATAGGTGCAACTTACTAAGTCTCAAGCTTTTTTCCCTAGGATCCATAAAATTATGTAAGGAGAATGGTATTTGGCATTATAATGTATTTCATTAAAGGAAAAGACAAAGGAAAAATTTATTCTGGGCTTCAAATATACAACTAAAATAACACTAAAAACTCCATATCCTCCCATGTTCAGGTGGCAAAATCAAAAATGGAAAAGTCATTGCATTGAGAATGGGGCTTCTCTGGGCAAACCTTTTCTCCTTTTTGCTTAATTTAGGAAATAATGAAGTAGACAAGGAGGAAAAATGTCTTCTTCCAAGTTCAAAATACATCATGTGTGAAAGGAATAATTATAGGCTCACCTCTCACAGCTCAAATTTTCTATTTTTATCTTTTACAAGTTAGATCTCACAATATTAAAAGCTGCAGATGCTTCACTTTTGGCTGTGTGGCATGACTGTGGAAGGAGAGAATAACTAATACTTGCATTATTTACTGTATTGGACCATGTTCCAGAAAATGAAATCAAGAAATTTAGAGGGTTTGCACTTGTAGGTTGGAATAGGGATACAACTGCAATGAAAGGCAAAATTCAAGGAGGAGTAAGATAAAAGCTTTGTTGGTTTTACCTGAAGTAAGAGCCTATTAAGCAGAATTACTTGTAATCAGTATCCACATAAATATTGATTTTGGCTTCAGCCCCAAAGCAAACTGAATGTGGATGTGGTTTTATCTTATACATATATGGCAACATATGTGCAGTATGGAAATGTGCCAATCTGTGGAGCACTGCATGTTCCAAACAAAACAAGATCTGATATTTGAAAAAGGTAATGAGGCTTAGTCTCAAATTCTGACCCTTATAAGGTGACTACAGTTGGCCTTCAGTTGAAGGGACCCACAGCTATCAGTTCTGTATAAAAATAGAAATCATTCTTATATCTTGATTTAAGTAGATACCTGCCTGGAACTCATTCTGTATTCATACGTATTAATCTATAATATTTAAAATAGTCTCATATTTAGATGTAGAATTAAATAGGTGTATATTTATAAACTTTTTAAGTCCACAGGGAATAGAACAGATGTCACACTGCTAAGCAGTCACTCAGACTTGCATGTGGTTAGTTAGGTGTTTCAGCTAAGAAAAAAAAAGCATAAAACCTCTTTGTGATTTCTACATGGGAAAACAAAAGACTCTCTGTGCCCAAATGGATATCTCACTATTTCCTTTCAAACCTGTCATACCCATCTGTTCATAATACACACTTTGGTTATATGATTCTGCTTTTATGTGTGCAGTAAAAAAATCTGATCCAAGAAAAAATCTGATCCAAGATCTTTGTTTTTCTCCTGTGTTACCTCTCTGAGATTAGGATGCATTTGTGATCTCTTAAAAATAGGGGGTTTAAAATTCTATTTATTTATTCATTCTGTTTAAAAATATTTGAAGTACACAGTTCCTCTCAGTAAGTTCCACATTATTAGAAAGGTGCTTCCTCCCCAGTTTTTGTATCCATCTTAATATTGGTAGGATTATGGCTGGTTATTTCCTTGCAGATATCAGCACATTACAGAATTGTTTTCATTTTCTTTTCAACTTTGGTATACTTGAGCTTTATGGTAGAACTTAGCAACTATACATATTTTTATATTAATATTTTATATTAATATTTTTATATGCTGGAACAACAAAGTAGTAGTAGAAGAGATATAGATAGGAAAAAATAATTAGTGCTTCAGTGCAGGTGCTCAACCAAGTGTGTTCTTTATGATCCTTAATGTATTGAAGTGATTTCTGTGATTCATGCTGTCACAGGTTAAACAATAATACCAATAATGGGTTCTCAATCCAGATTATTTTTCTCTGTGGTTCCAGAGGAGACTTTCTGAAGTGATGGAGTTGCACATTTCAGCTGATTAAAAGTTTTGTATTAAACTTTGCTCCTTTAGTCTTACAAAGAGTCTGAAGGTAACAGGTTATTCCATCCTCTCTGGAAAATCTGTGGGAAAGGTGTTAGCAGTGAAATGTGTGATTTCTCTGGAAGAGGAAATAAAGGTGTGTGGTGGTGCAGTCTCCCTGGTGCAGGGAGCTGTGCTGGGAGGGCTCAGGTGCCTGAAGTGCTGTGGTGATGGATCCAGGCTCTTTAAAAGGGCCAGCTGGGGAAAGAGGGTAGCAGGAGCTGCCCTTCCACTGGGAACAGCAGGACTGCACAGAGCTGTGGGGTGGGAGGTGGCTCAGCCCAGTGTGGGGGCTGAGCTGGTGCCTGTGCCACAAGGCCATGATCAGGAGGAAGATGAAGCCTTTTCAGACAAGTGGAGCAAGCCTGGTGTGCACAGGCCCACGGCCTCGTGGGGAATTTTAACCTCCTCGGTATCTGCAGAATACAGGACATCACAGCAGGGCACAGGAGGAGCAGTCTGGAGCTCAGGGATGGCAAGGGGCAATCTGAGCAGGCTACTGAGCAAAGGGAGCCACTTTGCAGAGCCTCAGTTGCCAAAAGAATTCGGTGGGAATGTGAACGTTGGGAGCAGACTTCAGGAGTGCCCATCCTTGGAGATACTCAGAACCCATTTGGATATGGCTGTGAGCAACCTGCTGCAGCTGACAGTGTTTTCTGCTGAGAGTATTGTCTCCTCATCCACCCTGTGCAATCTTCTTTTGACAGTTTGGAATAGAATTGGATTTGTACCAAAAGGGAGGTGATCTGAAAGGACAGACTGTATAAAAGACTCTCGATGGCTTTGCCCAGAGTCGTGTGGAAGTGCTGATGTTTGGGCTGCTGCCTCTGTGTTCTGTCTGTATGGATGTCAGGTTTTGCTCATGTTTCTTGCATGTCAGTGTAGAAAGGAGCCTGTGCAAGGGGTTTCAGGTGCCTCCTGAAGCTGTGCTGTTTATTTTCCTGTTGTCATGCCACAAGGGAGAGTAGAACCTAGCTCACAGTGCTCCAATTAGTTTGATCAAAGTACATGCATGGCAGACCAAGTACAAAATGCTTTACTTCATTTTCAAAAAATGCTTATTCTAAGGATATTTAATTATTGTTTGGCCTTTCCATGAACTTATGTTTGAAGGTGGTCTGATTTATAACTTAATTTCTCTTAGGAACAGAGCTAGCACCTATGACTTGTCTGTCTACTAATTTGGTCATTTTACCACTGTGCTTATATTTAAAATAATTTGTCTTTTTATTGGACTAACTAATGCAAGCTTTTAAATTTGCTAGGTACAAGTAAATGTTTTACAGTTTCCATCATGGTTTTCCGTTATTTATTTTTAGTTTATTTATTGAGGGCTCAGAAATACATGGCTTAGCAGAGCGAAGAGAAACAAAAGAAACCTGTCAAAATCAGCCCTGGCTTGATAGCAAAATAAATGTGTAACTTCTCTGATCCCTTTTGGTTATGGTTTTTTTTTTTTAGTATGTGGTTGGGGTTTTTTAAATTTTTTTTTTCTCTTTCACTTAAGATTGTCTTGCAAGGACATGGAACAAGAGTGACAGCAAAATCTCAGCAGACTGGAGAGAAGGCCTTTCGCTGTGATTATGATGGCTGTGGAAAACTGTACACAACAGCTCACCATCTTAAGGTGAGGAGATGTAAAATGTGCATTGCTGCTTTGTAAATGTGATTTTTTTGGAAAGATTATGTGGTTAAAAGTAATAGAAATTGAGAGGGAGCCAGTTGCAATGAGGCTGTTTTGTCAGATATTTATTGGATTGATTTTACAGTAATTGGTGGTGCTCAGCTGAGTTTATTTGTGTTCTGGGATCATGTTCAGCTGCTCTATTGCCAGCATAGCGAGGTTGCTCCTACCAGCAGTGTCACAGAAATTCTGGAATCCAGCATTTGTTTTATCAACTTTACATGTATGCATGATCATGCAAAAATTCCAGGTTTTGAAATATTTCACCATCATAGTACAAAGTGAGACTCTTCAAAATTAATATTCAGAGTGAAAAGATGATACATCTTTTCACAGATGGTGACTTCTTAATTCTCTTCCTTATTTTAAATTAAGTAAAGGAATTACTGAGATGGTGAATGGTCTAGGGCTGCTGACATTCCAGCTGAGGCTGGCACAATCCCTTGCTGATGAGGTAACCTGCTCACAGTGCTGCTTTGTCCCTGACCACAGGAGTCCGTGAGTGGCTGGCATTAGGAGTCATTGCTAAAATGATGTCCTTGCTGTAGAGGTTTCATGCAATATTAGAGCATTATTGGAAGCATTCAGTGGAGTCAAAAATCAGATAGACAGTGGGCTCTGAGTGGGCATATTTACCTCCTGTCTTTAGTGTAGTGCATGATGGCAACTGAGCATGTATTTACAGAAGTGTTTTGTGCCAAACTGACTGGCAGGATCAGGTTACACCTTGCAAAGAGACAGCTTTAGTTTTAGGGAAAATGTTGTTACCATATTTCATGATTTTTTCATCACTGACATAAACACACACTTCAACGTGAATCTTAGTAAGATAAATAAAATATGTTGGCTTTGAGAATGACCTGTTTCTGTGCTGAAGTAACCAGATACAGCATTTCATTAAGTCACTGTATTGGATGTCAACAGGTGCATGAAAGGTCTCACACGGGAGACAGACCATACCAGTGTGAGCATCCCGGATGTGGCAAAGCCTTTGCAACAGGTAATCTTGAGCAGACTAGCTCCTCCTGCTTGTTAGTGTTTGTGTTTGTCTGTGAATAAAGTAAGTTTTTAATATTGCCTTTTTTAACTGCTGAGTTGGTTGGGACAACTGGAAAAAGAAAGTTACATTTTTATCTAGTGTAGCAATAGAAAGGACAGAGGATTTAACTCTTACTGAAGGGGGAAGGAGGTGAAGCACTCAACACTTCCCTCACTCTTCTCTCATCTACAGTCAAATAATGTTAAAAATAGGCTTTTCTTACCATTAAACTAATAGCAAAAGTTAAATGAGGTGATAATAGAAAGCTGAACCTGTAGGCTAGGGGCAGATTCCTGATCTTCTGGTCTAAATTTGAAAGGAACTTTAAGAGAAGATGCTGGTTTAAGTGTTCTTTATTGAATTTGTATCAGAGTAACATCTGTCGTGAAGGGAACTCTCCATTTGTACAGATTACTCTGCTCATAAATGATGCTCTCCCTGAGATGGAATTTGATTGTGCAAAATGCAATTATGAGGAATGAAACATGGAACGAAGTGGAAGAGCAAAACTTGTTTCAAATTTTATTCTTTTACTTGGAATGTAAATTAGTATCATGCTTAGAAAAGTCAGGCTCTGTTTTTTTAATAAGGTATTTTTGAAATAATTTAATCTGTTCTAATACATTTGCTACAATTGCTTTGAATAGAAACAAGCAAAATAAATACTGATGCAAAGAGCAAAAGGGAAACAACCACACTTTTAAAGGGCTGCACCTAAGTTTAATTGCATAGAGTTTGTAAAGGGATTTCAAAACTATGTCATTAAATACTCTCTTCCTTTGCAACACACTGGTGTATGGCTATAAACAGCTCTTTGTTTATGAACACTATTTTTGATCAGAGGCATTGTATACTATTGTACATCCTTGCCTTGGACAGAGTTCACTTTAAGTACTGTGTAGTCTTTGGTTTAAATGTTAAGAACTCTCCTGGGCTGGGTCATGAAATTGAGTTTATTTTAGATATAAATGTAAATTAATGCTCAGCTTGGTTAACATGCTTCATGCTTTTAAAAACATCAAGAACAGGAATTTCAGCTGTTTTGGGGAGAACTCACTGAAATGAAAGTAGATGTCATTTTCTTACAGACTTTATTTTGTACAAATTTATACATCACTTGTGGATACAAGTGACATTCAGGTTCATTTTCTAAAATGGCTGTTTCAGGCTTCTTTGGTCATTATCTTTTCAGTGAAGTGCTGAAAGGAAAATTTTGCTTAAATGCTCATTGCAAAATAATTTATAGAGGGTCTGATCCAAAGTTCACTTCAGACTGGTAGAGCTTTTGATGATGATGAGTTCCTAAAAGTAATCTTAAAGAGAATGAGTGTCTATGACTGCTTTTGGTTAGCACCTGTATATGTGATTGTACTGCTGACTTCTTTTGTGGTTATTGCTTTTCCTGTGAGCAAATAATTAGATGTCATTTTGATGACAGTAGTGGGAAGAGGTAAAAGCTCGATGGAATGCACAGCATATGGCTTCTTCAGAAGGCAGAATAAATATTTGTCCACACAATTGCAGTTTATCCTTCTGAAGGGAAGCAGAAGAATCATGGAAATAAACAACATAATAAAAAATAAAGAATCTAAGAATTTCTAAACTGTTATCTAGAGTTCTGCTGCTCTGTCGGGTAGAATGAAGAGCTTGCAAAGAATGAAAGAGTAAATTTTACTCATCAACATTGCTGAGTGGAATAGCAATCCCAGCTTTTGCTGGTGATGGTTGCTGAGTGTCCTGGTTGTGTGCTGGTTGCTGAGTGTCCTGGTTGTGTGCTGGTTGCTGAGTGTCCTGGTTGTGTGCTGGTTGCTGAGTGTGCTGGTGCCCTGTGACACCCTTTGTGTCCCCAGGGTACGGGCTGAAGAGCCACGTGCGCACGCACACCGGGGAGAAGCCCTATCGCTGCACCGAGGAGAACTGCACCAAGTCCTTCAAGACTTCTGGAGACCTGCAGAAGCACATTCGGACACACACAGGTACTGCCAGCACACGTCTTTGTTCATTCACCTCGGTGGATTTTTAGTTCTTTCTCTTTCCTCATTCTCTGACTTTATACTGACAAAATCAGCCTGTGTATATTCTCTTCCTGAAGCCCAGTGAGCTCAGCAGCATTTCAGCATGGTAAGCATTAAATCCAGCATGCTTTTCTTGGAAAAAGTGCTAAAGCATTCACACTGCTATGGCAAATGCACTAACTTCTAGCAGTGCCTCACTTACATTGTCACTGAGCCACTCATTGCCTTTACAGTTTCATCTGCAGCTGTAACAGAACAAGGAACTTTCCCTCAGTAATCTGTCTTGCCTCTTAGAAATGGCTTCAGTGTTCCTCAGTTTTGGTGCTCTAATATAACTTGCATGCCAGCTCCATGAAAGCTGATATTCTGAGCTTGTTATCCTCATTTCCCATCTCTTCTTCCAGCAGAAAAACCAAAATGTCATAGAAAACCAACAGCTACTAAAAGTTGCAAAGGCACAATAAAATAAAATCTTACGTTTTGTCTAAAAAGATTAAATTGAAAGCCAAACCACAAATTCTAGACAGCACACTACACTCTGCAAAACTCTGTGGCTGCACACACGTGTCAACAAGATTGCACAATGTCTCCTTTGTGCCTGTGATCTTCAAGAAAAACAACCCCTAAATGTAGCAAGGACAATCTATCACTGGCTAACCTATTCCATTAAATATATTTATGTCCCTGCTAGAACACTGACAAGCTTTTCCACTCAACTGCCTGAATCTTTGTAAGTCAAGAAGAAAAAAATAAAATAAGTAGGGGTGTGGATTTTTTTTAAATTAAAAATACTTAAAATTTTGCAGGGTGGGATGTACATGTAGGCAATAAAAATTGTAAAAAACTCAGGATTACATTAAGATATTTCTGTTTTTTTGGACTTCCATACACAAAAATATTCTGTTGGGATTAGTGCTATCTTGATCTTTCAACATCAGTGTGAGCACATATCATCTCAGCTCTAGAAGAGGACTGTTGATATGCACTGCATCAAGTACAGACTATGAACTGAAAGGTTTCCTATCTGTGGACTGTTTTCTTTCCTTTTAAACCACCACAGAAGGTGTGTGGTAATTTAATCTGTTTTGCAGTTGAGACAAAAGATTTGAGCCAGCCCTATGTAACCTACCCACCTGAACAATATGAGTAATAGAATCATAATCTCCCAGCAGGTGAGGGGCCAGAGGTGTCTCATTTTAGATTTATGAGTTTCCAGGAAGCTAAAGAATGAGAGGAAAGGTGCAGCACCAGCTTTGTGCAGGTGGATGGAGCAGCGTGTGCTCATGCCTTGTGCAAGCTGCAGCAGGGCAGGGGGCAGCTCTGGGCTCTCCCGCTCCCTGCCACGGCTCAGAAACCTTTCCCTTCTTTAGGAGGCACGTCAGGGTCAGCACTTGCTTCACTTTCTGCCTGTTTTAACCAGAAGCGACTTCTCCCCGTCTTTGAGTAGAGTCAAGTCTTGCTTTCAGTGCCATCAAATGCTTGCCTTGGCTTCCTCCATGACCTCCCCAGCCACGCAGCTCTGGCATCAGGAGAGCTGCTGTGGATGGTGCCTCGTGCTGCCGAGGGGTACAGCCTCAAGGCTTTGCATTGCTAGAGCTGGAATTCGCTGTCACCTGGAAACAGGTCGCTTGGCTAGGAAGTACATTAGAATTTGAAAAGGCCCCTGCAGGGACCGGTCTGGTGACATTCCTGCGGGCATTGTTTCCGAGCGATCTGTCCTGGTTTTTAGCGCAGCGTCTGTTGCTGGGTGGGGCCGGCTCTGCAGCCCTGCTGCTTTGGGACTGTTTGGGGTCCTGGCTGCAGCGAGGATTAGGGGAGCCATGGTAACACAACACTGAGGTGTTCGGGGAATACACACTGCCTTGGCAGGAAGCTGGAAAACCTTCCCAAAACAGCTGCCCGAAGGAGTGAATAGCAGTTTCCTCTGCCAAGGAGTGAACTGCTGTGGAGTTTTGTGGTATTAGTGTCTATCAGGACTTGTTCTTTTATTTCTAATTACCTACAGTTGTATCAGTAGTGGTGTTCAGCTCTTGCTCTCAGATTCTGCTCTTTGGTAAGCAGCTCAGTGTGTGGAATGTACTTGGCTCTAGAAGTGGGAAATTACCCCAGGACATCCTGTCAGTGGCTCTAACATCTCCAAGTTTAACCCCCCTTGCTCTCCTTCTCTGTGTGCTTTGATAGATCTGAAAGGTCAGGGTTATTGCAGTATTATTGGTTGGCCTTGTCTGCTATTCACAGTGAAATGCTGTGGTGCAGTGATGTAAGTTACTGTGCTTAAACTTATATTACACAAAAAGACTTTAAAAGAACAAAAAAGTGATTTGCTTTGGTCTAGGGGTTTAAAACTTGAGTTTCATGGCTGTTTCTCTTTAGGAAGTTTGTTCTTTTTTAAGGTTAATGCTTTCTACAGCAAGTTTTATTAATCTGTGTTTATCCTGGTTATATGTTAAATCATGAAGGTACTTTTTTTCATTTGAAGAATTAACAATTGTCAAATATCAGTGGTATGATACACTTGGTTTGGATAATATATGTATGAATTGGGGAGGCTGTTAAACAGTTGCTAGATTATGGGCGGTGTGCAAGCTAATCCAAGCAATTGAGTCTGTTCTACATATGTTGAAGTATTAATCTCAATGCTTCATAATTTAGCTTACAGACTGTATCGTTTTCCTGAATTTTGTTCATTTTGGCTAAACTAGAACACTCTAGTGGCATGTTGGTGCAGTTTCTGACTGAGGGATCTCACAGACAAAATTAGGTAGCTTTAGGTTCCTACATTCATGTCTAAGTGTAACTTGGGATTTTCATTTCTTTTGTAACCTTTGCTTGTGCACCTTTTCTTGTCTTCTTTTTCAGGTGAAAGGCCTTTTAAGTGTCCCTTTGAAGGATGTGGCAGGTCATTCACAACATCTAATATTAGAAAGGTTCACATCAGGACACACACGGGCGAAAGGCCTTATTACTGTACAGAGCCAGGATGTGGGAGAGCTTTTGCCAGTGCAACTAATTATAAGAATCATGTGAGAATACACACAGGTATATGAGTGATTTATTGTATTTTGAAGTGGAATCTGCTTGGGAGAGGCTGTGTCATTCTCCTTGTCAACAGTGTTTTGGTGTGTTGTCATTGGGTATAGTCATGTTTCTGTGACTTGGCTTGGTCATTCAGTTTGGGCCTCCTCTCCCCTCAGCTGAGGATATTTCAGCATTTAGATTTCCCACCTTGCTAGCAAGGCAGAATCATTTTGGTTTGGATACAAAGTTTTTTAAACTGGGCATTGGGCTGAATCCTTAATATGATTCTGGGGCTTGCCTCCCTTATGAGCTGTTTTCTTAAATAAATACCAGTAAAGGACAAGTCTGAGCTTAACTTTGGCTCACTGTTACGAGTCACCCTTTCATCCCAGCTGTATTTTCCTTGCTGCTGGAACTGTGGTCAAAACTTCCTTTTTTATAGACTGGATGTGAAAATACTTATCTAGTGAGCAGAGTACTTATTTGGTGAGCAGAAATAATAAGCACAAATTTGAAGATTCTAAAATGTAAAAGCAGTGCTAGCCATATCAGCTTGGCAGCATTATGTATGTTATAGAAATACAGATAAGCTTCATAGAGCAACATTTTATAGCTTAGTTTATATTTTTAGTTTACAATGTAAACTAAAAATTACAATTTGGACATTGTACCTGTTCCATTGATTTTTAAATTGAAGGTTTTTTTATATGAAATCATAATTGTTTATACACATGCTTCCTGTGGATTTCCTCAGAGCTTTCAATATTCGAAAGTGATATTAGTCAATCAATATATATATAGATCATTGAGGAATATATCTGATCATTGAGGAAAACTGTGGGCTTCCAATAATAAAATAACAAAATTCTCAGTACAATGACAAACTGAAATGGCAGCTTTCAGCCTGTATCATTCTGCCTTCATCAGAAGGATATTTTAGATGGAATGATAGGGAGAAAAACCGGCCAAATTTACAGGCAGTAATTCTTAAAGACAGTAAGATGTTGTATTGATAAACTTTGTGAGGTTGAACTTCTCTGTTGCCTTTGAAATTAAAGTATGGTTGGCAATGAAGGTTTGTCCCCAGATATAATTTGCTGGCAATTTTTCCTATGCATCCTTAATAAATTTCTCTTTATCCCTTTTGTTTTCCCGTGCAGGGGAGAAGCCCTATGTGTGTACAGTTCCTGGCTGTGACAAACGTTTCACAGAGTATTCCAGTTTATACAAACATCATGTTGTACATACTCATTCCAAACCCTACAACTGCAATCACTGTGGGAAGACCTACAAGCAGATCTCTACCCTTGCTATGCACAAACGAACAGCACACAACGACACAGAGCCCATTGAGGAAGAACAAGAGGCTTTCTTTGAGCCACCTCCAGGTTAGAATTGCAGCCTTTGAATCTCTAGTTGGGAAAAAAAAAAAAGGGTTGGATGGTATTTTGGTGGGGGATTTTGATAGCCAAGGAAATGAAAACGTAGATAAGAAGTTAAAGTACTTAATAAAGATATCTTAATTTCTCTGTAAGACTTTTTAGGGTGCTGGGCAACTTGTAAATAGAAATTGCATGGGAATTGGCCAGAAAATAAACTCATTTATAGCAGTCATAGGGTTAAGAGAGAAATTTGAGTTGAAATCTCAGCAAACCTGCTAAAAACATGAATGTGGCTAAGGGACCAGAGAGCCTCTAAGCTGATTACAACTTACTGGACTTTTGTTAGGGATTTTTCAAAGAGTGTGTATATATATAACACCATGGCTGGTGACAGTCTTTTGTGTGGGAGTAAAGGTTCTGCCTTGAGAAAAAAAAATCTGTTTTTGCAGTACAGTGATATGTGCTGGCTTAGCTGTGGTTTAGAGCAGTTTCTGTAAACTGTCCTAGAGGCAGAGATGAAAAGGAGATGCTGTGCTGCAGTACTCCTCAGAGTTTGCTGCTCATGGTATCATGAGTACTGAATCCTATGTGTATAAAGGATCAGACTGAAGGAAATACTGTGAAAGGACAAACACCACTTGTCAAATTGTGATTTTTTGATGTGGCTGAAGGTCAGAAATATCCCCACAAACTGTTTTGGTTAGCAAAGTTGTTTTGCACCACGTTCGTGGGAAACTGCACTGAACGCCTCAAGCAGACTTACTATAGCTTAATTCCTTCTTTTAAAGGAATGATAACATTTATTTGCTGAGGTTAAACATTTATCAAGATAATGAATTTACTTAAATCTTCACACAAAGGCATGTCACTAGATTCTTCTGTATGTGTGTTAATTAATAACTTAAAAAAAAAATCCAGTTCTGTTTGCATGGAGTCCCTTGAATGGAGAGGTTAACATTAAATGAATAAATTAGAAATGTTTATCACATTTTAATATGTGCTTACAAACTGAATGTGTGTGTAGTATTTATGTGTCTTTAAACTGATTGCTAGAAGATTATACCACCTGTTTCCAAAATAAGACTTTCTGACTTGCTTCTGGTATCTTTCCTCCTTCTATTTTTCTCATCTTTACACTATTTTTTTCTGTTGCAGTGTTTAAAACCTTCAGACAAGACTGGGACTTGTCATTGGCTGTCCTGGTAGCATTTAGAGTATGGAAAGTAACCTGTTGCATTTTTGTATCCAATAGGTCAAGGTGAAGATGTGCTCAAAGGCTCCCAGATCACCTATGTGACAGGTGTAGAGGGAGATGATGTCATTTCTGCACAGGTTGCTACAGTTACTCAGTCAGGATTAGGCCAACAAGTAGCACTAATATCCCAGGATGGAACCCAACATGTAAGTAACTCAGTGTCACCTGCTGACAAAACCATGCTGAGAATTGAGGCACAGGTTGTAGCTTCTCCATGGGCTCTCTGAAATCAACAGGATTCTGGGTAAATGTTGGTGGAAAGAAGATTCTCTGGAGCTGTGTCAGGATATCTTTAGGGTTGTGCTCCTGTGGAATATCTAAGTGAAACCACATATTCTGACACGTGAAACTGTAAAGTTTTCCAAAGTTAGGGGATTGGTCTCTCCTTGTTATCTTTGTCACTCTGAAAAGGGCTGTTTAAACAACTGCTATATATACAGTCTGCTTCTGAGGTTTCTCATAATTCCCAGATTATGCTGTTAATATCTGATGGGCATCTTCACTGTCTTCTCTGCACACACTTTGGGGGTTGAGGAGTGGGAAGTCTTTTCAGTCCAGGTGCTTCCTTCACAAGCAGTTTGGTTGGTAGTGTGCAGTTTCTAACATAAACTAAAGGATAAGGAATCCTTTGATACTATTTTCCACTTGAATGCTCCTATGGCTGTCTTTTTTTTTTTAAGGTTTTTCATGGATACATATTTTTAAGGATTTCATGTTAGATTTCTTTGGAAGGGGATTTCAACACAACTCTCTTGATTCACTGTGGCAGTATATTGAAGGCTTTTGGGAAAAAAAGAATCTATATCAGCTGGCAGGGCAGCTGAAATACCAGTAACATATGTAAGATATATTCTGAATTCAGACTGAAATAAAATATCCAAGGGGCCTGTTACATTGCCAGGACATTGGAAATTGCAGCAATACTAAGTAACTGGTAATTTTTACCCTCTAAAATGAAGTCCTGCAGAAGCCTTGACACAGAATTCTTACATTTAAATTATCTTTCAGCCTGACTTCAGTTCTGGGATTTATTACCTTGTAAATCAGGCATCAAATTATATATCTGATGCCTTAATGCATTACTGGGGACATCAGTAATTTGTATCATTAATTAGTTATGGATTGTTTATTTGTGGCTTCAATTCTAAGCCCTCATAGGGCTCTTTAGTATTTACATCAAGATCAAAGTATGTCAGGTGGTACAACCTTAAATCCCACTGACCTCTGTGCAAGACACATGCATAGATAATCTGTTATGCTGTTATTTGGGATAACATGGAGTTGTAGGCTCTGGCATTAGGCTTGCATCCCCTCCTACCACTGAGGGCCATATTCTTTTCTGTGAGCAGGCAAGTGTGTCTGAAAGGTCAGAGCTGTTGGATCCCAGCCAGTGGGGCAGAGGGAACGAGGCTTGAGCAGCTCTGAGCCCCTTCCCTGCCTCAGGAGCTGCTGTGTGTTGCAGGTGAACATTTCCCAGGCAGACATGCAGGCCATCGGCAACACCATCACCATGGTGACACAAGATGGCACCACCATCACCGTCCCTGCCCACGACGCCGTCATCTCCTCGGCCGGCACGCACTCGGTGGCCATGGTCACTGCAGAGGGCACCGAGGGACAGCAGGTGAGGGACACTGCCCTGCACACCTGCTCCTGTCCCCTCAGGAGCTGCTGGCAAAGGGACCCTGAGCCGCCACACTGCGGGCATTGATGCAGATTCAGCTCAGCAGTTTCCAGCACCTGGCCCACACATTCCCCTCCTCAGTGCCTGATGTGTTCTACCCAGGGCTGTGCATCTGCAGGTTTTAATGTTTTAAAATGCTTTAAAAACAAGGGGGCACCAAGAAAAATATCTGAGGTACCGGTCCAATGATTCATTTAGGTGTCTGTAAAATAACACCTAGAAATGCCAAGCTTTTTACCCAAAGTCACACAGTAAATGTGTGACAGAACTAAGTATAGAATCCAGTATGAACTATAATTTCATTGGTTAATATTATGGGACTGTAATTTATTTGGCAGATGGGAAACATTTGTGTAAGTCTATATCTGTGGGTTGGTTTTTAACGTACAGATAAAACAGCTAACTTTTTAGTACAAATATGATGTTATCTTTAAGTTAAAATTCATTCTACTGTTCTAAAATTGCACCACATGAAAATGAAAATAATTATTAATCTCTGTGTAGATAAGCACAGGTCTGTAGGTGCATTTCTCAAATTGCTGCAGTCCTGAGGATATTTCTATTTTAAGAGCTAGTAATAATTTGGAGAACACAATTATGGCAACTTTTCTTTTGCACAATACAATTATGCTGATGAGTGATCCCAGTTTTGACTGTAAATGTGAAGGCAGGGGTGGTAGGAGGTGAGGGGCAGGAAGAGATGTGCCAGGCAGGTGATTGTGTCTCTGTCCTGAAGGTTGCAATTGTGGCCCAAGACCTAGCAGCGTTTCACAGTGCCTCCTCAGAAATGGGACACCAGCAGCACGGACACCACCTAGTGACTACAGAAACCAGACCTGTCACATTGTTGGCTACATCCAATGGGACACAAATTGCAGTACAGGTAAGATGGGGAGAAATGGTTTTTTTGGAGTGTTTCTTACTTCTAGAGCTAGAAGCTACCTAGTCAGGAAACAAAATTATTTGAATAAGCTTGGTTTCCCTGAAAAAAAATAACCCACAACTATATGATCTCATATTTAAAATAATATATAGGGTTAGAAAGAGGAATAAACAGCATCTGATTTTTCCAAACCTACTTGTAGAACTCTGAAAAAAGGGGAAGGCTGGGAGAGGTCCAAACTTCAAGTCAACCAAGTAGTTCATGGACTCACAGGTTTTCAGTGAAAAAGTGCTTTTGTTCATCCTTCAGCTTTACATATAGGATTGACACATACAAAGCCAACCTCTCAAGGATAAATTGCTATGAACTTATAAAATTAGCAAATTTGTTATTTGAACCTTGAAATGCTAATAGCAAAATAGTGCAAACAGTTATATAGAAAGATTAATAATCAGAAATCTCTGGAAATAGTGACCTTCTGTAATGTGCCAAACCAGCACAGTACAAACAGTCTCTGTAAATAGTTCCTCACATTGTTCAAACACTATCAGGAAAAGGTAATTTTTAGGTATGAAAGAGCTCTTAAGAGCTCAGATTGAAAGGAATTGTATTAATATCCTCAAGCAGAAACAAGAGATTGTTATTTTACCCTTTGTTAAATGGAAAGTAGTAAGTCAGGTGCTGTTGAAAGTTGAGAAGCCCTGAATTCTGAACTCCTCTCTTTTGAGCTAAGTTGGCACTAATCAAAACTGCCTGTAAGAGAAACCATGTCAGAAGGCAATTTTTGCATGAGGGAAAGAAAAAAGTAGCTAAAAGGGTCCTTTGAATGAAAGGAAAACAGGCACTCTGCACAAGCCCCTCTTCTGTTACCAGCAATGGGGCATTAGCTTAAGTTGCTTTACATTAATTAAACTTAAAATACACAAATAGAAGGGAGAGATTTTAGAATTAAAATACTATTGATTATTCCTGAGAGTTTGATTGGCTTTTCTCTTGTACTTCAATACTAACAAATTAATCCATTTGGTTTCTAAGTCCTGGTAAAGCCAGTAGCCTGATAGTCCTGTTGAAATGCTAACGAGGTGCAAACAGAGTGGATTTGAGTGGATCCCGAATGTGATGTGCAGTGACTGTAAAAATAACAAGTGATACTTGGAATTGTCCCATTAGGTCCAGCAATTTGGTTTTACCTTTCACACTCTCATATGTGGTTTTTTTTCTGAGCCAATAGCTAATGGCCAGCTTTACATTTTTTGTGAGGTTGAGGTTGTCTTCAGTGTTCCCATGAACATAGTATAAAACTCCATGGATTCCTTCCCAAAATTGTGTCAAGTTGTATTTATTCGGGGTTGCTTATCTTACTTCTGGTAGTACCAGATAGTTTAGAGAGGAAATTAACTGTAGAATCAAACAGTGTCATCACAACAGCTTTTTTATGCAGTTGGGATTCTGCAATAAATGAACACTTTTTCTATAAATTCATGTCATGTGGTGTTCCAAAGAGCTGACTTTCTGTTAAGAGAGTTAAGAAAAATGAAGATGTTTGTTTGCTTTACCAGTGATAAAATGAAATGCAACAGCCACTGTGACTTCTGTGCCTGGTCTGAACTTTGTAATATCTGCCAAGTAAAATATCACCTACTTTGTGGGTCACGAAGTGTGTTTATCATGCAGCAGTTCTTTGAAGCACATGTATTTGGTGGTTACATATAAACTCGGTGTGATCTCCTAGCAGCAGCTATCTTAATTGTCAGGCTGATTAGATAGCTGCTGTTATATATTATCATCCAGGAGAGGTGTGACAATACTGATCACACTTATTTGGCCTGAAGTATTGTTTGGTATCCTGATCTTTGCTTTCAGAACTTTTTTGATGCATTTATTATCTAAGTGTAACGTTTTGGACTTTTTTTCTGTTTAAATGTGTTTGTTTCAGCTTGGAGAACAACAGTCTCTGGAAGAAGCCATTAGAATAGCCTCCAGAATACAACAGGGGGAAACACCAGGGATTGATGATTAACTTGTAAAACTGCTACCAGAACAATAGAGTGAAAGGTATTTTATTTTCAACCAACAAAGGTCCATGCCAGCAACAGCCCGTAAAAACTTTGAAGTCCCCCACTCACTGATACTGTGTACACATTTTATGCAAGAGTGAAGAACATTTTCTAAGTTTTGTGTACATAACCCTTGGAATGGACTGACATCATCTACTTCCAACCGTTGCATTCAGGAATATGGAATTAGGATTATATAGTAAACTTCCTTGTTATCCTTTCATCAGATTTCAGACTGGTCTACAAGCAAGTAAAAAATTAGAAGTATTGGAATTAATTTTTAATGTCATGTACAAATAATGAAGGCATTACTGAAGATTTCAGCTGTTTAAATAACCATTTCAGGAACCCTTACAAGTAATAAAGGCAACAAAGCCTTTTAAAATTGCATTCCATTAATGGAAAAGTCTTGGATTTTGAGCCTACTACTGTAAATCTTCGTATTTTGATTTGTTTCATACAGATTTGAATACTCTTTAGATTATCTACCCCATCTCACTCATTGTAAATACAGACTGTTAATGCTGGAAGTGCTAATTATATTATCTTTAAATTGGATTATGTACAAAGAACTGGTTGTTGAATATTAAAGAAAGTAAATCTAATGATTTTGTTTCTTTACATATTTTACTTAAGATGTTACTCTTGAATTATTATGCAATAAAATATAGCAAGATTGTATTGTTTAGATAGGATGATATTGTCATGTGACTTACTGTTTTACTTTTTACTGAGACTGAAGTTCAAATTATTTATTTACGGCCTTGTATAAATTTTTCCAAAGTTTATTTATCATAAACTTAATTTTTTGGCATTAATTTTGATCGTAATCCATTATAGTGTATTAAGCAAATACTGGTAATAGTTATTTCAAACATTCTAAAACACTACAAGAGTGATTTTTACTAAAAGGTGAAGTTACCCATTTTCAAGTGAACTATTTTCAAATGGTGCATTTGCAGCAAAAGTACAAGTACTAATAGTTGTTTTCAACAGTTCTGAGTGCCTGCTGCTACCATTCAGTACCTAGGATGTGCTTGATAATCAGTGCTTTTGAAAATCAGGACACAAGTTACTAGGAAAAAGGGATTAATGATGATGTAAGTACAATGCTGCTCTCCAACTATCATTCTGTAAAGGAAAAATCCATTGTAGATATGTCTAAAATATACAGCAAAATGTAACTTTCAATTTTTTTTATATGAAGAAGTGTTTTTACTCTTGTCTTGTTAGCAAGCTGGTTAAGCAAGTTAAACATTTTTGGCTTCCTGTAAGATTCAGTGCTTATTTTAGATTAGTGTTAAGAGCACTTCTGACACTGAAACCTCACCTTTAGCTTTCTTCCCTTTCAAGGGAAGGATTGAACATCCTCTGGACAAAGTCTTTATTAAGGAATCCCAAGTATTGTGAGGTACACATCCTACATGAAAAAATAAAGTCCATGACTAAGTACCTTGAGGTATTTGACCTCAGAAAGGCCAAGTTTGAATAGAATGAGCCAATTTATTGTGAAGTACTCTATCAGTGTGGGTTGCAGCCTTTTATGTTTTCTACACAGAAGCAGTGAGAGAATACAGTACTGTGGGATAGAAGGGGACAAAGGAAAGGCCATTCTCTGCATAAATTACAAAGTAAAACTTGGAAGCATATAGGTTGTCTGTAACTTTTGTATAGGATTGAGGTTGCTTGCTCACTTAGGTGCCAGTTTTCCTGAAATGTTGTAAATCTTGATATCCCATGGAGATAAATGTACTATGCAAGGAGGATTAATTGCCTGTCAACTAGATCAGTTTCTTAGTACTTATCACCTTTTAGAAATTAAAGTTGTATCATTTGATGTGAATGTTGAAGGGGTTTTTTTTTTCCTTAAATTTCTTTGCTAATAGTTTCTGAAAATGGTGGCTGGAACGGTGACTTTGACTTAGCAAAGAAATAACTTCAGTTCTTATTTCTTTTCATTTCCCAGGACATTTCCTGACCACTGTACAAATGTGAGTATTCTTTCTCTTTCATACAAGTTGGTTTGCTGCAAGGTGTTCATTCACAACCAGCTCAGTCAGGAAAGCTGTGGTATTTTAAAAATTTTTTCTGTGGCTGTTACCTTATCAGTTACTCTTGCAAAACTCCCAAGTCAAAGGTGGTGCTTCCATGTTTTGCTAGCTCCCTCGACATAAATAAGGTGGAGTGCTTTGTGTTTAAAGAAGAGCTGAGGTGATTATGTGTGCCTTAGCAGCAAGGCCTGCCTTCATAACAGACCTTGGTGATGCTCACCTGCTGCTTCCATGCAGCCAGCAGTGGAAGGAGCTGTAGTGGAGTCTAGACAGGACAAGATTGGGTTAGATAGATAGGAAAATTTGCAAAAAGGATTTCAGGAGGAGGAAGCAGAGAATATGACAGGACTGGGTGTTTGGCAGTGGAAATCTCTATACTTTACCTACAGATTCTACCCCTCGTTTGAAAACTGTCTCAGAGGGAATGCTGTAGCACACTAGAAGGAAGTAGCTTGTAAAAGATGTAAAGCAAATCAGCTCAGTGTATCACTGCCTCTTGCAGACTGACTCCCACATTTCCAGTCATGATTTTTCTCTTGTATGTCAATTCCGGGTCTATACCAATTCTACCCATGAAGGAATGAGCCCAAAGTCTTTCCAGACCTCGCAGTCAACTTTTCCCTTTTAAGTATTTCTCCAGATTTTCCCTCTGGTGGCCTTTGCTTTACTGTATTTTAGTGTCTCTCCTGATAGTAAAGGAGGTGATAATTTTTGGTGCTGCAGGCTGGTGACCTATTGTGCCAGACACACTCTACATAACAACAGGACGGCTTTTACCCTGAAGGGCTAAAGGTTTTCATAGGAGTAAATCCTGCTGTAAACAGCCCTCATCCTGCTGCTGTGATTAAGCCCAGCTCAGCTGACCGATACCGCAGGTCCGGTGTGAGACAGGCACGTGGTGTGTGCTCAGCACAGGGGCAGGACGGCTCAGGGTGCGATAAACCAACACCGGCTGGGCTGGGCGGCCGCTCCTCCTCAGCCCTGCAATACTGCCCCACTTTGTCCCACTGCCTGCTCTGGCTTCTGCGAGCATTCTGCTGGAGCAGGGAAATCCTGCTGTGCTCTTCCAGTGCACTCAGGGAGCCTTCCCCAGGGAAGCATGGTGTGGAGGAAGGATCTGATAGAAAATGTTTTGCTCTACAGCTGTTGAGGTTTGTCAGACTCAACACCTTAAGCTGACTAAGATGAAGAAGTGCCCCATAACAAACTGGTTCTGTTCACTCTGAGTTTGTCATTGAATGAAAAGAAATTTTCTGTGTAATTTTAAAACAGCACAGGTGAAATTTCATTAATATCTGTGTGGGTGACATGCAAACTGATTTTCTTAAGCAGTAAGATTTTGAGAGACTGCAAATGACAGGTAACTTGTGTCCTGTTCAGCTATTAACTTAGAGTTGTTTGAAGCTTTAAAAATTTTATTTATTCAGCATGCATCATTTTTGTCCTGAAAAAATGGAAATCGCCTTGTCTTTGCAGATGCAAAAAAGCAAAACCCAGACCCTTGTTTATAATAATGTACTCCTACTTTTTTATTTGCACTGTATGTGTTTGAACACCATTTTCCCAAAAGTATCCTGTGTTCTATGGATAAAACCCTTCTAAAGCATAGACACCCATGACAACAAAAGAAAAATTAAGAGCTATTTTCAGTTCCTTTGTTGGAGGTAGTAAACTGCACTCAAACTGAGGCAGAGAAGCAAGCATTTTTCCTTGTTGTGTTATGTGTATTGTAAAATGTCCCATCAGTTTGGCATTCCTTTGATTCTGTTTTCGTTCTGCTGGTGGAGTTGCTTGGCCAGAGGAAAATGTAACTATCTCATTAGGCCATCACCATTAGCACTAAGTTGTTGACACCTCACCCTATCAGGAAGGGGTGATACCAGACTTTCTAACCGAGGGTTATATTCAAGGCAGACTTTAATTATCCCAATAAACATAAAAGCTTATACAATTATCCTAATAAACATAGAAGCCTATATCAACAAGTGAGCACTTGGTCCTACACAGTCTGTGTATTTATCTCTGCTGGAAATGTGAATTAAATCCAATCCATCTCAGGTTCTGAAACAATAAGGGATTTTCTTTGGGGTATTACTGTTCAGTTTAATTATTTGCAGCACTTTGCTCAAAGGAATGACAAACCATTTACACTTTCAGGGCACAAGTAACTGTGTGGAACTTTTCCTGTAAGTAAAAAGTATCTTATGTGGTAGTCAAAACCCTCCCGGTGTTTTACCCTTTCTTTTGTTTAAATCCATCATCACCCTTTAGGTTGATTGGCTACTGCTTTTTACTTATTTTTCAAGAGACTTTTGGACTCTCCATCGTGTTGCTGCTTGGTTCTGTAGGATTTGCTGAGAGGTTCCTGAACAGGCATCTTAGTGAGGCAAAACAAGGGAAAGAGACTGACTTTCCAACACCTGGCAGGTCTGCTGGAATAACAAAAACCACCCACAAGGATGTAAAAAGCTCCTGGAGATACAACAATGGTCTAAAGCTACATCTCCAGTGGATTTTTTCCCTGGTGTAGGGCTAATTCAGATTTTAATATTGGTTGTAATGACTGAAAAATCAGACAGTGCAAGAATGGTTTGTGGGACAGATGGGATTAGCTGCTTTTTGTTTTTAAACACATACATTCAAGAGACAGATTTTTTAAAAATATTTTTATCTGCACCCCTAAAAATGTTTGTAAAATGTCTTACCTTAAATGATGCACGTAAGAGATTATTAGAAGAGTAGTAGATTTGGAAAAAGGCACAGTACCTCTCTTATGGTTTTGCATGTTCCCTGAAGGAGAAAAAGGAAGCAGGTAGGTTAGTGATAGAGGTGAATTAGTAGTGTAGTGACTACTTAGTTTCTGTGCATTAGACATTGTGAGGTTTTTAATTGCTGGTACAAAATCTTTCTATTTTGATAATTTTAACTTGGCCTCAACAGAGGATTGGGACATTCTAATTGTACAGGTTTCAGTCATGGCAATCTTCCACTCTTCAGATGTTTTGAAGGAAATTTCTTTCCTGAATACAACTCTCAGGAACAGACTGTTTTTCCATTTTCTGGTTAAGCAGATTTCAAGTGTTAAGAGGTAAACTTAAAAGCAAAAAAGGAAGTCACTAAAAACTGTCATGTGTGTGTGCTCTCATAGTCATAGAGAATTACTGAATTGTATGTGACTGTTTGGCACAACCTGTACTTTTTTAATGTACTTTGTACATTTTAACTTCTGAGTACCTTTGGATTTTCCCTGAAATTCCTAGATTTTGGATCCAGAAGCTGTTCTTTACTTTGTGGAAACCTTGGTGCTGTCAAAATGACTGTTCTATTCTCTACTTTGTTCTCTTGCTGTTATTATTTAGAGTTCCTGGGTGAATAAATCCCTGAGCAATGTTCTCTCTGCCTACAGACTATAGACTAAAAAGAGAATAAGGACTGGCAGCACCAGCTCTTGGCATGTCTTTGGATATACAAAGTCCATTTTTGATGGGAAACACATTTAACTCTGGACCTTGTAATTGAAGAGAAAGAGGTTGCCAGCTAACAGCAGCTGTTAGCAGCACAACCCCAGATAAAATAATCTTTAAACTGCTCACCTTTAGGCTGTCAGTGGCCCAGACACAACATCTCCCATTTGGCACACTCCCACTGGGACTGTTGTCCCTGAATATGCCAAGTCCTGTGTGAGCACTGGAATGCCATTGCTGGCACTGGTGATAAGCACACTGGTCCCTGGGTACCTGCTGAAAACCAAGATAAAAGCTGGGAAAACAGCAAAGATCTCTCTCTGCTCTCAGTTCTCCACCAACAGCCTTGGCACAGCTGCCTGTAGTGTTTCTGTTTTTCATAGAAGCAGCTTTACCTTCTTCCTCTTCTGCCATTTACACCTCCCCTGATAAGGTGAATTATGCTGGTTGATGTAGAATGGGTTTCAGCCAGATTTTGGCAGAACTCTTCTTATTTGATGGAAGTGGTTTTGGAGGATTCCAGATGAGCTTGCAAGTGCAGTAATCATGACAAGATGGCAATGCCACTCCTCAGGCAGTTCTGACAGCCAGACAAATTGGCCATTGTTCTATTTCTTCCTCATTTTTGACTTCCCCTGCTACACACAAAAGTTGGAAACAATGGTTTCCTTGAGCTTGAGAACTCCTAGTTAAAAGCAGCTGTTTGCCTGTAAGTGTGTACAGCTCCAGATAAATATTTCTAGTAGCAAAATCTTCAGTGCACCTTACAAACAAGTATTATAAGGAAAAGAACCAATTTTGTAAATATATATTCTGAAAACCGTTAAACCAGTCAAATTTATAGGAATATCAGCCAGGCACTGCCTAGCCATCACTCTGTGTGCTGTTACATCTGTTGGAAGAATCAGGGCTTGAGTCTGCAAGATCTGTAGCAGTTCAGAGGTGCAATTTAATCAGCTTCAGAGAATTTGGGATGATTTGGCACAGTGTGGAAACCTGCAGAGCTCCTCCTCACTGAGCTTCTTCCTCCTCTGGTAATGTCCATTGCTCAGGTGCTCTCTGGGAGGGAATTGGCTCTGTGGGGCTCCTCATGCTCATCACAGGTGTCACAGGGGAGCAAAGTTCCCCTCAGTCTGGGTAAAAGTCACCTCTTCAACACAACTGCTCATGGTCCTGACAGACTACAGCAAAACAATGGGTGTGAATTCAGAGCAGCACATACACAGAGCCTGTGAACTCTTACACAGCAGCTGTGCATTTTGTTAGCTACATATTTATTCACTACTTCCCTTTCTTAAATGCTTTCAGATTGCAAATAAACTTTCTTTTAAAATCACTGTTACTGTTGTCTCCTTATTTCTCTATTCCTTTTTTCATTTCCTCTCCTATGTCTTCTCTTCTCTACCACTTGATTTTGTCCCACTAAACTGTTCCAGTGATTAGTAATTCATTGTAATTCATTAGTAATTCATTCAATTACAACAGGGCTTCTGAACTTCAGTTTGTCACTTGCTGTCACCAAATACCTGTGTGTGTAGACTCCAGAAAACATGAGTTAGGTTGAGTTTGGGAAGGAAACTGCAGACTTTGGCATTACAGGGGGAGGGATTTATTGAAAGCTTACAGTCTTTAAACTTTTTCAAAGAAAAGGAAACTTCATTTATGACTGAAGCAAGCCACAGATAGTGGCTGGGAAGTTTTGAGTCAGTTATAAGAATTGCTTTGTATCTCCCTCTGAGCTCTGATTGGAGAAAGAGGTGGTGGAGATTCTATTTTTACATAACCTTCTCTCACATCATCTGCTCTAAAACTTGAATGCTTCAGTTAGTACTTGCTGTACCCCATCTTAAAAAATGAGTATTTTTAATGAGATGTTAGTGTGGTTCTAAATTATTGCACACCAAATGTGTTTATACTTTACTTGATGTAACCCTATCTCTGTCCCATTTTCATAGGTTATGCTGGCTACTTTCAGTTTTCTGAAACTTGTTTTCAGTTTTCTCCAAAATGCAAATCTCAAAACTCGTGTTCCTGTGGCTCATCACTGCTTGTCCTAAAACCAGGACAGCTCTCTGCAAAGAAATGGGTATTTTCAGGCAGAAGAGGACAAAAAATTTGGAATTGCTGGAAGTGGAATAGAGGACACTGCCATCCCGGTGGGTGCGAGGTTCTGCCCTCCAGGAGTGTGTCAGGGGCAGCACAAGAGCATTGTCTGCGGGGTGAGCAGGGGCAGCTCTGGCGGAGGCCGGAGAGGGGCTGTGCTGCAGCGTCCGAGCACCCAGCTCAGCTCCGAGCGCTGAGCGAATCCCGGCACTGCCTGCGTGTCCGGAATGCTCTGCGAGTCCGGAGAGCAGCTCCACAGGCGTACCCGGCTGGGCTTTGGGCTCCCGGGGCTGGAAAACCCCCTATTTTTTCACGCGCTTTGTTACCCAAGGGGCTCGTTTTAAGGCGATGTGCTTCAGAAGAGAGGGGCAGGTTTATCTGTTGGGTGTAACCTGACAGAAAACGAAGCCAAGAGGCAAAGTGGTGGCACACGTAGGGATGATGGCAGCATCCACGGCCTTCGCTGTGCTGGGGCCGAGTCCATCTGGAAGTGTCCTAGTGTCCGTCTGGAAGCGTCCTACGGGAGCGAACGGCGCGGGCCGCGCTGCGGCTGCTGCGCCCCGGCCCTTTAAACCACGTGCGTGCCGCTCCTGCAAGTACAGCAATGGGCCTGGCTGCGCTTGGAAAGGAAAAACGCGCCCTTCACTGGCGCAGAAGGTGTTGTTATTATTATTATTAATAATTAATTAAATACTGTATTATAATTTTTATGGACATTTTGGCGCGCTCAGTTCCAGCAACTCTACGGGAGCCAGACCACGCTGCAGAGAAGCGGGGAGCGGCAGTCCCGCAGGGCGGCGCGCTGTCCCCGCGGTGTCCCGGGAGTTGCCCGGGCGGGGCGGGCGCTGTCCCCGCGGTGCTCCCGGCGCTCCCGGACGCCGTCTCCAGGCGGTTCCCGCTGCCCGGGCGGGGCCGCCCCGCGGCTAAAATGGCGCCGGGCGCGCGCCTCACGGGCGGACACGTCCGCGCGGCCGCCTCGGGGCGGGGCCCCGGCCCGGCCCCGCCCCCCCGCTCGCGCCAAAGTGGCCCGTGACGCGGCCGCGCGAGGCCCCGCCCCCGCGCGCCGTGTTTTCAAACCCGGTGGGCGGGCGCGATTGGCCGGCGTGCGCGGCACGTGACCAACGGTCGCGGGAAAGCCGCGGAGTCCGAACGGCGCGCGGCGGGGCCGTTCGTGGGCAGCGCGAGCCGAACCGGCACCGCACGCGGACGGAGCGCGGGCAGCGCAGCGGGACCGGCACGGGCGGAGCGGCCGCCATGAGCTTCCTCAGCCTGCAGCGGGCGGCGCCGCCGCGGCGCGTCTCGGCCCGGCGGGCGGCGGCCCCGATCCGGCAGAAGCTGCTGTTCCTGAGCGGCCACAGCGACTGCGAGGAGGAGGAGGAAGAGGAGGAGGAGGAAGGCTGCGGCAGCAGCAGCGCTAACAGCACCGGCGAGGACTCGGCGTTCCAGGAGGCGGACTCGCCGCTCTCGGCCGCGCGCACCCCGGCGCGGAGCGACCCGCCCCTGCTGGAGGAGGAGGAGGAGGAGGAGATGGAGCCGGCGGCGGCGCCGCTGCCGGACGAGGGGGACTCGTGGGAGGAGGAAGGCTTCGGCTCCTCGCCGGTCAAGTCGCCCGGAGCCTATTTCCTGCTCGACTCGCCCTCGCCGCTGGCCCCGCACAAGGGCCGGCGCTGCTGCGAGCGCTCCCCGCCGCACCCGGCGGCCGGCGGGTACCGAGGGGCGCGGGGCGAGGAGCCCGGCTCGCCGCTGCCCGACTACCCGGGCACGCCGCCGCACAAGACCCTGCGGAAGCTGCGCCTGTTCGACACGCCGCACACGCCCAAGGTGAGCCCGGCGGGCCGGGCCGGCCGGTCCGTTATGTAACGGCGGGGGCGCCGCTCGGGACCGCGCCGGGGGCTCCGGCCGGGGCGGGGCGGGGCCGGGCGGCGCCGCCTCCCGACGGGACACGGGCACGGGGCGAGCCGCTTACTTAGGTGTTAGTCACAGAGAAACAAAAAAGTTTCCCGAGTTTGGTAGTGTTTTGTGGAAGGCGTGTTTGAAAAGTGCGAGCGTGGAGTGTTAAAGGTCCCGAAGTGCGTGCTGGAGTGCGGAGTGGGCGTTGGTTGGTAGGGGTGTCGCCCGAAAGTTAAAGCTCGGCTTGGGGTGTGATCCTGAGCGGTGAGCTGGCGTGTCCTGGGAGGAATTTCTTCACAGGAAGGGTGACTGGACATCGGAATGGAGTGCCCTGGGAGGTGGTGAGGTCACCGTCCCTGGAGGTGTTTAAGGAAAGATGGACTGATGGCTCTTAGCGCCGTGGGCTGGGTGACACGGCGGTGTTGGGTCATGGGCTGGGCCCGATGATCTCAGAGGCTGCTCCATTCTGACGGGCTCTGCTGCCATCCCGTCGTGTTGGAGCGCTGCTGCCGTGTGCCAGCGCTGCTTCAGCCTCTGCACTCCTCCTGCATCGAACGTGAATCGCTTCGGTGCTGGGAAACTGGGGGAGTCCAAAGTGTAGAGGGAGAGATGGGTAGTAGCTCTTAACTCTGTCAATAGCAGACTTTTGGAAGGCATTTCAACTTTTGAACTCGACGCTGTGTAAAATCCCGTATAGCGAATTTAAATCTAGTGATAATTGGCTTCCTTTCTTCATTACTTTTCATATAGCCCTTTAGAAGTAATCCTGGGATAATCCCCGGGGATAATCTCCCAGGGGTCTATAGGCTATAGATGGAAAACAACTGACTTAAGGTGTGAGGAAGGCTTCCTTCTTAATTGGTTTTCTACAGCTTTAATCTCCAGTGAGGGTTCACTGGTGAAAATCAGTGGTACAAGTTTGTAAAAGGTAAAATTCGTGGTGATTTTACACTTTGTCAGAGGCAGACGCTTCAGAGCTGCAAAAGTTTTGTGGAATGTGATACTAGAAACAAGTTCTTAACACAGCACTTCAGTGGGATTCTTAAATTAGGTGGCCAAATTCTACATAGCTTATCTTTGGAAGAATCAGTTGGTTCAGGTACCCCGTGGAAGTACAGAAATGTGTCCTGAGAAGAACAGGTTTTCATCTAGGGCAGACTCGGGATTGCAGCTGAGATTCCCATGGTACTGAGTGTTCTTCCCTGTGGTGGTTTAGGCTTTAGTCCCGTCAAGTCTTTATTTTGTTGTTAGGATAAGGTGATGCTCCTGCTTGTGATCCAGTCATCCTTGCAGCCTCACCTGAAGGAGACTCAGGTGCAGACTTTTCAGTGTAACTCCCAGTGTAACTGGGAGAGGTTTTGTTATGTGCCTGGAAGATGCCTGCTCTGGCAAGTTACCACCCAGATGATCAGTTTTGGATCTTTAACTGGTAGTGCAGCCATGCTGCCAATTCTTGAACCGTTTTTTGTAGGCTCAGAAAATGCACCAGTGCATCAATATTAAATGTTGCATTTGCTATTTAAGATTCTCACTTAAATTTGTAGAAACCAAAGATCATTTCATGTCTGATTTAGCTTTCACATCATGCATGTGCAAATCATAGTGATACAATACAGGATTGTCCTTGAGTTTCATCTGTGTTCATTTAATGGACAAAGATTTGTCCAAGAAGTTTAGGTGATGAAATGATTAAAGACAGAAAAAGGTTACTCTCATCATCAGCTTTGCTACATTTAAAAAATAATTTTAGTATTTGTTTGCTTGAACTGTTTCTGTGTAGAGTACAAAGCATTATGGTTTCTTAGAAAGGCTTTTTGATGGAAATGCAGCTATTTAAACAACTGAGGCTAACTTTAATTAGACAATACTGTAATGATGGCTTCAGGCACGACCTGACTGTTGAATGTCTGAGGCAATGTCAAGGCTATAAATGACTATAAATATTTTTGTTTTGTTTCTTTTTTTTAAATACAGAGTTTGCTTTCTAAAGCACAAGGTTTAGGCTCCAGCTCAGTCAAACTTCGAGGGGGCTCACTGTTTATGAATGTTGGGAAATCAGAGAAGCAAGAAGATGATTTTAGACAAACACCTCATGTGAACATCAATCCCTTCACTCCTGACTCCATGTTCCTTCACAACTCTGATGGCAAATGTCGGAGGAGGAAGAGGATACACTGGAATGAGTGAGTGACTTGTGGCTTCCTTTGTTAAACTTGTATTTAGAGCTACTTTTGGCTGCAAAAGTTTTGTTACAAATTGCTTCTAAGAATGTGTTTTTGCTTGCAGGTTGTTAGTATTGTATAATACAGCTCTTAAAGCTCTTAATACATGCTTCAAGAGGCATGATATCATGAAATAATCATTTAGCACTAGATCTTCTGATTACTGTACAGAGAGGATAGACTAGGCTGTCTGCTGCTCTTTTTCCTCTCATGGAATGGGCCATGCACAGTCTTTTCTTCAGGAGGAAAAAAATGCATTAAATACAAGTGTGAAATGTGAAGAAAGAAATGACAAAGATATTAGCATGGCAATTTTATGAGTTTGTGTTTATGGATGTCTAGTGTTCAATTAGTTAACTACAATTAGATAGAATAAAAGAACTAGCTCTCAGAAAAATTCAACAGCTTCTGGGCTTCAGTTTAAAGTTTACTTAAACCATGTTATTTCTGGTGTGAATTTCAGCTCTTGTGGGGAGGACATGGAACCAAGTGATGGAGAGCCTGAAGAGGAAGCCATGAGACCTGCTAAGGTACTCCATCTTTAAACCTTGATACTAATTTCAGCAGTTTGTGTGTCTGCAGATCTAAATGTTTTCCTTGGTAATCTTTGCAGAGGATAACAATAACAGAAAGTAACATGAAGTCACGGTATGCGACCGAATTCCATGAATTGGAGAAGATTGGGTCTGGTGAATTTGGCTCTGTGTTTAAGTGTGTGAAGAGGCTGGATGGCTGCATCTATGCAATAAAACGATCCAAGAAACCCCTGGCTGGCTCAGTGGACGAGTGAGTACTTCCTGCTCTTAAAACTTAAAAGTCTTCTCTTGGTGTTTCTTCTTGGCTCTTTGTGTTGGTGTCTAGAGAAGGCATTTAAGAGGAAAGTACAAAACAAACATGAATTAAATGTAAAATAGATACAATTTTGAAGCCACTTGATTTTTTTCTTCCCCACCCACTCCTCAGGTACTGTGCAGTACTGGGGAGGAAAGGCTGATTAGCCTCACTCCTGTCAGATGTCTGTTCCAGTATTCTGTATGGAAACAGATTGCTCTCAAAGTGACAATAACACTCCCTTGCAAAGGTCATCTTTGAGAGATGGAAGGAGGGCACTATTTCCAACTGAGTCCTCATCCTTGTCACCTTGAGTGGCATGTAGATGATTTAAGTCAGTTTGGGGGTATTTTTTGGCATTTGTGAATGAGCCTGTGATTCAGGACTTTTCCCCACACTTCAATAATGTGGGGAATAGTTGTTAAGTATTTGAACACATAATAGTGTGTTCAGATAGTTATAATATAAACACCAGAAGTCTGAGTTGCACAAAATTGTATACCAGACTTGCAGTCTAGGGAATGTTGAGTTCAGTCAAACCCTTGGCTTATGAGCACTTACATTTTTTGCCTAGAACTTCAATCATGCATCTTAAAGCTTGCTATTGCTACTGGTTGCCAAGTATGTAATGGAAGTGTGGCTCCCACACCAAACTATTTTTTCTGATGTTCCATAGATTAAGTCTTTTAATATAATGTAAATAATTTTAGCTGTTTGGACATAAGCACAAATCCAGCTTAGGGTGCCACAGAATTGAATAGGAAGATTTTAATTAGAAATACTTACTGTAATAAGAAATGGTACTAATTTCACCTCACAATACTCACATGTGCTGTTGTTTTGTGTGACTAACAGGCAGAATGCTTTAAGAGAGGTCTATGCACATGCAGTTCTGGGACAGCATTCCCATGTAGTGAGGTACTACTCTGCATGGGCAGAAGATGATCACATGCTTATACAGAATGAATATTGCAATGGTAAGTAAAGAAGATGTACAGGTATCTACAAGCTCTTCACACTAGTTAGGAACTGATAACCCTACTCATAGCTCATGCTGTCTTTCTCTCAAGTGACTGATATTCCTTTCTGGAAAAGGCATATCAGATGGATGAAGCAAAAACTGTACAAAGTTGCAGACCAAGTCATGCATGTTCAAGCATACTGGAAGTGCTGTGAGGTGTTTGTGAGCAGAAGAGCTGTTCTTTCTTCTGTACAGTAGTACAAGCTGGAATAGAGAAAATTGCTGGAGTTTCCATCAAAAAGCAGATTAAATTTGATTCTGAAGCATTTTGCTATTGTTGATGCCCTGACAGAGATTTGGAAGAGAGAGCCCTTTCCCTTGTGTTGATATCCTGTTAGTGTGATAACTGCAGGAGAAAAGAATTTTATGATATTATTATATGGCTAAAAAGAGGATACAGCACCATATTTTATGCTTACTATATATTGCCAGCAAGTTCTCTGTGATATATTCACTTGGTTTGGGGAGCTAGTTTTCGTTACTTTGTCAGCTGTTTGATGCAAAAGTATAACTTGTTTTTTTTAATGGTTTTCCAGGTGGCAGTTTAGCAGATGCCATAAGTGAAAATTACAGGAATATGCGTTACTTTACTGAACCAGAACTGAAGGACTTGCTGCTTCAAGTGGCTCGAGGTTTAAAGTACATTCATTCCATGTCCCTGGTACACATGGATATCAAACCTAGTAAGTTTGTAACTACTTTACTCTCTATTGACAACTTGCTCAGTTCATTTAATCTGCTGTAGAAAAATGAACAGTTAGCCACACCTTACTAACTGTAAATTCTTCCCTGAAGCTCTGAATAGGAGCACAAAGATGTCAGTTATAAAATTGGCGAGCAGACCTAAACTGTTGAGTTTATCTTGGGTCCTTTTTGTGTAATTGACTCTACTTGCATAACACTTGGCTGCCTTCCCAGCAGAGGGGCCACAATGAATCAGTTATAGCTTCTTACTCTTTGAACAGGGTTTATATACAAATAAAACTTCTGCGAGGCTAAAGCAAACTGTAGTGAAACTAGGTCAAGTAGAAGTAATACGGAAATGTTTGTTTTAACAATTCTGCTCTTTTTCAGGTAACATTTTCATATCTAGAACATCAGTCCCAAGTATAACTCTAGAGGAAGGTGATGATGATGACTGGTCATCTGATAGAGTCATATTTAAAATAGGTGAGAAGCAACACACTTATGTGCAAAAGAATTGCATCATCTCGTTGTCATCTGAAAAGTAACTTTCTTTTCTCCTTGCAGGTGACCTGGGCCACGTAACTCGAGTCTCTAGTCCTCAAGTGGAAGAAGGTGACAGCCGTTTCCTTGCAAATGAAGTCCTACAAGAGGTAACTGTTCTGTTTGTGGGAAGCAGTGATGTTAGGCCTGCATGCTGTTTCCTTTGGGGGAAAAATTGTGAATTTATTTTTCCTTTTTTCTTTTGAAGAACTACACTCACCTGCCAAAAGCGGATATTTTTGCTCTCGCTCTGACTGTTGTCTGTGCTGCTGGTGCTGAACCTCTTCCAACCAATGGGGACCAGTGGCATGAAATCCGGCAAGGAAAGCTGCCCAGACTGCCACAAGTGCTTTCTCAAGAATTACTAGACTTACTAAAAGTAAGAACTCCTGTACTAGTGGCTCGCTGATAAGTGTCATTTATTGTCTTGCTGGCCTTAACAAGGATGCCTTGTTTTCTTTTTTCCCAAGGTTATGATTAATCCTGATCCAGAGAAAAGGCCTTCAGCTGTGGCACTAGTGAAGCATTCAGTGCTTCTCTCTGCCGCAAAAAAGAGCGCGGAGCAGCTCCGGATAGAGCTGAACGCTGAAAAATTCAAGAACTCCCTCTTGCAAAAGTAAGTAGGTCCTTGGGGTCCTTTACTTCTAACAGGTTCTTACCTGAGAGTGAAGTGATGATAAAACAGGAGTGTCCTTGTTTGTGGGTGAGATCCACAAATCTGTATGCACGTGCGTACCTGAGAGTGCAAAGTGGGTCATGAAACTTTAAAAGGAACTTTCTCCACAGAAAGAACTCTTGAACACTCTAAGGGAATCTGAAGAGCACTATTAGTATTCAAGGCATACCAAACATTATGGTTTTAAACAGCTGTTTCAGGACAGTGCACACATTTGTGACAGGTATAGCCTAGCTTACATCTGTATGATTTGAGTCGGTGCTTTCCTAGGTCATTTGTCTGTTGAAATGTTGGAAAATGACTTAAAGGACCTGTTTTTAACCTAAATGGAATGGCACATCAGGAATGTCATTGGACTAATTTGACCTCTATACAGCAGTGTTACTGGGTCACCAGAGAATCATTTGTGTCCAGAGGTCATCTTGTCCTACCCCTTGCTCAAACACTCACTCTGAATTAAAGCATGGAAAAAGAGATTCCCTTTAGGAAAGTCTGATTTCTGCTTGAATTTCGGGGAAAGAGTTAGTAAATTAATAAGCAGCCATCTGACTCTTTCACTACAGTTATCTTTGCACGTGTTATGCATAATGGGCAGGCTTTTATAGGGAATATATAGATCCCTGATTTCTTTTTGAGTGGTATGTCTTGAATGAAATGTTAATTTCATGTTCAGGTTCACTCCAGTGTTACCTGGTTATCTTGCCATTGCTAGTCTGACCACAGCCAGATGTACTAGATTAGCTCGTTATCTTTATAATATTATGAATTACATTGAAAGAATAATCAGATAATTTGTGCAGGTTGCTAAAGGGCAGATTTGCTGAGGTAAGTTGCTTGCTTATATGAAGACAACATCTTTTTGCTTGAAAAAGAAAAATGGCAAAGCTAGTGTTTTGTGAAGATTCCTTCTGGCCTGGCAACAAGGATACATCCTTGTAAATCCAAGAATGATTTAAAAACAACACTTAGCCACAGTAATTTTTAATGTTGTGTGGCTACATAAAGTGCTTCATAAAATACTTCAGGTAGCTTGGGGGGACTGTATTTTGTGTTGGGTTTGTTTTCTTAAACTTGTGTATTTGAACCATTAAAAATACCACTTTTGTGTGTAAGTCATCTTCAGTGAAAAAAATCCTTTTAAGGCAACTCAGCTTTTCTACTGTGTTGTCCTCTTCAGAGGAAGGAAGAATTCAAGATTTCTAGGCAAGAACTCAAGACTTCTAGGGAAGAGTGGAAGGATATTGTAAAACTAAATTTCCTGGTAATGTGGTGTGGTGGTTGGGCGAGCACATGAGTGTGTATTTGTGACTGATGCTCACAAGGAAGAGGACTGAAAATTGGTTGCATTCTCTTACAGTGAACTGGCACAATGATAATATGGGGGTGATTAGATGGGGCATGGGTGTCAATGAATAATACTTTGTCTTACAATAATGGGAATTGCTTATTAAACTAAAACATGTAGCTTAAAACTGAATACACCTACACCAGTGTGCAGCAAGCTTTGTAAAATTTGATTTTGCTTTGCAGCCAGGTGTGAAGTGAGATTACAAATACTCTTATAGTAGAGAAAGTTCTTTAGTGGATAGTTTTGAGATTGTGGAAGGAAGAGAGTATGGGGGGAGGCTGAGCTTTAGCCATATGTCAGTATTTGAAGAAAGAAGAAAAGCAGTGTATGGGGGGAATCTTTATAAAGATAACTGTGCTCTTTAGTTGGACTACTTTATAATTTTATCCTGAGTTAGATTTAACTTTGTCCTCAGGCTGGGTATTGGTAATTCTCTGAAACAGAGCAGTTGGCAGAATGTTGCACAGGGGCAATGTCTGTGCTGCCTTCAGTGACTCTGCCTCGCAGGCTCCCATTTTTGTTAGGCAAAAAATGTGGAGGTGGTGATCAGCTTTTGATGTGGGTATGCAAAAGGGAAAGGATGCTTCCTGAGCTGTCTGTTGCCAGTTACCCACACCTGTGTACATCTTAGTGTTTGAGTCTCCCACAGAAGTTCAGGTGTGGCTGAATATGCTTCCTTTGGGCAAGCCTCGGTAATGAACTCTGACTTAACACGTGCCTTGTGCTAGGAGGTAAAAGCACCCTCCTGTGTCCTGGTAATTGAAGTGCTGAGCTGCTTGCAGCAGGCTAGATTTCAGAATCTGAGTTGTGTGAATTTTTCATTTCCTTCCTTTGCTTTTCAAAAGAAAGAACATCTGCACAAGTAATGAGCATGCCACCTCTGCCCTCTGGTTGTAAACAGGGGGATGTGAATCAGAACGCTCTCAGTATGACCTAAAAGTGACCTAAAGTTATGGGTGTTGACCTGCTGTATCTGGTTTGCTGTCTGTTGCTGTGCTGAGCCGTGTCCCTGTGTTGCAGGGAGCTGAAGAAGGCGCAGCTGGCCAAGGCGGCGGCCGAGGAGCGCGCGCTGTTCACGGACAGGATGGCCACGCGCTCCACGACGCAGAGCCGCCCGTCGCGCCTCATCGGCAAGAAGATGAACCGCTCCCTGAGCCTCACCATCTACTGAGCACGGGGCAGGCAGCTCCTCTGCCCCGCCACAGCTGGGCAACTGAGGGAGCCTTCAGCTCCTGCTCCTTGTCCCCTAGTCAGCACCACCAGTTTGACAGCCATCGCTTCTGGTTTTCACTTGTACCCTATGGCTGGTTCTGCATTCACCATTGGGGTTGGTGGACTCGGTTACTCTCCTGTCTGTAGAGGATCCTGGATGTTACTCCATACGCCTTCGGTTACACTGTTAGATGTTACGTTGTCCCAGGGTTAACCACTATAGTGGTGTGCTGCTTTGTAGTGTTACAGCATTGTAATAAGAAGCAATATCCCTAATCTTTTAAGAAGGAGGGAGGGGGCCTTACTTTGATAGTTAATTTTTTTTTTTTTTGGAGCAGAGGGGAATAAATTTTAAAAGACAGGCTTTAAGGCCACCTACAGTCAATGTACCTGATGTCAGGTAGACTTTTGTTGTGAATTTTATTTGTGTATTCAACTGGGAGCACTTTGTAGGCATTGCATAAACCACAGCTTAGGAACCTGTGGAATTAAGTGCCATGTGGAACTGCTGCTATTTTTAGTTCAATGTCCTTGCTGTAAACTGTAGCATTAAAACAATCATTCTTGTGTTAATAGGCTTCTTGTTCAAGCAATTACGTGAAACAAATGTAAGCTGCATTTTAGTGAAGGCAGCATTTTTCTCTCAAAGCTAGTGCATTGTGAAAAAATGCACCAATTTAATATTTGGACTCTATATTAGTGTAGTGCAATTGTTAATGTCTTGGCTATTGATGTTTTGTTCTACTTTCTAATAAGGTTCTCTGAATGTTCATATTTTCTTCAGTTGCCCATTCTTGAGGCTATTGTATGTTTGGTTTTTTTATGTTGGAATACTTGTAAATAGTTGTTTAGTGTGTTCAGGTTGTTTTTCATTGTTTATGTACATAAGTTTGATCATGCTTATAGTGTACTATACAGAAACTGCAGTCTGGGATGCCAGCAGACACAGCTTAACTATTCAGTCTGAAGTTCCAATATGTGGAACAGAATGTGGCCATGGAACCAATGCTGATGTTGAACCTAGGCTGACAGAAGAACTGTTCTGATTACTGGCTTGTCTCTTCATTCATTTTACTTAAAACAATGTTTCCCTTTTGTGCTCTATTTGTTCTTACTAGTGTTGAATTTGAATATTAAAGTTAAAAGTTCTGTTTGTTTAATATTGTGTAACACTTATTTAACTTCAGTAGTTACAGAAATAAAATACTGAGTTGGGAATATACTATGGCAAGTCCTGATGAGATCTGCTTCCCACTCATGCCTGATGCTTGTGATTCCCTCTCCTGAGGGTGGGACTGAGTGAGATAAGAGACTTGCTGATAGTTAGGAGAGAAGGATCCTACTCCATGTGTTAGTGTCCATAGCAGTCTGTCTCTAGGCTCAGGAGTGGTATTGCACTGGCAAAGATGAAACCCCTGGAAGAAGTGGAACCCATGACTGATGGTGGAGGAATAGAAACTATGTGAAGGAATAGCTGGGTCTGAGGTAAGGGAAAAATGCAGGAACTGTTGAGAATAGGAAGAGAGCTGCTGATTTAGAAGTTGGGAAGACAACAGTGGGAGGAGTTGGAATATTTCAGGAACACAGTGATGGCGTGTTCTGTGGCATGGAGGTACATATAAAGAAGAGAGACAGTAAATAAAGGGTTAGAAGATCTGTCTATTGTGAAAGTATATGGACTCATAAAATTCAGCTTTGTAATTAGCAGAAAATAACTGAGTTCTCAGTTTTAGTCATACGACAGTGTAATTCAGAGTATTGGTCTAAGGTATTTGAATACTGATATTTTACTGATAACTAAAAAATTGATACATTGAAGTACCTTTAGGTTTTTACTTTATAAGATAGCCTTGTCTTGTTTGTGAGAGAATTTAAAATATATGGGTTGGTTGCAGTGTTTTAATGTTCATCTACATTAAGTGAGACCTTTAAGCATACTTCTGAACAGTCAGAAATTCCAGTTGGTGGGTTATCAGTGAACTTAAGCCTTTCTATCTCTACAGTGTAAAAACTCTGTTATATCTATTACAGTTCTGTGCTCCTCATCACCGATTTTCAGAGGCCTGCACCAGCAGTAGAGGCATTGTTGTGCAAACAAGCTGTGCTTGTGGCTGGGTAAAGAATGGCCTGGATTGCTGGGCCCAGGGAGGTGGTGGCTGGAGCTCTATCCTGCTGGAAGCCAGCCACCAGTGGTGAATCCTCAGGGTCACTGTGGGGCCCAGTCCTGTTTAATGTCCTTATCAATGATCTGGGTGAGAGGACTGAAAGCTCCTTCAGTTTGACACCAAGTTGTGCAGGAGTGATGATCTGATGGAGGGCAGGAAGGCTCTGCATAGGGATCTGGACAGGCTGGCTCAATGGGCAGGAAGGCTCTGCACAGGGATCTGGACAGGCTGGCTCAATGGGCAGGAAGGCTCTGCACAGGGATCTGGGCAGGCTGGCTCAATGGGCAAGAAGGCTCTGCACAGGGATCTGGACAGGCTGGCTCAATGGGCAGGAAGGCTCTGCACAGGGATCTGCACAGGCTGGCTCAATGGGCAGGAAGGCTCTGCACAGGGATCTGGGCAGGCTGGCTCAATGGGCAGGAAGGCTCTGCAGAGGGATCTGCACAGGCTGGCTCAATGGGCTGAGGACAGCTGCAGGAGGTTCAGCAAGGCCAAGTGCCAGATCCTTTCCCTGGGCCACAACAACCCCAGGCAGGGCTACAGGTCGGGGAGGAGTGGCTGGAAACTGCCCAGTGGAAAAAGACCTGGGGGTGCTGCAACACAGGCTGAACATGAGCCAAGTGGCCAAGGTGGCCAATGGCATCCTGGCCTGGATCAGCAATAGTGAGTCTGGCAGGACCAGGACAGGGATTGTCCCCTGTGCTGGACACTGGTGAGGCCACATCTCGAGTGCTGTGTCCAGTTCTGGGCCCCTCACTGCAAGACAGACATTGAGGGGCTGGAGAGAGTCCAGAGAAGGGCAACAGAGCTGGGGAGGGGTCTGGAGAGTCCTGTGGGGAGCAGCTGAGAGAACTAGGGGTGTGTAGCCTGGAGAAAAGGAGGATCAGGAGAGACCTTATGACTCCCTATAACTGCCTGAAGAGAGATAATAGCCAGGTGGGGGTCAGCTTCTTTTCCCAAGTAACAAGACATAGGACAAGAGGAAACAGTCTCAAGTTGTGCCAGGTTAGGTTTAGATGGGATATTAGGAACCATTTCTTCACTGAAACAGTTGTCAAGCATTGGAACAGGCTTCCCAGGGGAAGTGGTGGGGTCACCACCCCTGGGGTTATTTAAAAGCTGTGTGGATGTGGCACTTAGGGACGTGGTTGAGTGGTGGACTCAGCAGTGCTGGGTTGACAGCTGGATTCCATGATCTTAAAGGTATTTTCCACCTAAAAAATTCTGTGGGTCTATTCTAGTGCTGGTCACAGGTTTTGTGTGCCATTGAAGGGGTGCCCTGCTTAAACCATGGGACTGAAGTGACTTTAGATGTTTTAATTTTTTCCTGTGTGCCAAGGACAGTATTTAAAAAGACATCTCAGAGTTCTAAAGTGATTTATGGGAGCAGTATGAATCGTGATATTTTATCTCAAGTTTTCATAAGCCCTTCTGATGCAGGTGGCGAGGCAGTGAATCCTGGCTGCAACAGTGGCTGGTGGGAAGGAGCAGAGAATTTGGGAAGTGTGTGTTAATGCTTCCCATGAATATTCCCAGCATCCAGTGATTCATGATTCAGATGTTTACTGAGTAAGAAGTGGTATCTATTTTTACTGACATTGAAGGGGGGTTCTTTCTTTAATAGGAACAATCTTAGAGTAATTTTGGCAGCTTACAAATTATTGCAGAAAGAAGGCTTGGGCCAAACTTATCTGTAGTTGAGCAGGTAGAAGGAGGAGCTTCTCACCTGTCACAAAAATGTAGCTGGGTATTAGCTGAGATTCAGCCAAGCACAGTGTAACAGGATGAGCTTCAGCACTTGGAGAGGAAAGCTTTAGCTGAATCTAAGAAGCAAGCATTAGAGTTGGGTGGCAAACGTGTTTCAAAATAGCTGCATTTAATGTTTAACCATATTTCTCCTGAATTCATCTAGCTTAAATTTCCCAAGCTTAACTTTTTTGATCAGATGACATGACTTCATGAAGAACTCAAAGTGAATGTAAAAATACTTGAAAGCAGGTATTTCATACCCCCACCTCCTCTAGACATTTGTCTGCTCTGTCTTCTCCATCTTCTAATGATGCATTACTGGACAACACCACCTGCATGGTCTTGCTCAGTCTTTCTGCCTCTTCTGACCAAAAAGTGGGTGGTGTGATGGACTAAAGCTCCTACAGACCCAGTTTCCTGTAAAGACACAACACCATTTAACACAGAAAAATTAATTTCAAGTATCAAGGATTGATTCACTGTTTGGATAATTCATCTTTCAATTCAAACCTTTCCATTGTCTGTAGAAATACTGATGGGTTTACAGGCTAAATAATTGAATTGAATCATAAATTGTATACTTTAAAAAATATTTAATCACATCTGGTGTTCAAATACTACATGAAATTCTGTTTATGCCATTATTGTCAGAATACAATTGTAGGTAATTTTTGTATGTTTTTTTGTTTTGTTTTTGGGAAGGCATCCCCACACAGCAGTTGTCTAGGGTTTCTTAATAGTTTTTGTTGGGTTCATTTTTCAGTTTCCAAGTATCCTGTTACCCTATTAGCTGGAATGGATCTGAATCACTAAAATGTAGAACCTGAAATCTTCCTGTCAAGTTGCTTATTTTGTATATTCCAAAGTTTGATTTCAGTGTCACAGCTTGCATTACTTTATAACACTGAAAAGTTTCATGAATAGAAGTGTACTTAGGCACCCTGTCCTTGCAGATCTGGGGCAGTGGAGCACCATGTGTTTGACACCTTCCCAAAAGCTGGCCAGCTGGACCTTGCTTGAATGTGTTTTGTAGTCTCCAGCAACACCTGCTGGACAGAATTGTTAACTGTGCACTGAGTTTTGTCTTTGAAGTGTTTGTGTGCTGGTGTGACACTCGATCCTGATTGTTAGAAGGCATTGTCTTGTTCTGCAGCAGTGACTGAGCATTCGTGGCAGCAGTAGCTCAGGTAAGAGCGTTCTCATTTGCCCATCCCCAGTCACCCCTTTGGCTGTGTAGACTTGGAAAGGGCACCCTAGTCCATGTGTTTGAATGTATGGTGTGTAATGTGTGCATGTGTTTAATAAACCCGTGGGTGCTACCTCCAAATATCCCTGCTGTAACTGGGCTTGAGGAGCCGGGTCTAAACATGGCCAGCAGAGTGAAATCAGGCTGAGCCCTCCCCTCCTCCAGGGAAGCCTGGAACCCTCGGAGGGAGCTGCTGAGCCCAGCGAAGGTTCTCAGCTCCAGAAACACGGCACAGAGAAAGCAGGAGGAAACTGGGCAGGACAGCACTCAGGAAACTGCTTCTGGCTGAGAGCTGGAACTGCATGGAGATTCTGTCTTCCCAAAGTATAATGGGATTGGGCTAGGGGAAAGGGAGGTGCCCCGAGGAGAGAATATTGCTGGGCCTAATTAAACAGGAAGCAATTTATTATTGTTTAACATGCTGCTCAGAGATCTGAGGTTGTACATGCCTAAAAATGAACTTGAGATTCTGGATAGTCTTGAAAAAGCTGAAGCATTGGCTTCAAAGAGCTTCCTTTTGCCCATCATTTGACTCCCTTACAATACACAATATGAACATTTAGCATGACATCTGAATTATCATGCTGGTCTAAACTGATTTCTCTTTGAGTCAAGATGAAAGCAGACTAAGTGGCCTGACTCTGATTAATGATCTCCTGTGTATCCCTCAGATTGCTGCCAGACAAGGGAGTTGATGGACATAAAACCTGCTGCTGTTGCTGAATTTATACACAGGAAGATTCTACGTGTTCAGCCTGCATCCTGATGGAGGAGATCTTGTTCATCTGTTGATTTACAGACAGCACAAGGCACCCCTAGTGAAAGTATTTTAGGCAAGGTGTTTCAGAGGATAGGGATGGGGGACTGGAGAAACACTTGCTATTCCCAACCTTTAGCAGTGTCACCAACCTTAGGAGATGTTTCTGCCTCTGCAGCTCTTTCCTCTTGCCTCTTTCCATTCTCATCTACTTAGATTCAGGGCAGAATTTCCCCATATATT